GGTTGAAATGCACCTCAGGTTGGGGGGGGGGGGGGGGCAGAAAGGATGGAAGGAGAAGCTGCTTCCACCTCCTGCTGCTGCTTTGCTTTGCTCTCAATGCTCTACGTAGGTATTCCTTCCTCCTGGCTCCTGCTGCTTCCAGATTGCTACGAATAGGAACCTGGATCCGTACTGTGCGTCCAGCTGTGCGTCCCTCGGTCTCCGCAGGGCCATCAGTGAAGCTTTACGACGTGCGGCACCTCTTCCCACTTCATCATCCACCTCCTGCAGCCAACCCGGTGACACGGCATCACACGGCATCACACGGCATCAACCTAGACCAAAGGTCAGCAGCATGGCATTCTCCTGCTGTAAGGTAGGTACGCATACCTCATGCCCTTGGAGGGCTCCTCCTCTGCCACTGCCAACAATCAGCCCGACGAACCGGGGCTACAGAGACACTATCCGTAAAGCAGTCTAGCAATGCTGCAATGGCAACGGTCATTGGGGCCTTGCCTGCGTGCCTTGCCTTGGTCCTTCAAGTTTGAACTTGGAGACGTGGCATTCCATTCCATTGGCCCCCCTGCCTCATGACGAACGATCGAACGAAAGCTGGCCCCTCAGGCGGCAGACCCTTAGCCGGGCTCACTGGGCGACTCGGATAGGCCTGGGGAGTTGGGACCTTGGCTGAAAAGCCGATGATGATGGGAGGAGCCATCTGAAGCCAAAAATACATCATGCTCCAGCCACTGCCCGATCTCCACTCATCTCCTTTGCCAGTGTATGACTGGTCAGGGCCCCAATTACCCCCCGTTTTGCTCCATTCAAAGCAAATGACCCTGAATGAGGCAGCCAAGCAGAAGCAAAGCAGAAAGCTACCGATGTCAGGGCAAGGACAGCTTGTGTGAACCCCCTGCATTCGTCTCTGTTGCAGAATGATGGGGCTATTCCCAGCTGGACTGGAGAGACTCGGCTCATTCACTCACATGCGAAGCGAACCCCAAAGACGTTCTCAGCCCCCTTCTCACAGGGCTGACCTCCCAAACCAGTTGCCGCCGCCAATTTGGCGCCGTATTAAGCATCATCTTCACAATTTATGCAGTCCAGGATAAGGTTTCCTCGTCGCTATTCAGAGGTAATGTTTCTGAAGACGTCAAAATCGGTTATTGTCTTTGTTCACCTCTTTGTTGCTGAATGAGACTTTCCTTTGACCACTGCCACCGTAAGTTGAAACTGAAGAGAATTGTCGCCGATCACCAAGCCCCTTCCTCCAACCCCTGAGCACCCTCGCTGCCACTGGACGGTTCCCCAGACGACAAAAGGTCGTTTTTAATAATTACCAAGGGCTGGTCTGCGGCCTACGTATGTACTAGCGAAGACGAAACCCAACGATTGCCCCATACAGTCCGTAATCTTGTCTATCAGGCAATCCCCACCCAGCCCAGCATATGGGAATCATTCCATCGCTGAGTTGGCTGGGGAAAGTCCAACTGAACGCAAGAGCCAGCCATCATCCGAAGTTGCAGAGTCATGACTGGGAGCTTCCCGTCTATGAGGTCCGTTCCCGAAATTCTAATCCAGAAGCCCACTCTAGTGTACCTAGTCAGTGCTTGTCCCTACTTTCGGATTTTGATGCACTGTCCTAAAGTAAGGAAAATCATCTGTCAAACTATGCAACTATGTATTCCATTGTAGACTCAAGAGACCTCGAAAGCATAGTTTCTCTAGGAAAACAACAACGTTTGGGCCGTGATTCACGCTACGCAAGAATCCATGACAATTGCTAGGCTGACTTCCGCACGGCTTGCTGAGGCTCAGACTAAGGTATTCGTGCTAAGTCAACTGCATCTATCAGGAACTGTAGAATGTACTATGACCGGGCTGCAAATCAATCCATGTCTTGTCAGTATCTACAAAAGTATGAAATATTAATGAACGTTGCTATTGGAACTATGAGAAAGCCTTACAAACGTGTCCAGACATAAGTAAATCCTCCGATAGGATTTTGGGAGCTTCCCAAACGGTCCCTTATCGCCGGGATTAAGTCGCAGATAAGAGTCTCACGCAATCGCAGCTCGGAGCTTTGACCCCAGGCACTCACTCTGTGACGTGATTCCTAATCAACCAAATGTATTGCAACATGCCTGTAGTCTGAACCCCTCGGCTTCCCTCTGTGAAGGATCATTGACTTTCACAACAAGGCAGTATCTCCCTTTGAGGCGGTCTTCAGAGAGCCTATTGACAGTAAGTCGTCTGACTTCATATGACATCGCCAACTCGTTATTCGCACTTGTGATGGTGTAATGAGGCAAGCAGCGCTGATGAATATCATAGCCGTGAGAAACAGACCTAAGATTACTAGTCACCTAGGTCACACCCAACGCCATGGATGAAAAGAAACAGCTCATGTGTGACGAGACTAGCGATGAGGTCCAGTTGCCTCCTCGCAAGACTCCGTCTCCTGCGAAGAGAGCCGTTGTTGCTTGTTTCGCCCTGTGGCTCGTGACACTGACCTTTGGTGTCCGTCCTATGAAGTCATGCTATCATCAAATGAGAAAGCCATGGGGCGTACCCCTTACCGTTGAGGAGAGGGCTCACAATATTCTATCTCATACTCCATTGATAGGTGCGACCGACCACCCTGTGCATTCTGTACGACACGATGAGAAGTGCTGACCGACCGTCTTTGTAGATGGCCACAATGACCTCCCTATTCTCGTCCGAGGATTCTTCAACAACCACATCTACGAGAAGAACTTCACTGAGCCCTTTGAGAATGGCGGTCTTGTTGGCCACGTTGATCTGCCCAGGCTTCGCAAGGGCCAAAACGGCGGTGCTTTCTGGAGCGTTTACACTCCTTGCCCTGCCAATGGTAGCGACTTTTCTGATGAAAACTACGCCGAGAGTAAGTCTTGACCGTTTGAGTGACCTAGGATTCATAACTCTAACACTTGTGACCGTAGGCGTTCAGTGGACTCTCGACCAAATCGATCTCATGACCCGCATCAAGGACTCCTATCCCAAGGACTTCTCCTCAAGCACGGACAGCGGCGCCGCTTTGAAGGCATGGGAGAAGGGCCAGCTCATCTCCCCTCTGGGCGTCGAGGGTCTGCATCAAATCGGCAACTCTGTCGCCAATCTCCGACGCTACCATGCCTTGGGTGTCCGCTACTCGACCCTCACCCACAACTGCCATAATAAGTTCGCCGATGCCGCGCTGCTCGAAAGCCCTCTGCGCAAGGCAGAGCCTCTGTGGCACGGGTTGAGCCCTGCCGGTCGCCGTCTCATTCACGAGATGAACCGTGTCGGGTTGATTGTCGACCTCTCCCATACCAGGTAGGTCTCGAGGACTCTTCGATTCCTGCAAAGGATGGTTTCTAACATTTCTTACAGCGCCGAGACACAGATTGATGTCCTTGGGGGCAAGGATTGGGAAGGTAGCAAGGCGCCTGTTATCTACAGCCACAGTTCCGCGTTCAGCGTCTGCCCGCACCCTCGCAACGTCAAGGATGATGTTCTGAAGCTCGTCAAGGAGCGCAACGCGGTTGTCATGGTCAACTTTGCGCCTGACTTCATCTCCTGCGTCGACTCCGGCAACGAGAACGGTCTGCCCACCTACGTCCCCGCCAACGCCACGCTCGACCAGGTCGTCAGGCATGTCCTGCATATTGGCAACCTTATCGGTTTCGACCACGTCGGTTTCGGCTCCGACTTTGACGGGATTGCGTCGGTGCCCAAGGGTCTGGAGGACGTGTCCAAGTACCCAGCCCTTGTTGCCGAGTTGCTGAGGCAGGGTTTGAGTGACGAGGACGCGGCAAAGGTCGTTGGCGGAAATGTTCTTCGCGTCTGGAAAGAGGTTGAGGCGGTTGCCGAGAAGCTGCAAAAGGATGGCCAGCCTGTTCTTGAGGATGATATCGCAAGCCCGAAGTGGTAAGGGTAGTGCGCTGGAATCAGTACCAATGGGTTCATAGATGCCTCAAACTTTCGCTCCTGCGGCGTATTCAAGACAATGGTGCAATTGGAACCGAAATTGATGGTACAAGTGGTATAGTTTTTCATAGTCATACATGTTTGGACACACCACAGACCCGTCTATCTTGTACATTCGGTGGTCATGCAATAAGCACCACCCCAAAATCTAACCCATTCGCTCCTCCAGATACCAAGTCGACAGCCACCACAGAGGGCGCTTACCATCGTCTATTCGCAGAGTTGTGCTTCCTGGCGGACTCGATCTGGGTCCTTGTCCGCTGTCCTCTCACGGGGAGGTTCATGGCGTGTCTTCTTCCCCGGTAACTTCCCATATCCTTTAGTCTCATGACGTTCTGTTGTATAATCTTCCGCGCATCGCTTTCTATTGTCATTGTCGATAACTCTGCCGTAAGAGCCGTGACGGTTTTCGGTGGCAGGGCGCCGACCTTGGACATGGGTGAGATGGAGTATTTGGCCAGAATGCGGGATGATGTGGTCGGCCCGAGAGCGAAGAAAGATTCAAGAGCCTTCTATAAGGAGAATAAGATCGTTAGCATCGTCGTATGTGGTATTCTAGCTGGGTCGTTGTCGTTCGCAGGCGAAGGGGATGCCGTACCTTCACGAGCTTTTGCTCGGAAAAGTTGACTCCTAGAATGAAAACCTGTAGAGAGTCAGTCAGTTGCCGCTCCAGTATCTGCCATTTGGTATAAAGCTAACCATTTTCTCCGATTTATGACCTTAGTCCTTGATAAGAGCGTCACTATTGTCGCCGCGGGCTGCTCCGGTTCCTGCAATTGATGATGGGATCGCGAAACTTCGAAATCATCGATGCACTCACGGAGAGTCGGCGCCGGAAAATAGTGGATCCAATTGCAACGCGGCGGTAGCAGGTGCTGCACGCAGTCCAGTGGCACCAGTGGCTGCCCGGCTGCATTGATAGCACTGATCCGCCCAGAAGGCGACCCTTTATGCCATGGACGCATCCACTTCCACGGATTGCCTCCCCCCATTGGGCAGTTACGGCGACCAGGGTCCGAGCTCGACTTCCTCATTCGCGTGCTTCAGAGAGGGGAGTTTGAAACGTAGCTCTACGGTTCCGAGGGTCCCTCTATTTAACACACTGTCCCTTCTGGCGATAACCTCTCCTCCCTTCCCAGACGGTTCCTACTTGCATCCACAGAATCTGAATTTCTTTCCCCAATTGATCGAGTTCAGTGCCCAGCGTCCATCATGTTCAGCATTCAGAGACTCGTCTCTGCCCTCCTCCTCGCCGGAGTGGCTCTGGCCTTCTTCGCGCAGACCGCTGAGGCTGCCAAGGGCCCCAAGATCACCCACAAGGTCTACTTCGACATCACTCACGGCGATGAGCCCCTCGGCCGCATCACCATGGGTCTGTACGGAAAGACTGTCCCCAAGACCGCCGAGAACTTCCGCGCTCTCGCCACCGGCGAGAAGGGCTTCGGCTACGAGGGCTCTACCTTCCACCGCGTTATCAAGCAGTTCATGATCCAGGGTGGTGACTTCACCAAGGGCGACGGTACCGGTGGCAAGTCCAGTGAGTTGCTCCCCCATCATCCCGCTTTCTGGGTTCTGCGTGACGACTAACGATATGGAAACTTCACAGTCTACGGCGAGAAGTTCCCCGATGAGAACTTCAAGCTTAAGCACTCCAAGAAGGGTCTCCTGTCCATGGCCAACGCCGGCAAGGACACCAACGGCTCCCAGTTCTTCATCACCACCGTCATCACCTCGTAAGCACACCTTGTCGACAACTACAAACACACCATATCCACGAAGTTGCGCTAACTCTACAATCACAGTTGGCTCGATGGCCGTCACGTCGTCTTCGGCGAGGTCCTCGAGGGCTTCGACGTCGTCGAGAAAATCGAGCAGGCCCAGACCCAGCCCGGCGACCGCCCCGCCAAGACGATCAAGATCGCAAAGAGCGGAGAGCTGGAGGTGCCCCCTGAAGGTATCCACGTGGAACTCTGAGCACGTACTGTGACAACCCGTCGCCCCTCGCTGTCTCCTCGTTTTATCACCAACCCGACACTTTTTTACACCATTCCACCTTGACTCTTCCCGCTGATGACCTCCCGAAATTGATGAAACAACACACAAAAACGTACTTGGTTTGCTGATGGCTACGCCCCCCTCGTTGCAGGCGAATACGGCACTAGCGAGTGGGCGTCAGGCTACTCCAACGAGGATACGCCGCTGGAGGTGGGCTCCGGCGAGGGCTGGTCCCTAATCCAGAAGGGTCTCTTCGGCGGTGTTGTTGTTGCTGCGATCGTCGCCTACATCAAGTTCAGCAAGTCCAGGGCCGCAAGAGATGTCGGCTACGAGAAGACCATGGCGTAAAGAGGGATTTGATAGGAGGAAGCGGCGGGCTTCGACTAGGCTCAGAAATACAAGACAACAAATGCCAACCAACAAGAAATGGCCAGAATATGTAAATGCAAACTACATCCGAATGTCCAATTTGTCGTGATGTTGACAACGTCGTCTCTCCGTCTTGCATTCTCTTAAAGCGTAGTCCAATAGCTGTAAAGCACCCATCCCAAAGCGCATCACGTGTGGGGTACCAAAAAAATTCCGTACTGGCCAAACTTCAACCCAAACACCCCTCCACAGTGGAATAGCGAACAACGAATTCTACCTGACGCCTGAAAGACAAAAGAAGAGAAAAAATCATGAAGCTGCTTAGTCTCAACTTTTTGACCTGCGCGGTCAAGGCCTGCAAGTCCTCCGCGGCCTCGTTCCCCCTCCACCCAAAGGACGCAGAGCTGGCGCAGGACGACATCGAGGTCAACCCCCAACTTCTCTTCAACGTCCTGCCCCGCTTAGACTGGGCCGCTCTGCGAACGAACGCAACTGAGGTAAGGCTCTTGTTCATATTTTATCTCGCATCGTAATTTCCCTCACATTCTGGTCTTCCGTGTGAAGATGTCTTATTTCTATACATCATCCCATCTCACATACGTCCCCTACACCATCTCTTTTGTTTCATGCATGTGCAGATTGCTAATTAGTCACCTTAAAAGCTGGGCTTCCCCGAACTCCCCACGGAGGCCCCCTCGGCAGAGCAGCTCGAGGGCGATGAGAAGATGCTCAAGGAACTACACCACCTCCTCATGGAGACGCAGATCATGGAGGGCAAGCTCGTCTGCGGCAACTGCGGACACGAGTACGCCATTCGCGAGGGCATCGCCAACTTTTTGCTGCCGAGTCACTTGGTCTAAGAGGCAATGCTCCGGTTATGGGGGACCAAGTTTGGAGAGATGATGAAGACTTTTGATTTGAGACGGCCCCGACGAGGCTGTAGTAGGCGTTCATGGCGTTTTTCTCCCCTCACGACAAGCGTGGAGGCTCTCTGTTGTGGGGGGAGGGGAGGTGGGCGGCAAACAGAGGAAGATAAAAAAAGGTCCATTTGTTATAGAAATACATTTCATGCCATTTGCGAGAAAAAACACTACATTGGTCTCTACAGACCACAGGGCCCCCTTTCCTGTGCTCTCTAACTATCATGCTCATTGATTCCTCCGCCTTTACTCGAAACATGCCTGTCAAAAGCCAGCCGATAACTCCCGACGTTCTCAAATGAAATACACAGGTCGTTGAAGGAGGCACTCCTGGAAAGAGATGCCTTGAGGCAGTTTTGTTACACATCTACTGGGCCTTCTTGTGAGCCGCCGGGCCGTTCTCCTTCTCGAAAGCACCGTACGGGATCTCGAGGCTGGCGAGAGCCCTGATGCCGACACCGAGAATGCTGAAGAGAACAATACTGGCGATGATGGCGTGGAAGACGCCTACAGTCATGTCAGTCTCAATCATAGCACCACGAATCGACGAGACGCCATCACTCACCTGGGGAGAAGAAGACGTATTTCTCAAAAAGAGGCAGCTTGCTCCACTCGGTCTGGTTGTCGGCCCTCCTGACGTGTCGCAGGCTCGCCTCGTGGCGCTTGAGCTCGGCGTGCAGAGGCTCGGTGGTGAACTCGGCCTCGTAGGTGGGCTCCGAGGGGCTGGCGAGGTAGATGACGGTGTACGAATCCGACGCCTTGCGCAGCTTCTCGAGGCGCTGGCCCAGAACGTGGTCGTTGTCGGCGAGCGTGGCGGCTCTCGCGTCCCGTCCGAGGGCAGCGAGCCTGGCCTCCTCAACCTCGACCGTCTTGCCCGCGCAGGACTTCTTGATGTAGTCGGCCAGTTTTCCGATGGGCACCTCACCGACGACCTCGGCGACGCTGTAGACGCCGCGAGCGTCCTTGTCGGAGATGGCGCGGCACAGGTTGGGGGATTGGCAGTCGCCGCTGTCCGGGTTGCGGATGTCGGCCGCGTTGACGTTGGGCTGGAAGACGAGGAGGTAGCGGTCTGTCGGGCAGGAGGAGAGGAGATCCTGGACGGTCTTGACGACCTGGGACTGGGTCTGAAGCTGGGCGGGGTTGGACTTCGCGAACCTAAGGGGAAGAAAGGCATGTTAGCAGTGTTCGATGACGAGGATGGAAGGGTTCGGTAGGTAACGTACTCAGCGGTCGAGAGCATGATGAAGGGCGATGAGTCAGTGAAGGCCTGCACCGAGGCGCACAAGGCCATGAGGCCTGCTGTTCTTGATAGACGCATGGCTGGTTGATGTGGTTGAGAGCTTGCCCGTTTGGATGCGATGGCTAGCCTTCGTCGTGCTGCCAGGAGTTATGCTGTGGATTAGCTCCAGGGACGACGTAGCTAGGATACATGCATCTATGCGAGCTCAACGTAATCAGCAACTACACCGACGCCCGTTTAAATACATCTCTGCAATCGCAATCCAACGAGGCCTCACCAGGTCAGTTTCATCAAGGTCACTACCTGCCCCGCCCCTGCATATCGTTTTACAAGAGCGATGCACCTGCCATGCAGTCTTAATTCATCAAAACGCCCGCCGGTTGGACTTACCTATAGCTTTTGATGTTCAAAAATCTACATTCTCATGGAATGCGGCATCGGCACCTGAAGACAATCCGCATTCATAATGCATATGAATGACCATTCGTTCCAATCTCTAATGAATATAGTGTAGCTCACTCTCGGGCTCTTCAAGGCTCTTCAAGAGTTCATGCACGTCAAGAGGGTGTATCTGCACTGAGCAGCTCGCAGTTGTCGAGGGACAATTACAAGAGACACTTATCGGGATGGGCAAGAAAGTTACGAGTCGGGCCGTACTCAGACCTTCGATATACAAAATACAATTGTGAGGACTCCTGGGTTACGGCATAACCATCCCAAAATTGGTGACCGTTTTAAACAGCAGATTGACCTGAGCGGAGCTTCGTGAACCTTGAAATCATCAGAGGAATTGTCAGCATGTCAGCATGCACGGCAGTCGAGGAATCGTGCAGTGAAGCCCCCTCGGGATGTCACCTGCTGGTTTCGCTGACAGATGCACGCCTAGCGGGCGAGACCTGGAATCCGTTCCAGCGCATTTAGCTCTTCGGCTTGGCCCGCGTCAGTGGGCCCTTACAGAGGCTGCAGCGGCATGGTCCTGCAAGGCTGCCAGAAAAACCCCCCAAATGGAGTAGGATCCAAAAATTTCACTGCGCCGTCGCCGCCAGAGGGGAAAAAAAAATCACCACCACGAGCCAGTCAACAGTCCTCATCATCGACACATTCAACCAAACAGCCACAATGTTCGCCAAACCCCGGCCCAAGAAATCCGTGCTCAGTGCGCCCCCCTCGAAGAAGAGAAAGGCGGTATCGGCGATTGAGGAGGTCAACTTCGATTTCGACGCGCGGGAGGACTACCTGACGGGTTTCCACAAGCGCAAGCTGCAGCGGCAGAAATGGGCACAGGAGCAGGCAGCCTCGAAGGCGCGGGAAGAGAAGATTGAGATGCGCAAACAGGTGAGTGAGGCAACCGCGGCCCTCCCAGTCTCCCCTTGCATACGCCCACGCATGCTGCTGCCTGCACTTGCTCGTCGCATGTACTGATGGTATTATTACAGATCAGACAAGAGCGCCAACGAGAAGTCGAAGACCACGTTAATGCCGTGAGCGCTCTACTCAAGGAGGCCCAGGAGGCAGACTCGGACGGGAATCAGGAGATCAATGGATCAGATTTCGAAGAGTGGGACGGCATCGACGAGCCGGCCAAGGATCAGACAGATATTGTGGACTACGAAGACGAGTACATAGACGAGGACCGCTACACATCGGTCAAGGTCGAGGCCATATCCGTGACGCGGGACGGTCTCGAAAAGATCCACCAAGACGGCGACGAGGAAGAGAACGACAGCCAAGACGAATTCAAAGCGGACAAGCAGGCATCTGACCAGCCGGCAAAGTCAAAAAACCGGAAAGAGTGCCCAAAGAAGCAGAAGAAGAAGTTCACCTACGAAACAAAATTAGAAAGGTCACTGGGAGCGAGGAAGGCAAAGGCCAAAAAGGCAAGGTTCAAGAAAGAATAGTTGAAGGAGGGTATAATATCTCGCATTGGTTGCAGCAGCTGCTTGCCCAAGGAGTTGCCTCACGCCCAGCGTGGTCCGAGGTGGTTATGTGTAGATTCCCGTCATGTCTGTGTCTGTTGAACAAAGACCAGGGGGCATCTGACAGAACAAAACTCTTTGTTGGCCGGGGTTACAAAAAAAGGAGTAAAAATAAGGCTGCTATAACTCGGTCGCGAACCGTCCCGTCATTTGCATTCCACCGCTTGTTGGGATAGCTAAGTCAGATCGCCAACACAGCGTCCCAAGCCAGGAGTCTATCATGTAGAAAAGCCTTGCATAAAATGGCACGCGCAACAAGGACCTTAGATGTTGCCAATCTCGGCCTGGAAGTCCTCGAGCTCCTTCTGGACCGTCGCGTACTTCTTGGCCATCTCCTCGTACTTGGATTCCCACTGGTCGCGCTCCGACTCGAGAGCCTGGACCTTGCGCTCGAAGTGGCCGGCCTTGACGTCGGTCTGTCGGAGCCTGTGAAAAGACGGTGTAAGTAATAAGTAATGCATCGGTCGGTCGTTCGGTGGGGCGGGCTTTAATGAACACGATGGGGGTCGGAGAGTGAAAAGGGGGTATCATCGATTCGGCAAACAGGGTCCAGAACGTACTTCTCGTTGGCTTCCCGAAGGGTCTTGTCCGCCTCCTCGGCCTCCTCCTCGAGGAGCTGGAGTCTACGCTGGAGAGTCTCGTTTTGTGTGCCGGTGCCAGCGCTCTCGTCGGCAGCCTTCTTGAAGTCCTTAACTGCAGTCTCAAGCTTCTCGACTTCGCCCTCGAGCAGACCGTTCTTGTGCTGCAGGGAGGTGATCTCCTGCTCCTTGGACAGGTTCTCCTGCTCCAGAGACTTGACCTTGGTCTGAAGCTCCTCAACCTTTGCGGCGTTGTCGTCGGCCTCCAGACGAAGCTGGTTCATTTTCTGATTGACACCGTCGTCGTCAGCATCGATGACACGACACATTGGGGATATCTTACCCCTCCAGACCGCCGGTAGCAGTCGGGTGGGGCCAGAGTCAGAATGGCAAACTTACCTCCTTGATACGGTCCATGATGAATAGCTGCGAGTTGCTTTGACGTTGTAGTAGAGTCGGTGCAGGTTGATTGCGATAAGGAGAATTGCTGAAGTTGAGAACGGGAACGGGATCGGTGGGTGTGGGATCGCAGCTGTCGGGGATGGAAACGGGAGGAAAGGGTGTGAGGTGTTGAAATAACTGCCCCTCTACATGCAAGTCCGCTCCATGCGACCTGTGGCGGACCGCCCTCAGCATGCCAGCCAGCAGCCAGACAGGCCTGGTCTTCACACGCTGAAAGGAAGCTGCAATCGGATTAGCTCAGACGCGGGCAGTGGGGTCAGTCAGGTGGGGTTGGGCTGTGGCACGGTGCTTCACTGCTTTCCCACCTAGGTGCTGCGGTAGAGCCTAGAGGTGAACTTGTACGGGGGTTTCCGCAGGGTCTGAGCTTCTACTTATGGTTGTCCCGACAACAACGCCCCAAACATACGGGTCCGTTTACGATCTCTATCGTCTCTTCAACCCGTGACAGACTCCAAAGCGAAGGGATTGATGACGACAATAAAGCACCACGCAATTACGATCCAGCACGACCAAAGAAGACACTGAATCAACGACAAAATCAACAACCCCTCTGGCTCTATGCAAAATGCTGGCCCTTCGTGACGAGAACGCGGTCAACGCAGCTCAAGCTGCTCGCCTTGCTCCCGGAAAAGGGCAGCTGGCTCCCAAGACCCCTGGAGCCCGGTACCCAAAGACGCCCTTGAAGATTCCTCTCAACGACGAGAACGCTGTCGGAGGCGCCAAATCTGTGCTCGCCGCCAAGTCTAATGCCAACGGAAACATTCAACTCACGGCAAAGAAGCAGAACCTCGTCACTCCTTCTGGTAACACTTCCGCTTCTGTCATATGAGGTATCAAAAGCGACTAACATCCTTGACAGAGACACGAGCTCGGGCACCTCTCGGCAACAAGACCACCAATGCAAAGGCTAGAGCCACCCAGAACACCGGAGGAAAGGATGGCGAGAAAACGCAGACGAAACCTACGACGACCAAGAAGCTGAAGCAGCGGTCTCCCAGTGTCGGCCCTCTTAAGCTTGAAGTCCGAAACGATCAGGCTGGTCCAGCCGAGGAGCCTGATGTCGAGTACGCACCTCCTACCGTCAAGGACTTGCCTTACGAGTCGGATGTCCTGTCGAAGGAAGATCTGACATTCGAGGGACTCAAACCCGAGAACATGTTCAAGGGATACTACAACCACTTCTACAACCCCATGGGCGAGGATGGAGTCAGACTTCAGGACAGGCAGCACCAGGAAAGGCTTCAGAAGGCTCTCAAGGAGAGTGACGAGCGTATCCTTCGAGACATTCAGGAAATGGACTGGTCCGTCTCGGACGTTCCTGAGACTTCCGCCATTTCCCAGCGAAAGGCACCAGCCCCGGCTCCTAACCCGGCCGTCACCAGAAAGGCGGTTGGAGGTGCTCCCAAGTACCCGCCCACGATTACCTCTAGAAGAGCTGCGTCTGCTCTGTCAATGTCCACCGGCAACACCATCAGACAGAAGAAGGTTGTCGAGCAGAAGCCCACGGTCAGAAGACCAATCTCTTCTATCCTTCCGAAGACCAGACCTAACAGGCCTGCCGTGGCCCCAAAGTCTTCGGTCGCTGAAAGTGCCATGGGAGAAGCCGTGTCGAGAAACACATTGGGCTACACAAAGGGTCGCTCAGCCTCTTCCTTTGTTAGCGGGCGCCCAGCATCCGCCGCTGCGGCTCGGTCGGTCTCGACAGATGCGAAAACGACCCTAGCTCCAAAGATGACTATGAGACGTGACGCATCCCCCCAGAAGCAAAGACAGGAGGCTCGGAACGACAGCGAGGAGCTCGGCAAACTCCAATTCCTATCCATTTTCGATCCCGCCGGGGATGACGAAGATGATGGCATCGGCAGCGCGGGTCCACGAAACGAAGAGTTCGAGGACGATGAATTTGAGATGAAGTTGACATTCTAATCGCTCAACTATGTTCATGGATGGCGTTTGGAGATGGTTACCCTCGTTTGTAAAACAGCAGGATGGCTGGGGACTGGGAGGCGTTTTTTGGTTGGAATTGTTGCCCACATGCAACGCTCGCGAGGTCAAACGGGCGATCAAAGACTGTGTTCGCGACCAGGGTTTACAATGACTGTATTGATTTACTTTGTTAGACTCTGTATAACTTATTATCCAGCATGGATCATTGACACTAGGGAGAGGCTTTGTTTCTCATAGCAAGCCGCAGCTGCCTGCATCTATGTATTACTTGAGTCGATTGATTTGCTTCCATGTCCCCAGGCGCTTGCAGCCTGTCAAAACTCTCGAATTAGCATTCGAGAGTGATGTAAACAAGGAGTGTATCTCTCTGACACAGTGATTGGAAGATGGAATTATTGGCACGAGGTTAATCAGTTACTCCATTGGCTCGGCCATGATGCAACTGGACAGTTTATGTGGTGCCCCTGTCCTTCACGTCCTTCCACAGCAAGACGCGAAAATTGAGCAAAGTGGAAAGTCTGGCGACGCGACTCTCTCCGGTGCCAGCTGTCAGAAGAGGCAGCTTCATCTCCACCCAAATTGCCGGTTGTACCCAGCACAGAAGATTTGCAGAGGAATACTTTCTCTCACACCGGTCCTCGTCACGCAGGTCCCGTCTGAGCATCCATGCGTAACGGTGCTCCCTCGCCTTGTTCCGTGGCTGGTCTCCGCTAAATCGCATCCCTGAAAGGTTTGGACACTCTTCAACCTCCAACTTTCTGACCTCACTGCTACATTTTCTCCAGCCTCATATCCGTCGGTCGCATCGCACGACTCATCCGACCTCATTTGCAAGCCTGCTGGTTGATCGCATCGACTCTGAGCCCTGTGCGACTGGGACCTGTTCTTCCTTGAATGACGCAGTCGGGCTCCTGCCCCTTGCCATTCACTCGTGTCGCTAGCTACGCATCGGTCGCGTGAACAGCGACTCCGCGACCTTTTCTCCCGCTACACCGCTGCGGCCGCTTTCTTCGGCGATGACCTCTGTCCTTTAAGATCATCCGACATATAAGAGACGATGGTTGGTGGCAGGCGAGAGCGGTGAAAGCTGAACAATCTCACGATGACCCGCCAATCTTCGGCGAGCTTCGCGCAGTTCTTCCCTGCAGCCCCCCGTGTCGCTAGGGACAGAGCCAACGAACGAGAAAAGGCAAAGGCTAAAGTTCAAGACTCGGCAGGTGGCCTGCTTAGCGGCTCCAAGAGCAGCGGCACCCCTTCGGTCAACGGCACAACTGGAGAAAGGTCATCCACGGCTGATGGCCTGCCTTCCGACACTTCGCAACAGCCACACGACGGTCATGAGTCGCCCTTAGGAGATACTCTCAACGCTGTCGGATCTGCAAGCTCTTACGCGAGTACGGGCTCATCCGTCTTCAGTACGGCTGCGCGACAGGCTGTCCCCAGCGGCATATCTCATATCCCTCCATCCAGCGGCACGCCGCTCACCTCCATTGAATCACCTTCATACCCAGGCAATGCTGCCTTATCGAAAACGACTATGCCACAAGCACAAAACACCGATCGGGGCGAGGCAGCGGTCTCACTCAATACCCCAACATCCCGCCTGAACAGCTCACTCCCGGAGCCATATCCTCAAATTGAGCGCATTCCCGCGCGAGATCCCAACCGATCGCGAAAAGGCATCAAGTGCACATATGATCCCTTCAACGACCGGACCCTATCGAAGCACGGCAGAAAAGATGCCAAGCCGATATATAAGGAGTTTGGATTGGTACGTACAAATACAATAAACCTGCCCAGTGTAGGGGGAGGGGGAGGCGTCATCTTTTGTGTGTGAGAGCTCTGGCTAATAAACTGAGTAGGAAGATGATGACGCCCCCCCTCCAGACCCTCGTCTCGCCAAAGGCGGGCGATTGGGTTATATCAACACCGATTTTCATCTCCCAAAGTCCCGATTGCGACAGTCGCCATACAACTTGAAACCATACACCTATTGTCCTAAGACATCAATTGGTCCTGGGCCGCCTACACAGATTGTCGTTACTGGCTTCAATCCTCTCATCACCTTTTCAAAGGTGACGGCAGCCTTTGCGTCATTTGGCGACATTGCTGAGAGCAGTAACAAAATGCATCCTGAGACGGGCAGCTACCTAGGTTTTGCAACGTTTCGGTATAAGGACGCGCATCCCAGCAGGTCGAGACCCAACCCCATTGTGGCCACTGAATCAGCGCGCCGAGCTGTTAAAGCCATGCACGGGCAACGAATCGAGGCAAACACAATTCGAGTTGAATACGATCCTGAAGGAAAGAAAAGCCGTCGCATGCTTGAGGAAGTTCTACAGAAAGACAGAGTTACACGGGATGCTTCCATTACAAAGGCGCCGCCCACCGGCCCTCGAATCGCGCCCGAAAAGATTCCTGGGCCACCACCGATGGCACCAAAGGGTCCTTCTTCTCACAGACAGGCCGTGGCCGGTGTGCCTGCTTGGGTCCCTAGCCAGCCCAAGATGCACATTGCGCTCGAAGAGAAGGTTATCGCGAAGCAGCTTGCCGGCGAGCCGTACATTTTCGTTGCGCATGAGCATGTTCCGGTCATGGTTACGACCATACCTCACATGAAGAAACGACTGAAAGCGTTTGCCCTTGAGGACATTCGCATCGACCGAACGGGATACTACATTCTGTTTCCCAACTCCTTTCACGGACGTAACGAGGCTTCGAAATGCTACAGGGCAGCTAATCATACCGACTTGTTCACGTACAACATGGTGATGCAACTATCGCTCCCGCCCTCGACAGGCCAAGACTCCGAATCTGCAGCTCCGCCACCACGACGGCGAACCCCCAGTCCCGAGCGCAAACGCCGAACGGATATACGAGTGCGCGAAGATAAGGATCGTCGTCGCCGCGAAGAGGAAGCAGACCTTGAGGAAGAGAAGCGACAGAGAGCTAAGAACTTTGATCCGGTCCTCGAGGCTTGCGAAGTGGTCACCCGAGAGCTAGCAGAGCACTTGATCAAGCACATACGGACCAGAGTTGCCGCTCCTGCTCTGACTAGCTTTCTGGACCCAGCAAATCACGCAAGCAAGCGACGAAAGCTCAACTTGGAGGACCCGGCTGGATCTGTTCCGTCTGTCACCGTCGATGCTGGCGATGAGAGCCCTGGAGTTAGCACACCCAACTCTGGCGCAGATCCAATTGAGCGTCGCACAGGTCGCCTGGAAATTGCTGCTCTGCCACGTATCCGTAAGGCCAAGGCTACTGCCCAAGGAGCCTCACGCAATCATGGATTTACGGACCCGTTCTCCCGCAAGCGCGCAGCACAACAGAGCCGTGGTGCCTTCCGATCATTGCACCATCGTCTTAAGAGCTACGACAGTGATGCCGAGTCCGATGATGAGGCCGCCATCAGGGAGTCCCTGGCGAGGGATACCGAAGAGCCTGATTCTCGACCCCGTAGCCGTATGAGCACAGACGACGACGTAAAGGACGACTTTGCCTCCTGGGGTCCCGGCGAGGAGGACTCTATGACTGAGGCGAGCTTCGCTATTGGCGATGGCCTAGCCTCGACGAAGAAGAGGAAACTCGACTTGGAGATCCAATCGGCGATCAAGCGTCAGAAGAAGTCCGATGAAGAACTATTCGGAGTTAACTTGGAGGGTGTCGAACCTGACTTGCTGGCTTCGTCAGAGGCCACACCCGATGTTGACCTACTCGAGACACAGAGCAATCGCTCAGAGACTCCTGCGCTATCGGCTGCCAAAGGATTGGCAAAGAAACAGAAGTCAAAGAAGAAGTCAAAGAGGCAAATCTTCGAGGAAAGGGAGGCCTTGAAGAAGCAGCAAGTTCAGAATCCCACAGAGACAGAAGAGGAGACACCAGCCCCGGTCAAACCCTTGCCGGAAGAGGTCGAGACCGAGATTTTGCCTGTAGAGAAGAAAGAGGAAGAGCCAGAGCCGCAAAAGGCCAAGGCAGATCCCTCGTTATTCACTACCACCCCGGCTCCAGCCCTCGGCCTGTCTGGCGATTTCAGACTCGATATCTCTGCATTGCAGGAGCTGTCGTTGTCTGCGGTCGACAGCCCAAATATCTCGAAACTTGGAAAGAGGTTTACTGGGGCAGATTTCGGTGACCCGCTTCTGTGGTTATGGCGGCGTAATCGTGTTCGAGAGCTCAACTCCGCCACTGGATCGGTTGATCAGGCTGTGGGCATCGATGGCTACTATGTACCCAACTCCACTGGCGCTGCTCGAACCGAGGGTGTCAAGAAGATCCTCAACGCCGAAAAGTCCAAGTATCTGCCTCACCACATCAAGGTTCAGAAGGCCAGAGAAGCGCGTCAAGCGCGGTACAACAAGGACGGCAAAGACGCAGCGATTGAGGCTAGCAGACTTGCTGTGGCAGAAAAGGCGGTGGCCAAGGGCAATTCGAGAGCAAATCGTGCCAACAACCGTCGGCATGTCTCTGCACTTCAAGATGAAAAGAAGATCTCGGGCGACTCTGACGCGTTCAAGTTCAACCAGCTTAAAAAGCGGAAGAAGCCTGTCAAGTTTGCCCGATCTGCTATTCATAATTGGGGTCTATACACGGAGGAAAATATTAACAAGGATGACATGATCATCGAGTACGTCGGCGAGCAGGTCAGACAATCAATCTCGGAGATCCGAGAGAAGCGTTACCTCAAGAGCGGTATGGGCAGCAGTTATCTGTTCCGTATTGACGATAACACGGTCATCGACGCAACCAAGAAGGGTGGGATTGCTCGTTTCATCAACCACAGCTGTATGCCCAACTGCACTGCCAAGATTATCAAGGTCGACGGAACCAAGCGCATCGTCATCTATGCGCTTCGCGACATTGCTCAACGTATGCTACCCAACCTCGATCCTCTTTTTGTGTTTTAACGTGAAGCTAACATTTGCGCAGATGAGGAGTTGACATACGACTACAAGTTTGAGCGCGAGATTGGCAGCTTGGACCGTATTCCCTGCCTTTGCGGTACGGCGGCGTGCAAGGGATTCCTCAACTAATCTCTATCGGTCTTTCTGGTGTTATCGGTGGTTGGGCTGCACCATTAGGTTGCATTCGCCCTGTGTATTTCTCAGGCCAAGTTGCCTGCTGGAGTTGGGACCTGAACTCATTTCCTTGGTGGAGGCGGGCATCTTGCCGCCTCTGATTTTCATCACCTCAACGCATACCCATTTGGATCTGTCTCCTGCGATTATACTATATGCATAGCAACCAAGACAAAGGGAATGAAGACGAAACTTTTGGAGGAGGTGGGCGGGAACGGGAAAAAAAAAAACTAGTGTATCATGATTCACTTCGAATAGCTGGCGTTCATGCTGGGAGGAAAGGGGGGCTTCTTCATCAACTCACTTGGGCCCGGTGGAGCGCATAGCTTTACATGGGCCCCCGAAATCTGGTGGAGGATGAAACAAACGACGAGGAAAAGAAATGCCTCTCGACAGTGAGCGAGGCAGAGAGCCACGCCACCCTTTCTAGGTAATCTGGGCGTATATCCGCACACAAACAAAACCACAAATGTACATATGGCGGAAGGGCGATATGCAAGTATTGAGAAGAGACTCAATCAAGGCGAAAGTACTGCTTTTTTTTGATGCTCGGGCGATGCTTGCTCATGTGCTATGTTGTCTTGCCTTGTGAAGTTGCCGGTGCTGTCTTGAGACTGACGTTCCTCACAAAGGCGCTGAGGGGGTATAACGGACCGCTGAACTCCATGTCGTACCTGGTGTGGTGGTCAGTATACCGGGGAGTTTACAACCCGCGATGTGTGGGATGTCTATAAGCTTACCAGTAATTGACGGCTAGAACGAAGCCTTCGCCGTCTTCCGGACAGGACTGGGAAACCTTGTGGTACCACATGGCGGGTAGGTAGAGCATATCACCTGGCTCCAGCGTGACGCGGACGGGCTCGGCGAGGTGGGAGTAGGGCGTCGCGTTGACCTGCGGCTGATCCGGATCCCACGTCGCAAAGGGGATAGTATTTGATGTTGCCGTTTCTTCTTCATCACCTTCTTCTTCTTCTTCTTCTTCTTCTTCTTCTTCTTCTTCTTCTTCTTCTTCTTCTTCTTCTTCTTCTTCTTCTTCTTCTTCTTCTTCTTCTTCTTCTTCTTCTTCTTCTTCTTCTTCTTCTCCTCCTCTTTCTGCTTCACTGCCTTCGCTGCCTTCGGCCCGGTCCATATTCAACACCAGCTCACCATCTTTTCCTCTCCGACGAGAATATGTCGCGGGCGCGAGGGCCGTCTCGTTGACGCAGGGGTGGCAGCATGGCGGGAGGAGGACAAAGTGTTTGCGGCCGCGGACCTGGACGTAGATGTTTTCGTAGTTGTCCTTGTGGAGGGCGGTGACGGAGCGGGAGGCGCCGATCCAGAGGTTGATGGCGTCCGGGTCGCGGTCGAGAGCGATGCGGGCGAAGGGGATGGAGGGGGGTACGTGGGTGAAGAGGGGGAGGTATTCGTTACGGAGGTTGTCGTTTTCTAAGGGGGGTTGTAGTTAGTTGTTTTGAGATTCTGTGAGTCGGGGTGAGGTTTCTTCATTATGATTGAGATAGGAAATTTTTGATGTGAAGATGTAATAAGTGAGAATGAGTGTGGTGAGAAAGCTGAAAGCACGGAACTAGTGACATACGTGTCTGAGCATATCTGACTTCTGAGGCCGTATCTTTACTCTTTTCTTGGTTGATTACATAGTTGAGAAACTCTTCGAAATCCTGATCCTCCTCGTGTGGCTTCGCGAAAACGACATTTCCTTCATGGTCGGTTGGAGCGTCTGCATTACTGCGTGTGAACGAACCGTGTAAGTCAAGGATCGTGAAAAATTTCACCCCCTCCAAAATGACCAGAGCGGACACAGAATTCATTTTCCCCCCAAACTCACCCAAAAGGCGTCACGGCAACATTCACAGTCTGATCTTTAAACATGCGCAGCAGATACTCCTTATCCCACGTCTTATTCGACTGCCACGAGGAGGCGACGCCGCGGACGACAAAGGGTGTGTTGCGGGCGACGTAGCGCATGAACTCGAGAGGGCTCGGCTCCTCGTCGAGTTCCTCGATGAAGGCGCCGTTGAGCTCGTTGTAGGTGGTGATGAGCTCGGCCAGGGGGTCGTCCTCTGGGACCGCCTGGTCTCGGGAGTTCATGATGTCTTCTGACTTGCTGGGACTGTGAGAGTGGTGGTTGTTCACTTGAGTGGCTGGTGATGAGGCACTGAGGGCAAGGACGAAAGTGAAGTGTGTGGTTGCATGACTAAGGTTGCAGCTGGAGCATTTGCGAGAATTGCTGCGATGGGTCACTGGAGTGCGAGGTTCCCATAGGGTAATTGCCTGCCATTGGGTGTCAACGTTGGATTTGATCTATTCTGTTCTAAACTGTAAATTGAAGCTTCCGACTAACTTCTAGAATATTGAATGTCTCATTCACTCATAAATTGGTTTCCAAGCGGTGTAAATAGTTTGCAGTGTGTAAAATTCCCATGTCAAACTCAAATTTCGCATCCGCGCACCCGCACCGGCCCCGATGTCACATTCACAACCACAGCCGGCGTGGAAAGCGTACCCCGGACTTCGGTCTTCGTGCACATACCAAAAACGCAAATAAGGAAGAATACGATGCTCCCTCCACGCGAGCACAAGGATCGCCTACCATTTGCATTGGGTTTTGTGAAGATACCCGGGGTTTGTCTGCCGAATGCTGCCCGGGCACGGGAATCAGGGATAGGTTAACCGCGGGCAAGGCGGGAAGGGGTCCTGCGGTGGGACTTTGGGACTTGGGGGAGCACGAGGCACGCCGCACGAGGGTCCCGTTCCTTGGGGCCCTGGAGGGGGAGGGATTCGGCAAAGGTGGTGCCAACCGCACAGGGCAAAAGGGAGCGGAGCCAATGAGGAAGACGGCGCGAGTGGGAAGTCAGGCCACTTGAGCGTCCTCATGGCCTGATTATGATGAGTCCCGGTGATTCAGAGAGCTTACCACGGCCCATGGCCCACGCAAGGTGTGATTAACCCGTGTGTTTGCTTTTGGCATTTGCTGCTTGTCTTCCATTCTTCGCGCTGGCGACTGGTAGTCTGGTGCTGCGAGATTGCCCATCTGATTAATTATAGCTTAGGCAGATCTGATTCTGGGTTGGCGGGTGCAAATGCTGGCCAGGGCATTTTGTGGTATATAGAACGTGCCTGTTCCCTTCCCTTCCATCTTCTTGGGAAGGTTCTCTGACACTGTCTTGTACCGAAACATCGTGAAGCTATTTTGGACAAATACATACACCCACAGCGTCTCTGCTAACAACACCATCATCAACATCAACAACCTAATGCCATAGCGACGACCCTCACATCAGCCACCACCGGTATCGCTATCAAGGATGATGGACATCAACGAAAAGGCCTTGTCAGCCGGTCAGCTTTTGGACACAAAAGCTTCGTCATCATGTTCTTCGATCATCTAGCTCCATCGCACGTCGGCCCCCCAACTCCAATGAGGCATCCATCATGGTCGATCAGGCACCCGAAAGCAGCTTCCCCCTGACGCGAATTGCTACCCGGACCACACTTACGAACGTCGAGCTCGCCACGCGACTCCTGCTATACACGACACATGCCAGACTGTTCTCGCCAGAAAGCATCCGCGTTCCAGAAGAGCGAGCGATGACAGCGCCTGGCTGTCGCAGCGCCAATCGAGCTCACGGACCTACACCTCTCAATACCGATTTCTTTCACGCAAACATGGGCAAATTCCTCTTCCCAAGTGTCACGGTCCGTCCATGGGCGGGATGATGGGAAACTTCAACGAGCATGCCCGCTAAAACATGGGCTTCGACCCTTTCGCTTCGCCGGTTCCAGCACAGCCATGTTCCAGGGTTCTCCGTCTCCGAGCTTGACCCTTTTGGGGGGGATGTTGCCGAGGGCCGTCGAGGAACTTGACGCTTGCATACTGGTCTCGGGCCAAGTTGAACAGGATACCTAATGGCCGCTGCGAGCTACCCCAACCGAGCGTACCACCCCAATACGAGCTGGGAAAACCGCGCAGCTTGACTTACACGGACACACATCCAAACAATCTTGCAGGAACCACTGACGCCCGGTCCCTTTCCAAACGAGCATCATTGAGTTTTTCCTCTTGGGCAACTTGGCTGCGGCGCTGCCTGATATTCAAGCAAAGACGAGACAGCAGGTGTCCTCGACGACGTGAAGGAGGGTGCCACGACTCATGAAGGGCGAATCAGCAAAGAAGCGCGCGCCAATGCTCCTACGGCCAGTCGTTCCAATCCGTTCGTTCCATCGATGTCAATGGAGCCTGTCTTGGCCTGGCTGGCTAGATGGGAAACTGAGAAAAAGCCACCATGTCGGCACCATTATCCGACTGTGGAAAGATGTACAGTTCTACTGGACGCCAAGACGAGCCGCCCTGCCGAACCCTTCAAGAAGTCTCCGGTCGGCCCAGAATTTCCAGGCAGCCCAGTCGGGAGCCAGAGAATGAGGAAGAGGAAAAGCCGGGGAGAAGAGCGGAAATGTGACACTCTTCTTGAGTTCTGGAATGTCGCAGAAAGCTTATCAAAGGTCTGATGTTTGAGACTTTACGCATCACTGGCACAGGTTGGTTGTGCGCGGCTAGCCAGAAGCAGCTGTCCCTCAACTCTCACTCAAAAGGTAGGGTACCTTAGGTAAGAGGGGCTAGCCATCCGGAGTGCTTCCCTCGGAGACCCAGAGCGCAGATTTGTGGAAGCCAAAAGGTGCAAGCCAGGTGCTTGTTATTGTGCTTGTTTCCCTGTCTTTTCTCGAGGTGTCTCGAGCTTTGCTTTCATCTCAGGATTCCCCAAGTTTCCCGGCTGCTATTTAACTTTCTCCGACCCAAGTTAGGCCCCAAACCGCCCCTCAACTTTATTTCCTTCTCCATTGTCTGATACTCCATACCTGTGGGAAGCTTTCCGTGTTTTCTGGTCCAGATCGTTCTTCCTCTGGCTGCGTCTGTTTCCCATCTTCTATGCGGCATGCCACGGCCCATGGGTCCCGGCACACCGACGCACACCTCGACCCGATACCTAGCTGGTCCGGTCTTTCCTCGAGAAAGCTAACCGTTTGACGTGTTGCTTCGTCTTTGGTGCAGGCAGGGCATTGGTTGGTTGACCTACGGGATACCGTGGTAGCTCATCGCTAGTGGCCCTCACCCTCCTGCTTCTGTTGCAATGGAAGAAGTTCTTCCATGCTCTTGGATTTGTCTCACCATCCAAAGACGTGCAGACGTCAGCGCCCGGTACCCAGTTGGAAGGGGTGTCAGGTTTTAGTGGGACTGTCCCCCTATCAGACACCCCAGAGCTGGAGCAGGGACGGTCTCCAGCTTGGCAGTGACGCCAAAACGCCCCTGGCTTGGCCCCCCTTACGCTGGTACGCAGTCACTGCAGTATGAGGTCCATGGCTTTTCTTTCCACTTTACTCCGTAGCTACATAGGTATTGCCTTTACGGGAGCGCTGCTTGCAAGCTGCAAGTACCAAACAAGTCGTTACAGTCTCCTCCAGGTCTCAGAGACACTCCGAGTACCGAAACATCAGGGCGAGAGCAGAGTCATCGATTGTCGCTCCATCTTTCCCCCCTCCCCCAGACTCAAGTGCGTCTATGGTTACCTTTCATTCTTCGACCCTGCAGGTCGCATTCTGAATCTCAGGTCGAGGACAGTCTCCTCTGCGCGTTACAGGGGTTGAAGAGCGCAAGTCACCTCACATTGTAGGAAAAGTCGTCCCATGTTCCCCGACCGATGCTGCCACCAAGCCGCCACCATCGGCAGGTTCCACGGTTCCACCTCCCCCCAAGAGATACCTGCCCAATACTCCGTACCGCCGTCTGCCGGTCTAGGTACCTGATCCTGAGTCCCAAGGTGGCCACTATTTTTGCCAAGCATCCAAGGTGCGAGGTGAGGGGAGCGCATACACAGTATTCCGTACCTACCTTACTTTGTAAACGCTAGAGGGCCACTCTGAGATTCTAGCGCGGTACGGCACGGTATGGATACACACACGACTACCTTAGCCCAAGGAACCTTAGCTGTGCCTCACACTCTCAGCACCAAACGTCAACCACGCACCTTGCACCTCACACCTCACATTACATTGGATCGCACCTTTCCCAGTCCATCTGGTCGTGTCGCTAGTCCTGTCTCTGTTCACGTCTCTCCAGCTTACCACCCACTTACCACCACCCGATCGATCATATCGCCGTACCTTAACTGCCACCACCTGCGAGGGTACTTGATCCTTTCCGAACGACAACCCTTCCTCTTTCTTTCTCTGTCTCTCTCCAGTCCATGCTGGGGTCGCTCAGAAAGATTCTGATTTGTCTTGGCCGCATATTATTTCTCCGCATCCCTCTCGTTTCGACCAAGATTGCATGCACCACACCACCCAGCACCGCATCGCGCCGCACTGCAATCCCATCGAACCACCCATCCACTCACACCGAAGCAGCGACTACAGTCGGCCCTCCGGTGAACGTCGACCAGTCTCCTCCCAACCTACCTGATCCGCCCCTCCACCTGCGACTAACACAATCTTTCACAACGTCTTCCAAGCCTTCGCCCAGCACCAGCGCGACACTAACAATTAGTCTTGTCCTGGCGTTTTTTGGGCTCCATCGCAGCTGCCCGCCGCCGTCGTTCCATTATTACACACTTCGACCGACACCCGATCGACCGACCAGCCTGGGACCCGACTGACCACGTCCCATTCCCGTCACGCTTCCACGCAACCTCTACATCAGTCGCCCACATCCCTCCACCAAAGGACCCTATTCATTGCGGAAGCTTCCTCCGTACCTCTCCGCCGCGTCGAGAATACCTCTTGAACCAACGATCACCCGGTCGGCGCTCCGCATGTTCGATTTCTTGGTCCGCCACACCTAAACGCTCAGTGTCGAGTGGAATCATGAGGACGACGACTTCCACTTGCATACCGACAACGACAACAACTTTGCTATCCCGCGCAGTTTAACACTGGATGGATCACAAGCTCAACTAAGCAGCGTCCGCTTCTGCAACTCTGCAATTCCAACTCCCAATTTCTCTGCTGCAGTCGCTGCAAGTCTACTTGCAACCATCGCCGCAGATGATTTGGTATCTTTTGTATCCTTTGCGAGGGTATGGATCTCTTCTTTTCTCCGAACGAGGCTGGTGCCACTCATCATGGATCAGCCCCATTGTAATGCATGTCCTGACTGACCTGGCTTTAGAACAACGGAAGCTCCAGCCCTTGCCACGAACCATCCTCTCCGCCGAGCATTCGCGCGATACGGTCGATATGCCGCGAGACACGTCGTCACGACTCTCATCATCTCCGTCACTGTTGCCGCGATCCTCATATACCCTTTTCCGTTTCTCTATACCTCGGATCTGAGCAATGGCGCCTCCAACTTGCCTCATCATGTGTGGACTGCTGCGCAGCCGCTCAAGGAAAACAGCACCGAGTCCGACGTAATAATGCGCTCCATTTGGGTTCACGGCAGCTACATGAAAGCACTGGACCACGACGTGTTGCTGGGCGCGCTCGAATTGCAGGATGAGCTCTTGGGTCCCACCAAAGATTTCAGCCCCCGGCGGCCCGTAACGTCCCTCCGGGCCCACGATCCATATGCAGATGCAGATCTTGCCCCTCGAGACCGGGATGCGTTCCATGTCATCAACGGCCTCACCAACCAGTCTTGGTTCTTCTCTTCGCCACTCCAGTACTGGGCCTGCTCCAATGAGCGGATAGCTTCCGACACGGACATCATATCAACCGTGAATGCGCGCAAGACGCAACCGACCTCAGTAAATGTCACTCTAAGACATTCAATAGTCTTCAGCGGCAAGCGCTTCGAAGATCGGAGACTTCTGGCCGCTGACGCTCTTGTCATAACGTTGATCCACTTGCGCGATTCCCCAGTCGGTCGACAGTGGGAGAGAAAGGCCGAATTGCTCGCAAATCGGATGAAAGACAAGTGGACAGCTTACCCAGCTGACGGGAAAAGCATGGACAGCCAGCTATACGAGTTCCAGTTCATGCCCATTTCCGTGCAAGACACGGTAATCCTGGCGCTGGCATATGGCCTCGTCGCTATTTACTTTCTCTACAGCCTTTCCAAGTTGAGGGCGGTCAAATCCAAGTTTGGCCTGATAGTTACGGTTTTTGTCCAGATTGTCGTGTCTATCATGTCAAGCTTCACTGTTTGCGCCGTTTTCCGGGTGGACTTATCCGGAATTCCGCAAGCGGCATACCCGGTCGTGGTTCTTTCCATGAGCCTCGAAAACATTTTCAGACTTATCAACGCCGTCATTTTGACTCCCTCGGAGAACAGTACGAGTAGTCGAATCAGCCGTGCGTTTGGAGAAACGGCACATGTTGCGCTGGCCAGCTCGGCACAAAACGTGCTCATCTTATGGGGACTATCGAAAATCGTCTCACCGGGCGTGTCCGCCTTTTGCACGTTTGTGGCCGTCGCTATTGTGTTTGACTTTTTTTACTTATCGACCTTCTTCCTTGCTGTTCTCAGTGTGGATGTGCGACGAACAGAGCTCAGTGACGCGCTTGCCAAGGCATCGCTGAAGAATAATAGATACGGACAGGACCAGCTGCCAGTGAACAGGAGCTGCTTCGAGGCAATGCTGCAGGGCAAGATTGCTTTGTCTACGCGCATCGCGGGCACCGTTATCATGATCACATTTGTTCTGATTGCTCAGTGGCACTTTTTCGAAAATGACACCTTCGTCCGACTGGCGCGTGGGATTTTCAGGATCTCCAGAGATACAGTCAGCTTCAGCCAACCTAAGAACTCAATGCTACTCGACATTCACCAGGCACGCAGCCCAACGTCTTGGCTTCGGCTTCAAGACCACGAAAGCGCTCGCGAGGTTATCAACGTCATCAAGCCTAGATCCCACAGTTACATCGCTCGGGTTTATGACCCTCTAGTATTCGTCCTCAAGGGTGCGGATCGCACACCCGTCACGCCCGAGCGTCCACTACTCCCGGCCCTCTACGACTTCATCGACCATCACCTGAAGCACTTTCTCGTCACCGTGCTTTTCATTCTGTCCGCCGTCCGTCTTCTCATGAACTATCTGTTATGGGGAGAGGATGCTGAGTCGAGACGCAACGACGACATGGGAGATAAACCCCTCTTGGCCATTGAATCTTTGCCAGAGGCTCACACTCTGGATGTTTTGCGCATGACTTCGTCATACGACGGACATATCATTTCTGTCGGTCTGGACCGCTCAATTCGTGTTTGGGATGTCAGGTCGGGCGAAAGAGACTACTCGCTCGCCGACATCGAGGCACCCCCCGAGGACCCCTTTCCGGTATTGGCAGTCGCTACAGACAAGAAGTCTAGCTGGTTGGCATTGTTATCCTCCAACAAGGTTTTCCTATGGAACTTGGTTGAGCACCGGTGGAGTCAGCCGATCCCGGTTGACTTGAAAAATCCGAGGTCTGACAAGCCTCCTTATTTCTTCTTCGGCACGCCGACTTTTGACTTTTCAAGCCCACTCGTGATCGTACGACGAAACGGAACGATGATACAGATCGTTCCTGGTCAAAATGAGCCCATGGAGTTCTCCATCTGCAAGAGCCCTTTGGTCTCGGTTCGTCCGCTCGTACAGAAGATCCCACCCAGCGGCACCGCGCAGCTGTCTATTCTAACGGCGTCGAGAAAAGGATGTATACACGTCGCGACACAGCAACGAGACGATACTTGGATCTCACAAAGCCTCGACGTCCATACAGCCGATGACCGCGGAGCATCTCAGGTAGTGCCGCTGTCGGCACTAGGCTCCTTCCTTGTGGCGAGGTCTCACACAGTTGACCTGGTTGATGCAAAGACGAAGGCGCTGCTTCACACTTTTGAGACAGATTCAATTCAACCGGGGTCTCTGAGATGCTTTCATTCGTCACGAAGAAAACCTCAATGCGGTTCGATTGGGCTTGTGTCATTCGGTATCGCGTACACCCATGCAGAGAAAGGCGACTGCGTGATTCACACCTTTATACCAAAGGAAGAAGGCAACGTCATTTGCTTCCGGAATACGAGTTCGCCGCCCAGCCGCAGCTGTAGTGCATGGGCCGAGACCATTGAGTCGAAGAGGGAGATTAGTAATCCGGGGACATGGGAAGCTCTGCCAAACGGGTTTCTCGTGGGCGTCCGGAGGGAAGTGTACGATAGCGGGTCAAGCAGCGGCGAGTCGTCTCCGACAACAACCGGTGGTCTCCGTCACAGGATGTATCAACGGCCAGAGAAGCGACCAAACAGATCGCAGGACAACTGGGAGGTCTGGGTAGCTTCAGAACTGGGGCGGGAGCAGATCTACGAAACAAGGCCCCTTCATGATGAGTACGAGATGGGCTCGCATCTCATTATCTCGGGACTGGGTCCCATCGTCAAGGTCGGCACCGCATCGGTGGCGGTTGCTTTTGGCAATATTATCAAACTTATCACGGTTGGACACCAGCACTTTGAGGATCTGGCCGAGAACGAGACAGGGGAGTCTCTGCACATTGGCAGCCGACGACGGAAACCGGCAGCTGTTACGCATGCCCGGATGAAGGTCCCGTCATGGATTTGAACTGTAAGCGGGAGTAAACTTTGGAGGGGAGGTTTTGGATTGGAAGGCAATATTCTCATCTTCTTTTTATATACCCATGATCGACAAAAGGGAGTTGGGATTTTCTGTTTTACTATTACTTTGACATAGTTTCGAGATGATGCCCCCGTCATGGGAATGAGGGGCCCAGAATTATAAGATTCCCCATTTCAGCATATGCATATGATTTCTTGTGACGGCTTCTTTACGTCGGCTTTTGCTAGATAGATTCGTGTACGAAACCAGTCGATTGTGCCGTCTCAGTAGTATCTCCCAGAGCTGAAATAGAGGTAGTGTTTCTAGCACGACTAGATAGTCTCGAATACCGAGGCGTTTGAAGGACATACCATCAATAAACCACGGCTTCCATTGCTTCAACAGACTCTACTTCCATTTAATTTCCCGTTTTGTCATTCACCTCACCTTGGACAAGCAGGTTCCGTGATCCAATGCTATCCCCCAGGCGCTGCTGCTCTCTGTGTGCGCTTCATGATCTACTCCGTGCCCACAAACTGTCACATACGACCATACCCATTGGAAAACTCGGGATCCCGTCCGCTCTCCCATAGATAAGCCAATGAGGGCCGGATTAGTAGTTGGGTCGGTGACGACCAGCGAATACCTGGTGTTGTATGTTTTTTCGAAGTTTTTGTGGATGGCGATGGTGGATATCGTGATGTTTTATTTTTATTTTGGTGATGTTGTGGAGTTGGGGCGAGTGTGGGGTTGGTGGGGGTGCCGGTGTGGGGGTTCGAATTCGATTGCGAAGGTAGTTTGGGGTAAGTGGAAACGGGAGAAGGGGAGCTGATGGGCAAGGTGTTGGGGCAGGATATCTCGAGGTCTCTCTTGGTTATATTATCTCAGAGAGAGAATGTCTGTTTCGTTTGACGTGGGGTGTGTGAGTCGAGCAGGGTTTAGTTACATTTACTTTTACACGCAGTCGGCTGCTTGGTCTGGATCTGGTGAAAGTCGTCTACGTCTCTGGCCATGCTATACCGTCGTCAGACTGCTGTATCTTGATGAAACGTGTACCCTCTGTCAAGCGGTATAGGGATGGGAACGGAGCACGCGAGCAATAAACAGCAGGAAAGTACAGAAACGAGGACTGTCTCCCTGCTATCTAGCCTCTGGCTCTCATGGCCTGGATGTACTACTTCTCGACTTTTCAGGGAATCCTCATGCTCATGACGCCGAGATAAAACCGATCTTGGATGGCCATACTTGGTAGGACGAACGTATGTTTCTTACATGGCAGAGCCCATGCCTTTGAAATAGTGTCAGAAGGCAAGAGACGGCATGTTTTACAAGTTGTACAATATCTGTGTCTGGCGGAAATCTTTGGCTTCATTCGGGTATCTCATTCATTTAGTTGTGTGGAGCGGTAGTGTAGAGAGTTCTCGCACATTACTATCTACCTAAAGGTCTCCTGCAGCTCGGGATTGTTGGGCTCGGATACTAGATCCATTATGAAAGGATGCCAGAAGAGAGGGGATACCATGAAATCTAGGCTGTTATGTATCTTAAGTCGTATGGAGCTGCGATATTGGCAGAGTGATTCCACTCCTGTGTGAGGCCACTTTGCGCCTAGTTCAATAAAGCACTCGCTCGCTCACATGAAGGGTAGTGAGTCGCCTTCTATACTAGGTCATGAGCCTCCTCCTATACCGTATCTAGATCTTCTTGTCAAGGTCTTCATTAGCCTACGTGCAAAACTGAGAATAGTTAGTTATAAGAGCTTTTAGATGGATCTACAAAACACTCAAGCAAAAAAAACGTACAACCAACGCCAACCGAAATGGCAAAAGAGTTCACCCCCCCGGTGCTGAACTGGGGGCTACATCTCTGGCGCTCATGCTGGGATTCGAACTCGGGTACTCGCTAAGCCTGTCGTCGAGTAGGCTGGTTGGCGTATAAATTGTTCGTTGACCATAAACCACTCCACCACGCAGCCAGTTTGACCTGACCCGTCGACCTAGACGGGCGCCTGCTGGCTGGTGACCGGAATGGAAGTGACGGGGCCTATATGGGCTTGTTCGTGGTCGGGTGTGGAAGGTCAACCCTTTGCTCCTTCCCGGCCTGACTTCAGATACCTGAGGCAGATAGGCTTTCGTGATGCCACCCGTGGAGAAGGCGTCACGAGGAAGAACACATAGAGGTATATGGGTCGAGGTCAAAATACTAGGTGAAGGTAATCGATACACTGGTTCTGCCCATTTGGTAATTGATAAACCACGAGGCGAACACGCTCCGGACGGAGAACAGTTGAGCACGCAGCACGCCCCATCAGATAGTTTACTATAAAGTATTGCTGTTCTTCAAACCGTGCTGATTTTCAAAGAAAAAAAAGTCTTAGTTTCCACTTACCTCTAGACTAGTTATCTAAATCAAACTTACGCAGTTCATGTCAAACTGAATGGAACATCGAGAACACCTTCACCCGCACTGCTGCTGGCACCGACTGGCACGCCGCCCTTCGCCAACCGATGATGTCAGTGCGCTGTTGATCAGATATCAAAGACCCATACTGAAGCATAAGATCCCCATGGACGTCTTGACATCCGATATCATGGTGTGTTGCCGCCTCTGGCTATATTATAGAGACGGCTATCTGAACAGAGGAAATATCACAATGCTTTCTCTTTCTAACACGAGGTAAGGGCGAGTATTGGGTCTAAGCTAGTGATTGAGAACTGCTCGTACAAGCAAGGGTTCATGTTATTAAGGTAGAAAAAGCTCTGATCTTTAGTATTACTTATCGTTTCTTATTCACCACCCCTCGGTATAGCTCTGGAAGCATTCAATCCCGAATACTCTAATGACGAAACAGAAAAGTCTAATGCCTTCGTCATATCGAGGGATTTTCATACTGACGTATGCTTATGTTACAACATACAACATTCACGCCGTGAGTAGCGACATATCGTAGCTAAATCAAATCTCATGCTTGATGTCAATGAATTTGTTTACGCACAATATTGGTAGAGCAATTATATATGAGACCAGTGTCAACTCGGCTGACATCCTTGCATGAACGCAAGACCGCCACGAACGACATTGAACTCACATGGGTTTTGATATGACCAGGCAAGGTTAAGACTTGCCTCGAATACATGCCACCGCCATCATCCGTATAATTGATTTACTCCCAGAACTTCGCATTGATGAAGAATCAGAAGGAGCGGTAGGCACACAGAACCATGACGGTTATTTCGAGTCACTAGATTATTCAAACATCGTGGAGATCATACATTTTTGGCTTGTGATTTTGTATCTATCAAGTGGCGTTTTCCAGGAGGGTGTATCCCGCACCCTCGCTTCTCTACATGTTGTCTCCGTCTACATCGTTTGATCCCGTTCATCCCCTGCGAAATACCTATTCTGACCTCTAAACCTTTGCACCTTTGATAACCCATAGCTGACGCCCGACACAATAACTCCAGATAACCCAAAATAAAACCAGCCTTGAAGCAGCTTCCTCTTCCTCTATGAACTCCAAAATTCTTCTACACAATGATCATCATGTCGTTAGGAAACCAGCCAAACGACAACATCCTACCCGTCCCGACCCACGTTATCGACGTAATACAACAGTCCCTTACCCCTTAAGCTCACTGATACCGCGGCCTCCGGCACGGGTACTGGTCAGGGAACCAAGTCAAGCACTCCTCACAGGCATCGTCGAGGCCAATGGTCTGCCATACCTGCCGCTTGGTGCAGGGTTTCTGGATGAGGCTCGCGGGTTGGCAGAAGCGGGCGAACGTGAAGGAGAGGTGCTTGCACGTGAAGGCGTGGGCGTAGTATTGGCACATTATGAAGCTTGTAGTGAGGTGTAAGTCGTGGGCGGATGAGAGTTATTGTATTCCAAGCGATGTGGTTGGTTCTGACTCTTTTTCGTGTGGTTGAGACTTGGCGCCTGGAGGAGTAGCTCTGCTGGTTGATAGATTCTCTTCGACTTGTACGACTTTGCGATTGTCAAGGTATCTCGGCAACCGGTGATAGTTGCGGCCGAGAGTGTGAAGAGTAGACTCGGGAACAAAGGTTGAGGCTCACTCGTTGGTATCTTGACGGGCGTGTAAGAAATGAACGTGATTAGATCGAATCAATACAAGATCCAAAGAATGGAAAGCACGTCTGAGAAATGCAGACTGAGAGGGCATCTATTTGTAGCCCCTCGCCCCTGATCTTACAAACAACAACGTCAGTTTAGTTTGCCTTCATCGGGCACCAAACCGCAAGCTACGGCGTGACCTCGATCCTACCAGACAACATCGTTTGAGAACCTGTAGGAAGCCTCCTTTCCCCCTACCCTACACAGAACTTCGAGCCGGAGGTGAGGTACACCAAAATCACCCCCCAAAAGGAGGAAACCTAACCCAAGCCGAAGCGCACCGAGATCTATGAAATCTCACAAAGCAGGGCACGCGGGTCGCGGGTCGTCCGGAAGCTGCAACATCCCGCTCCGGAAAGCAAACGGTGGTTACCGCGGCCAGGAACCAGGAACCAAACGACGCAGAGTTTCAAACGGAATCTTTGGCTCTGATTCGAGAAGAAAGGAGGACACCCAGGGGGGGGGGGGGACGCTTGCTATTCAGCTTCACATATTGACCGAGAAGACAGCTGGCTAAAGGGTGTGTTGCACTGTCTGATGAATGCATCCACGTTCCAAAATGTGTGCCCGACAAAACGTCATGATGTCTCTCGCGCTGGTATTGAGGCAAGTCGACACGACCAAGGGGCCCCAGAATGGCTGGCTCATCTTCAACCTTACCCGGCATCGAGGCTGCGATCGTGACATATAGGGCTGCAGGCTCGTGATCTCAGAATCGCAGCGTAATGCAGTCCGGAAGCGAGTCCGACCCCCGAGTGAGATGACGAGGTCGTACAGTATGGTGGCGGAGTGCGCGACGTTGAGGCTGGCAGGAAGTACGACGGCCGCTCACGCCTGTGTTGACAACACACAATACAGAGAGCATGCGTTTGTACTGCGACCTCAATCACTACATTGAAGACATGTACAGAAGTTGGCAGGCCATGTCACAAGGCACGCTTGCACCTGTGGACTTTGGCTGCACCCACTTACACATAGCAGCGCTCGCCACCCCGGATGAGCTCGCATCATAGCTTGACTCTTGACAAGGCGTAGTGGAGGCGGACCCATCCAGAGACAAGAAATCGTAACTCCAAGATGGCATAGGTGACATAGCCGCAAGGAAACGGAGGCCTGTTCTTCACCGCCAGTTTTAGTACTGCCTGTTGCTGCTGCTGGTCACTTCTGCAGTCGTCAGGCCGGGCTTCGGTATGTAAGCGGTATGTTGGGTTTCTTGTATTCTTAGAGATGGAAAGCCATTCAGTGAAGAATCGGTACCCAGGGTGGATTGTGAAGGAGGGGCGGCCGCATTGCCCTCGGCCAAGCGTGAGGTTGGTAATAGGTCATAGGCTTGTCAGATCCAGGTTCATTCTTCTAGTCACTATAACAATCTTCATCAGCCCTCGTGTGTTGGCGTGGCGTAACAGTGCGAAGTGTTCCCTGGAGCGCTGAGATAGAACTGCCTTACGCAGAGTTGTCAGGCGCAGCGAGGCCATTGACTTATGCGCTGGCACCATTGAGGCCTCTGGGAGGCCGCACATAAGGTCGGCGAATCGCGACTGGGAGTATCAGTAGGGGGATTCTTCACACTTTGGACTTTTGGTACAGCGAAAAAAGAGGTGGCTGGGATGCCGAGAGTTGAGTTGAGCGCAAAGGGGACGTTTTCCCTGCTTCGAGAAAGCGCGCCGCGTCCCGTTGGTCAGATCAGAAGGCGATCAAGAGACGTTGGACGCTAATCCAGAAAAAGACTAAAGCGGCCCAGAGAGGAGCTTGAGGGGCCACTGCCAAACGCTGGTGGGTCCAGCGAGTAAGCGGTACGTATCCTTTTTGGTGGAAACACCGTGGAAGCACAACTTCACAAGTTATTCCACGACGGACGACTTGTGCCATTTAACCCAGTCTTGCTCGTACAAGACGGCCTTGTGCAACCTGGATCGGTGAATATACCACGATGTCCGAGCAGCATTTGTTTCGGGACGTGGGCTGGGTAATCTGAAACCCCCAGACTGACAAGGGTAAACAGTCGCACGGGCTATTCATTGCTGTTCGAGGGTGACGGGAAGGATACGGGACTCGATAGTCGACATCCGGCCACGTTGTGCGCCTTTGGGCCCCTTGCTTTGCCTTTGCCTGCGTATCCGTATGGTGCATCAAAGATTCTGGGCACAGCCAGAAGCAGGCCTGCATGGGGAGCATATAGGTAACTGATATCGATTCGTCGGCAGTGGGCCACCAGAGCGCAACGCGCATTTGCGCGTGTCTGTGTGGACGCATGGCGAAGTCTCAGAGCGACACGATAGACAGGTTCCGACAAGGGAGGAAAAGCAAGCAAGCCAGCAATCTAGGCTGATTTGTGCGCATCAAGCGAGATGGCATCTCCCGTGTCTCAGACCGGCGTGATATGTTGATATGACGGGAAAAGTGTGAGAAGATGGTCCAGAGGGGAGGATCGTGTCGCCCCCAAGTTGGCCATTGACGCAAGGATCGGGAGAGGCTCCGGTCTGTCTCGAGGGCCGTATAAGGCATTGTCTACGTAAACTCTTAGTGATAGAGGGGTCCAGTCCGGCCGAGCAAGCTGCTGGTCAATGAAGGATACTCGAGAGTCGAAAGTCGAGACCCCGCGGACCCTTGGGATAATTAGTTGGTTAGTCGGCTTGTCTCGGAGCGTGGTCCCGCGCGTCAGAAGGAAAGCGCGGCGCTATCGCGTCGTCGGCGTCAATTCAGATCAGAAAGCATCCTAGACCTAGGGTTCAGATGAACGGCGCTTGGTCCTGTAGCGCGGTCATGTGGAAAGCTTGGATGGCGAGTGACTGGCGGGGAAGGAGCACGTCGCAATGCCTACAATAAGAACGGATACTCCGTACTCGTAGGATAAATCAATGACTGAGGTCATATCAGCTAGGCCGCCGTTTGTTCGGAGAGCGAACTGGAAGAGGAAGAATGCCGATGAGTGGAAGAGAGGGCCGGTGGAGGCGAGGCAAGCAGCGCAACAGAATGACCAGGAAGGATTCCCGTCTTCGCTCCTACCTTGGTGGTGTGTCTGGCTCGTTCGGCTTGCCATGCTGGGGGCCGGGGCCAAGTGGGCACCTCAAGTTCGCAATTGAATTGCCAGCGCCAGTTCCCATTTCATAGTTCAAAAGTCAAGCGGGTCGCAGGGATCCCATCTTAGCGCGGGCATCTTTTTACCCCCCGTGTCCCCGTCCAAGTTCGTGGGAAACTGTGCCTGAGCTTGGCTTACGGATGGGATACCTTGACTTGCACACTTGCAAGCCTTGTTCCCACGCTGTTTCCTGCCTCCATCCAGCTCCAGCTTTCCAGCCCAAGCTCCAGCTCCAATTCCAGCTCCAGGCCATCGCCTTTTTCCCTTTCTCTTTCTTTCTCATCACTTGGTAGGAGAACCTTACCTATCCGTACGAATACTTAGCTTCTTCAGCCCCAGCCTACTAAGCAATCGAGAGCTGATGTCACCCGCGCCCAATCCAACACCCATCTTCGCGTTCGATTCCACCAGGGCTACCACATCAATCACTTTCAAGCCTTAACTCACACGGTGCGCGCGTCTTCCGAGGGGTGGACAACTCATCTTGCAGCATCTTGCCCCCATCATCCAACCTACAATACCCGACTTTATTCGCTGCCTCTCGCCTCTGTACGACGTCGCCCGCGGCCGTCATTGTTGCTCCTACTTCTCATCTCACTTCATAACCACCCGACCCCTGGTGTCCAAAGACTCCATTCTCAGGCACCCTATCGCGCAGCCTCCATCACTTGTACGGTACCTGTTGGGCGACTTCGTCATCCATCTGTATCAGTACCCCGGGAATTGCCTCCATTCCCAATCGGCCTCGGTTCTCCCAGTTCTACACTACCTTACGGCCAGACCGCGCAGCAGCTCTCGCCAAGGCCCACACTCGTTCATGCACAATACGACCGCATGCCCCAGTCCTCTGCGCCTTTGTCTGCAAGCTCTCCTTTAGGGCACATATAACCTGCAGCTACCTACATTACCTTACATTACATTACATCGCCCGAACCCGTCTCAAAACTTACCTGCATCGCTGCTGTTCTTCGACTCGTCCTCAACCATTGTCGAGATGCCTTCATAGCCCGACATCCAACACACTACCTCGTCACACCCCAATTCCACGACTACGACTGCTGCCAGCCGTCTCATCTCGTCTGGTTCCATTTCGCCTGCTCCCACCTTGACTTGACAGACGTTTGGCACCCAGTCCCGCCCCCGCAGCCACGCCGACGCTCACTTCCACGCCCGCTCTTCACCGCCTCCTACGCCGGCATTATCCTTTGACACTCGTTTATTCTCCCAGGGATCGCCCTCGTAGCCCATCAGCGAGCTCTATCCACGACTGTCCTCAAAAGGATTCTCGACGACGATCCACCCAAGCATTGAGCGTTGTCGTCATGCTATTTGCGAAAAGATCACTCAATCACTCATCTTCTCACTTGAATAATTGATTTCTGCGCCTAGCAAGTTGCCAATTGGTCGAACGATCCGACTCACTCACTAAGTACTTACTATTAATGTATTATACCTGTGAGTATTCATTTCTTCCAGATTGCACTCAATGCGATCGGTGCCCTTAGTTGCTGACAACCGGCATAACTCAGTCTCATTGTCAGGTCAAAGATTCAAAACGTAATCGGCTTGTTCTGCTCCTCGAATACCTTCTTACCTTTGAGCTTTCCGCAGCTCTCATAATTAGTTCATTCACTATTGCCCGCGACTCACACTCAGCCATTGCGTACGCCCCTCTACTGAGCGGCTTGAATCAGTACAGAGAAGGGCACCTAATTATCATTGGCGAAATTTTGGCGAGTCCCAGCCAACTCTCTCAGTCAGGGCTTGCTTCTTCTTCATCAAGGCCACAGCAGCCGTAATACCCATCTCCGCCATCTCCCCCGCCGCAGACGTACGGACAAATCCTCATGGCTTCCTCCGAAGTTGACCAGAAGTTCCTCGGAAAATGGGCGAAAACCGTCGAAACCGATAACCCACTCTTGTCATCGATGCTTTACAAGATCCTTGGACTCTCACTAAGCCTTGCAGAGCAACTTGTCACAGCGAAGAAACAGCGCAGACCCGATGCCGCCCGCGCGCCCCAGTCTCTCGACCTCATTTTCCACATCATCTGGCTTTCAAGAGAGGGCCTAGTGATGCTGCAGCAATATGTGATTCCTATGGTGGGAAACCATACAGAACTCCGGGTATTGGCGTACAAGCTACGAGCATCGTTCTACCACATTTTCGTCCTGTTTCACAACAAACCTGCAGTGTCCACTATGGGCATCGCAACTCCAGACACAATGGCCGGATTGACCCCACCGAGGATGGACAAGGGCAAAGGAATCGCAAGGGAGGATTGGAACTCATCGCAGGGCTCAATACAGCCCACACATGCCCTCGAGGGCGGTCCAGTGAACCCTCCACCGGGTTTCGCTCCTCAAAGCGGCTCCGACCAACCCGCCGCCTTCCTCGAGCCGCCGAGAGATTACCTCCCCGAAGCGCACAAGTACTTCAAGGAGGCGATTGCCCTAGCTGACCAACACCTCTGGGGGTCGCATTCATTACGACTCTCCGTCAAGACTGAATACGCCGCGTTCCTTTACGAGTGTGTACACGACGCTGACGGGAGCCGAAAACTGGCCAAGGATGCCATATCCGAGGTCTATGAAGCGACCGAAGGCATGGATGACGACATGTTTTCCGATGCTTGCGAGCTGGTTACTGTCCTGGGCAAGATGATGAAGCGAGGGCTCGGGTCGAGTAACAACACTTTGACCAGAGGAACAAGTCCTAGTCCAGCTGCACCTCCAGGAACGACAATGGCCCCGGGCATGGAGAATCCCATCTGAGTGAAGACATGTCTCAATGATGGCTATTCTATGACCTGGCCAGGAGGAACTCGATATCACTCGATCTCCGGTCACGAGTCTCTCAAGATGTGCAGCTTGGTGGCGGTGGTCATATTCTCCTGCTCCGACCGACGGCGAAAGCTACACTCGGGTTGGGCACGATAGCCTCTCATGGCATGCCTACACCGGGTTTCCCTTTCCCAGGCTTCTTCGATGTACAAGATTCAGCTCAAAAATACTACTGCTACAGCGGAGTCGAGCAGGCTAAGGGGGCATTCTCGAAAACTTTGAGCGCACACAGCATCTCAAACGGCGCATTGGGTGGCACATAATATTACAGCAGACCCCCTTGGACAATTTTCAAGGGCTGCTTACCTGTACTTATATCTTGGATACGGCGAGAATGGGAGGCGAATCGATACGGTGGGAGTTTTCTACATGCACCATGTATAAGATGGCTGCTTTTTGTTATAATAGTTGATTCCCATTGATACCCCATCCTCTGCGGTGGCTGCTGGTGGTGGTGGTCTGCACCTTTTTCTATAGAAGCTTCAAAATTTTCGGGGTTTCTCTGCAAACCGAAATGCTGTGAGATCAAACTCGGACCAATCACTACTAGTAAATTGAGATGCAAAAGCAGTTCGTCGTGAGTACCAGTGATGGAAATAGGGTTCTCTCTCTCTCTCATTAATCCTTCTCTCCCGAAACCCTACGAAGGAGCAGAAAGAAAGAAATAGAGCAAAAGATGGCTGGCTGGATATGGAAAAAGGGTCCATCGTCCTTATATGGAGGAGCTACCTTGTTACCCAGAGACGGCTCAAACACAAAACCGCAAATTACCACCCCATCTATCCGTTATCCCGAATCCCCAATCCCAATTTTTGATATCTGATAACCCATTCCCATCCGTCTAAACCAGTTGTCCCAAATCAAAGCCACGATCAAAGTCTCGTAGACGAAAAAAGGTGAGGAAGTAACCTTTTTCGTCATCGTCATTCGTCAGTCGTTACCCTCCTCGAGCCAGATGTCTCATGAGGGTCGCATTTCGCAAACAAGCGTAAGAAAGGAGAAAAAAATGGGGGGTATCAATCCTCGTCATCATCGACGAGAGCATCCTCAGGAGCGTCCCGACCCTCGTAGGGGTCTAACAGATCCTCGCTACCGGCCACCGAGGAGGCCCAACTCCGCACGCCGGCGGCTTTGCCTCGGTCTTCCTCAGCCTCACACCTCGACTTGATCATGTGAAGCGGCACCATCCGGCCCGTGGCATTGTAAAAGTTGGCCTGCATCTCGAGCCACTTTGTCGCCTCCCTCTTGGACACCACGGCTGCGAGCGTCGCGTCGTCTCGCCGCTGCTGTCTGTCTGCTGGGCTGGGCGCACGTCTATTGGCGGGAGGGGGAAGTGGTCTCTTTCTCTTCTGGGATGCTGCGGGCGCGGGAGGGTAGAGCACCGGGTGGATGTGGCGGCGGATGTAGCGCTCCTGGCCGGCGAGTTCGCGTTTGTATTGAACTTGAGGATCGGCGTCGTTATCGTCTGCGCTGGTAGCGGATGACGTTGACTCGGAGGCCGAGGAGGTGTCGCGGAGGAGGTTGAAGCGGTCTCGGTAGGATGAGCTCGGGGTCTCATCGTTGGTGTCTGAGGTAGCAGGCTTTGACGAGTCCTCTGACGGGGCGGGCTTGGCGGGTTTGCCTCTCTGTTTGGGCTCCTTGGGCTTGGACTCGGGTTTCTTGCCCCCAGTGGTCTTCACCTCCTTGGAAGGTTTTTGCGGCTCTTTCGCTTTTTCATCAGACTCGGGGGTCTCTTTATTCTTCTGCTTCTGCTTTTCGGTTTTGCGCTCCGCCTTTCTCTCTGCCTTGGATTTGTACTTATCATCATCTGACTTCTTTGCCTCATCTTGGCTCACGTCGGTTTTGGCATCAGCCTCAGTACCGGCCTGGGATTCGGTCTGGGCGGTCTCTCCTCCAGACACTGTCTGAGCCTCGCCAGTGGATTCGGCCGAATTGGCAACATTGATCTTCAATACGTGCCAGCGCTTTTTGACCTCGTTCTTGCCTCTGTTGATCGCGTTCCCAATGGAAGCCCAGGTCTCACCACCCTCCTTCATGCTGATGATGAGGGCATCCTCTGAGGCTGTCCACTCGCCCGTGGTTGATGAATGGCCACCAGTAGAGGCGTCTCCGCTCTTTGAGGATGCATCGTCGGTTGTGCTCTTGTCCTCTGAGGCTGTCTCGCCAGAAGCTGACGACTCAGCCACATCTGAGTTGGCTGCATCTGATGTGACTACAGAGGATGTCTCTGCTTCTGTGACTGACTGGCTTCTTGTGTCTGCGGTCTTGCCCTTCTCGTTTGGCTTATTTTTCAGGCCGACCTCACTATCAGCGGCGTTTGTGCTAGCCTCTGAGCTCACAATGCTGGTCGACTCCCCAGATGTGGTTTTGTTGTCAGGCTCGGTGAGTTCTTCGACGTCGAGATCTCCGAACAGGTCGACGAGGGTCATGGCGTCATCATCTGTGACTGCTGTGACGGAGGATGTGCCATCGTCAACGACTGTGGCAGCCAGATGATTAGCTTTGGTCATTGCGAAAGCATAGGTATGTTGGCTTGTGGAGTGTTGAGGAGATGAACCTGGAAAATATTTTTTAGCAAATAATTTGGAAAGGGAAGGTTCGCTGGAATTGTAGCTCACTATTTGAAGTTTGGTCTGCCTGTGAGTACTCTGGAAAACCACAAAGCTTTGAGATTTGAAGTCGCTGCTTCCGTTCCGAAATATTGCAATTGTCCGATCCGAAGTGTTCAATCCGCTGAGAGTGACAATGGCAGTTCTTCTTTCAGAGGACGACTTTGATGAATGATGCGCTTGAGATATCTGAATGTGAGGTCGATCGGGTGTTATCGATGGACTTGGTCGTGATGTTGATGAGAAAGTTGTAGGTGAGTCCAGGCTTTGTGGGCGCTCTTGAAAACGACAGCGTAGTTGCAGAATTCTATTGATAGAAGGATCAATGAATCTGCGGGCTGAAGAAGTATAAGCTGTGGTTGTCACGAGGTGGTGCCTTGTGAGAAATCTGATGGGTTGCTGAAAGAAAATGTAGAGGTCAAGGTGGGTGGTTGAGTTTGCTGATTGATAAGGTAAGGTAAGGTTAGGTAGGTGAAGCTAGCAAAGGAGGCAGGAGCGAGGTGTCACGGGGGGTGGAAATCAATCAGGAAGCTATGATTTCACCACAGCAGGCAGGAACAGCGTTCCGTCATCCTTTCTCAAACAGACAGGTATGCCCTCTCGAGGATCAAGTGGGCAATTGAATCAATTCTGTAGGGCAGGTAGAAAGGAAAGAAGAGAAAGATTCTGCTTGTGGCTGTGGTGAGCACGAACCCGAAAATGAAAACTTGAAGCTGGCTTTGACGGCCAAGATGGGGCAGAAGGACCTCCTTGAAAGCTATTAATATGGCTTCATCAGACTGCCAAAGTGTCAAACTTCAGCTTAAGCGGTTGAATGGGTCCGACCAATCAACGAGCATGAATCATACGCAGTAGCTTGAGGAAGTGTGCGTATGCAGCATCGGCCATGGTGGGACGAAGGGACGAAACGGTGCGGTTCGGGGTCCCTTCTCCAAGCTCCCCCTTCCTGGATCGCAAAGTATCCTCCGGTCTAGAACAGGCGAGACTGGGCGGCAGGGCGATCTGCCGAAGCATAGAAGCATGGCGCCAACGGATTGACAGGTTATGGGTCCTGTCGATCTATATGCTGAAAATAGGCGTTAATTGTGCGACGTGGTGAGTGTGACATTGAGTGGGAAGTTTGGTAGAGCCATGGTCTGTTGCGTGGGGGAGTGGGATGTGTGGGAAATATCAAGTTGATGTTAACAACAAGGTCCGGGGATTGGTCCACGGCAATGAGGACGAGGTGAGCCTCTGATCTCTGATGCAGGTCCGGGACGGGCGATATGTGAGCGATGGCCAATCATGCCCCGGGCTTACTCATCGCCTTGAATGGAACCCGCCGTCGGTGGTTGCATTTTTGATTTCGGTCTCTGAAAGGGCGACTAGCGGCTTTCTCTCTCACTGGCCAAGAAGTTCTCGCAAGGCCTGAAACAGCAACCCATCTCTTTCCTCACCAGCGATCTCCGTTCAAACTCACTCATCCCAACACCCTCCCGTTGAACACACCCACCATATCCCACCTCATACTATCCCATAATCATCGCACACACCAAAATGATGGCGTCGTCTTCACTGCCCGATCTGCCACCCAATTACCTCAAGGCCCTCGAGCTGATCGACGAGGCCCACAAGCAAGATCCCAGGCCATCGTCCGTTGAGTCGGTTCCTTTTGAGCTTCACTATGCCCAGAAGATGACGCGCTGGCTCGCCGTCAGGTCTCCGGCGGCCCCTCCGGTCCTGCAACTGGCCTGCCGAGCCCAGCATTTCAGGAGGTAACATTTTGCAATCAAGCATTCTTTTCTTATTATACTTTTCACCTTTTTTTGAACAAGCAATTATAAGCATCACAATGTGCATGTTAAGCATATCATGTTTGATGAATAAGACCCCTTGCCAGTCATACCTACCTAACAAGCCTCATTATCTGACTCACCTGATTTGCGAACCGTAGATGGGAAATCCCCCGCAACACATACCCAATGACCCGTCCGGGCTACCTCACCTGGCGCGCGAAGCTCAAGTCCCAAGCCGCCGCTCAGGTGGCTGAGCTCCTCGCCTCATCGCCCGACATCCAGCCCGCCATCCCCCAGGAGGACGTCGACCGCGTAGCAGCGCTTATCCGCAAGGAGAACCTCAGCAAGGACGAGGAGACGCAGGTGCTTGAAGACGTGGCATGCCTCGTCTTCCTCGACGATCATTTTGACGACTTTGAGAGCAAGGAGGAGGTTGACGAGGATAAGATTATTGGCATCCTGCGCAAGACGTGGGCCAAGATGAGCGAGGAGGGGCACGCGCTGGCGTTGAAGATGAACCACAGCGAGAGGGCTTTGAGTCTCATTGGGAAGGCTTTGGCGGGGTGATGTTGAGCGAGCTTCATATGAGGGAGAGGCTCTGGAGGGGTAATTCCACATGAAAAAGAAATAAAAATAATTCTCCCACCATGGGACCACCACAACCAACAACCCGATGCGACATCGGTGATTTACAGTGATGACGAGCTCTATATCCGTGCATCTTTAGCGAGTGAGAAAATCCTCCCGTGGGCCCTGGGGGTGCAATCCACCCCCGCCTGCATGGGGGGCAGCCGTCATACATGGGCAATTGCCAGAGTCGCATCAAAAGGGAAACCCGGGGAGGACGGCACGCTGCAGCCCCACCATCCCGAGGGACCCTCTCGGCGCAATACCGCCCGAAATCGACTACCCCCTTCGGTCCCGGGACATGTCAGACTACGCCTTGGCGCCCGGCCCGCGACGACATACAAAGACGGCGATGCAAGACTACATCTCCCAACATCATCCCTCTCTCTAACGCCCTTCTTCTACCCATCTCACCTATGCTCTTATGATAAGAACATGCCCCCTCTTACACTGACGCCCACCGAGGTATCAAAACACGACCGCCTCGACGACCTCTGGCTCGCAATCGACGGCGCTGTCTACGACTTAACAGACTTTGTCCGCGAACACCCAGGCGGCATCGCCGTGATTCTCAAGTGCGCAGGCAAAGACGCCACTGGAGTCTACTCTGAAGTCCACGGGCCCAACCTGGTCAAGTCGACCATTCCCTCCTCGCACCACAAGGGCGTCCTACCCCCGGGAGCCATCATGGCGAAGCCTCAACCTCACAAGTGGTCACAGCAGCAGCAACAAGATCCATCCCAAAAACAAGACAGCCAAACACCACCAACACCACCAACCATGCCCTCAAAACCTCCCCTTACAACCCTCATAAGCGCCCACGACTTCGAATCCGCAGCCTCCACCTCCTTCTCCCCCAAAGCCTGGGCCTTCGTCTCCTCCGCCGCAACAGACCTCTTCACAAAAACCCGCAACGCGGCCCTCTACTCCCAAATCACCCTCCGCCCCCGCGTCCTCGTCGACGTCGCCGCCGTCTCCACCGCGACAACCATGCTCTCCCACCCGATGCGCGCCCCCATCTTCTGCCCGCCCACCGCAATGGCCCGCCTCGTCCACCCCGAGGGCGAAAAGGAACTCGGCCGCGCCTGCAAATCCGCCGGCGTCCCGCAGTGCGTCTCCGTCTCCGCCTCGTTCCCGCTCGAGGACATCCTCGCCGCCCAGCGTGAGCACGAACCCGCAACCCCTTACGACGTCCCCGTCTTCTTCCAGCTCTACGTCGACAAGAACCGCGCCAACTCGGAACGCCTGCTGCGCTCCGCCCAAGCACAGGGCGTCAAGGCCCTCTTCCTCACGATCGACGCCCCGATCCCCGGAAAACGCGAGGCCGACGAGCGCGTGGCCTCCGACGAGTCCCTGGGCTCCCCCATCTCCGGCGCCCGCGCCGTAAACGACGCCAAGGGTGGCGCCCTCGGCCGCATCATGGGCAGCTACATCGACGCCTCGGTGAACTGGTCCGACATTGCCTGGCTGCGCCGCACCGTTCCGGGTCTTCCCATCGTCCTCAAGGGCGTGCAGACGTGGATGGACGCCGAGCGGGCCGTCGAGGCCGGTGTCGAGGCCATTGTCCTCTCCAACCACGGCGGGCGGAGCCTCGATACCTCCCCCGCGACCATCATGGTGCTGCTGGAGCTGCAGAAGAACTGCCCGCACGTGTTTGACAGGGTCGAGGTGTACGTGGACGGCGGCATTTCGCGTGGGACGGATATCTTCAAGGCTTTGTGTCTTGGTGCCAAGGCCGTAGGTGTTGGGAGGGGCTTGTTGTATGGGCTTAATTATGGTGCTGAGGGCGTTGAGCGATACATTGAGAGTGAGTCCTTTTTTCGCATCCCATTTTGTCGCAGCTTTCTGGGTGAAGGCATACGCTGTGAGATGTATAATCGGAATGCTGACTTATTCGTAGTCCTGCGAGACGAACTGGAAACGACGATGAAAATGTGCGGTGTCACAAACCTAAACCAAGTCCACCCAGGCTTCCTCAATACCTTGGCCGTGGACCACCTCATCCCGGGACGACATGATAACCCAAATACACCCTGGCGCCGTGATCTACACAGCAAGCTGTAATCAGTTTGTCGATTATAAAACCCAACGCACTAGCAGTTGACATGTCTCACGACATCTCTTGGCAATCTCTTGGCTTATATATATTCTCAATTGCATTAGAGAGGGTTTCATACGCCCATTGGGGCCATGTAAAAGACTTTGGGTATTACATATACACATAACGATAGTTGCCCCTCCCTCCAAAGAATCCTGTCCAACACCACTGCTGACTCCACGTTCACAACAGCATTTGAGAGCGTGAGCTTCGTATCCATTCCAGCACCCCGCATTCATACTTGAGAATTAAATCCGTCATTAAACCAAACCATCAACTGCGCTTTTCCACATTTGCCCGCCCATGTCCACACTGGCAGCCATTCAAGCCAACTCACGCAGCTCATTGTCGCCCCTGTGAGCAGGCAACTCAGACGCGAAACCCGGCTGCTGATGCTGATGCTGCTGTGGTGCAGGCGGCTGTCCTTGAGCTGGAGGTGGTGCGTTGTAGTAGCCCCCTTGCTGTTGCAGCGGCTGCTGCTGGGGAGGATACGTTCCCTGCGTCGGGCTGACGCTGTTCTGAGACGGCACGTACTGCGGCACACCGGACTGGTATGTGGGCGAGGGGCTCATGGGCGGCGGGCTGGCGGGCGGACTGACGCCGTTGTTGCTCTGGTCGTAGGATCCCGTGGTGACGTCGTAGTGCTGCTTCATCATGCTCTGTCTGTTATTGTTGTTGTCCACGGGTGTGAAGCCCTGCGGGTAGTGTCCCTGCTGTTGCTGGGGAGGGTATCCTTGGGGCGACGGCTGCTGCGCCGGGGGACCAGGCTGCTGGTACATCTGCGGCTGTCCCTGGTTGGGCGGCGGGGGTCCGACATAAGACTGGTGGGCGGCCTGGTTATTGTTGTTGACGTTGTTGGTGTCCTTCTTCTTCTTGCGGAGGAGGAAGATGATGCCGAAGACGATGAGTGCGATGGCCGCTACACCTCCGACGACGCCGCCCACGATAGCGCCAACGGGAGTGGACGAACCGCCGCCGCCACCACCACCGCTAGACGTGCTAGTAGTAGCTGCAGACGTAGCAGTGGTTGATGCGATGTTGCGGAGTGAGGTTGTTGCCGGCGCTGTCGTCGACTCTTGGGTGACGGAAGAATCTGTAGGGTTTGCGTAGACGACAATCACTTCCTCGGTGGCAGCGCACGCATAAAGGGTATAACGGTTGAACAACGAGCCCGAGTAGATGTAAGTGGCACACTCGGGTCTTTCCGAGGCAGTGCTGAAAAGGATTCGTATGAGACATGGTTCACGTAAGAAAAGAAGAGCGAAGCATAACGTACCAGAGCTGCATACGAGTATCACCACTGCTGGCGCGACTAGCCGACCTTGATGGGAGACAGCTCGTAGCAATTGTGGTGCAGTCTGTGACTGAGGAAGAGCTACAGCAACCGACAACGGAATAGAAGCTGTTGATGACACAGGATCCAGTACCGCAGTAGATGGAGTTGGCTAGAGATAGGTCAGCATCCTTTACAAACCATCATTATCTGTTCATCATAAGATCGTATACTTACTAGCTTCTCCAGAGATGTAACCACAGGTATCGTCGCCTCTTACACGCTTGGCCAGCTTCAGGTCGACATTGCCGGGCTCAGGCGCCGCAGTGGGCTTCGGACTGAAGCCGAGCTCCTCCATATTCATCGCAGCAATGGTCTGCCTGGGTGGAGACCAGCTCGGGGTATCGTCCTGCCATCTCAGCGCCTTGGACTCCACGCCCAGGTACAAGCAAGCAAGAGCTCCGAGTTGAATGAATCTCCCCATGTTGAAGCTGTAACAATCTGTTTCGTATGTGTTTACAGAATAATACGATGTGGAGGAAAAAGTGCGAGAAAAAGGGGGGAGAAGGGAGGGATAAGAAGAGAGACGAGGGCTCCAGAGAAGGATGCGGGAGAAAAGGGAGACAGAAACAGCCAGCCAGGCAATCCCAGCTCGGGCTGAGATGAAAAGTTACCGAACAGAACGCGCCCTGCGGGTGAGCCAATAGACCATGGCGTCCAACAACGCCAATGAGGCTCAAAGGAGGGATACACCAAGGGTCCAGCTCCAAGTCTCCTGCACTTGACCGTTCGTATCTTGGCCTGGGGTATAGAGGCTGGTTGGGATTGGACCATGTGGAAACTCCGCCTCGTGAGGTGCGGGTATGGACCGATGCGCGTTGGTAGCGTTGTTCGACCAGCCTGGCAAGGCAGACAGCCAGATGATCATTCCAAAGCCGTTTTTCTTTTCTGAGACCTAGTTACATATCTAGTCGAGTTGACTCAAGGGGGTAGATCTCATGTACCTTTGCACCTCTTTTGCTCACTTACATGGAGATCACTTGATCCAGTTCGTGTTTCCTGCGCAGCTTCGTACGCTTTCGACTCGCGACTGGGGAACTCACTTGAGTCTTGATAAACTCCTACGGATACGGACTGTAAGCAACAAACAAGGCTTTGCGCCCTATGTCAAGACAACTCATCTTTGGTGTTGAGCTTTTGGCGTGATAGCGGTGTAGTGGAGTCTAGCGGTGCCCAAGACAAGACTATCATAGCCTTTAGCCCGAACCGGAGAATGTGGCTTGCAGCTGAAGGCAGACCTCAGTCCAGCTCCTGGTCGACTCGCCAAAACCACCCAATCAGATGTCGGCCAGCTGAAATGCGTGCAGCGAGCTTGACTGACGATCCCATGTAATCTTTGCCGAAAACCCCGGACGGGTTGACAGGCCCCTGTTGGCAACGACTCGGACAGCCTTGAATGTCGAAAAAGGGTTCCGTCGCGCCCCGCCTGGCTGTTAAACTAAGGGTCTCTCGCATCCACAGCGGAATCGGAGTCTTTGCGCGGAACGCGCCCAGGAAACAACGCAATTTAGGCATCCTTTGCGCGCCAGGTGCTTTTAACCCATACAGTCTCCTGGCCCCGGCTACGTTCTGCCGGGCCGCCGGCAACCGACAACAACGATGGAACGCTCGATTGTGCGACGGCATCATGCAGAGGAGTTGGACGACAGCCTGCCTGCCAGAGTAGCTGAGACTCCATGAGAAGTGTTGAAAAGCTCTCATCTTGAAGATGAGACGACTGATTCTTTGATTCTTGAAGCCGAGCCGAGCTTTTGTGGCTGGCTTGGATAATTTCTGCTCTTCATGTAGCCAATCCGGGTGCTCACGTGTGTGTGATCTATCAGAAAACATAGTTAGCATGGTATGCTTATACGGAGTAGATCATCATCTGGTTTTCCAAAATAAGGCATACGTAACAAGCAGAAAACCAGCAGGGTCTTTTCGCGATATCCCATTAGGAATTCTCCAAGTGATGGCTATATTAATCGCCGAGTGGCCTAGGGAATTGAGGAGCTCATTGCCTAATATCGAGATCTCGTTTCAGCTTTCTTTTCATTCCATTTCGGTGGAAATAGTAAACAAAAGAGGTGATTTGCTACGGCTATTTAGAGTCGGTTCCAACCAACACTTGGCGAGTATCAACACTTGACAATCTTACCATGTAGCAATGAGTCGCGATTCGAATACTAACGGGCGACCCGAAAAGAGGCCGAGCTGTTGATTGGCATAATGAACTCGGTTCCTGGAGATCAAGTGTGACCATCTTGGGCGGCTGACTTTCAGAACTTCCCATGATCGTTCTCTCGTGACGGGGGAAGCGGCTGATTCTTGAGCTGCAGAGCGGAGACAACGGTGTGAAATCGAAGGCGCTTGAGTCTTAACGCTGAACTACCTTGTGACCTGCTTGATCATCGATAAGAACTGGTCATGGCTTGGAGTGGCTCCACGATCATCTCCACCTCCCTGTACCTAGTCCTCGTTGACAAGTCGATCTGAGTTAGCATCGAGGAACGACCCTTCAGCTCGTGGAGCGGGCCATGTCGCGAACGCCTCTTCTCTGAATGATCCAGCCGATCATCGGATACTCTGGAAAGATACCAAATCGGCAAATTTGACATCGGTTTTCAACGCCATCTTGGACGATGTATACACCTAGCTTGCTAGGCCATCGAATGCCACAGCGGCCATTCGAGACGACGCAGTCTACAAAGCAACAGCGCGACATCAGCCATAGAATTGGACACAAATCTGTCAGAAACTTCGATGGCGGCTTCTGAAGAAGAGCGTCTGAATCGGTATTGGAGCGATGATGAGCAACATGGACGACTCTCGCGGAGCGCCACAGGCCGTAGCCTCTCATCTACCACACATAATGGCAATAAAAGTTCCCGAACGTTCCAGAGTCCAAGGAGTGTCTGATGAAGAACCGAGACGGATCGACGTGAAGGCACGCAGCTGGACAGAGGATGACGGTGTCGGGTCAGAAGCTCACACAAGCGCTACCGTGCCTTTGCCGGTCTGGACCAATTGCCAGTGAGCAGGAGAACAGCCTTGAATCCTGTCGTATTTCCACCGTTAGCTTCCTCTTCGTGTCATTCGGAGTTGATTGCTTGTATCTGCTTGGCTAGGCGAAGCCGCGAACGACAGCAAGTCATCGACACAGTGACTCCGTGTAACTCAATGGTCATCGCTGGATTTCTTCCAATCTACAGATGAGGTCAATTAGGATCCAACATAGCCCAACATTCCAAGTTCAACTCGCGAGCAACTCCCAGCTTCCGTGGGAGTTCATGGCCCCTCGGAAATGAACTGCATCCCGTTTTGGACCCTCTGCTGTGCGACACTCGTGCATGATGGACCATTTGTAACATGCCGAGTTTTGCAGGGGTAACGTCATGTCCTCTGTGAAACCACGAATGTATAATCGTACCACTGTGACATAGTTGAAGCATCTCGCAGGACACAAGTAAATTGTGGCCATAGCTACCCCGACTCTGTGGCGATGAACACCTAGTCCGCGCAAAATCCGCATAGCCCGAGACATTGAGCCAAGGGCCGGAATTTGACAACTACTGGGCTACAGAAGAAGTGTGTGGATTTCCTGAGGATGTGGTAGACGCAGGCAACAGAAGTTGCTGGCATAGCTGTGAGTACATTTGGAGGCAATGATGGGGCTCTCTTTGCCCTAGAAATCGTGGTTCGTATGATTAAGGTACTGGTCTGTGATTATGCCGTGGATCTCAGTGGGGTTGGCGTAAACGGTCTCGTTTCCTTCCAGCTTTGTCTGTCTGACCATACACCACGGCTGAAAGACCGTCGTTAGAGGGAACGGTGAAAACATCCGATCACGCTAATGGATCCTAAGACGCCGGTCCTTGATGGTGTGAAGTTCCGCTTAGGCCCGAAGGCGCAGCGACAAGTGGAAGCAATATCTGCTTGTCGATTATGTCGTCCAAATATTCCGAGACGTGTAGTTCGCAGAGCCTCAAAATTGAGATGAAGTGTGCAGGGTTGGAGCGTCTCAAGATCCCGACGTCAAGCAGGGGCCAAGAATGGTGGCCACTCACCAATATACAGGCCAACTAGGATCCCTAGCCGACACACAAGAGGTAGAAGAGAAACGACCACGGTCTAGGTATTCCACATCCATTTCGTAGAAGAGTGCTATTTGTGACATGAGCCCTGAATCTATGCCGTACATATTCGATCAGAAGCTATGCGAGGCCTTGAACTCGGCTTCTCGTGAATTGGGTATGTCGGAATGTCAAGCCGCGACGAATGCACTGGATCATACGGTACGTACTGGCCGTTACTTCCGACCGAGCAAAGCACGCATGCTACGCATCTTCGAGCTGATCTTTGTTGCACACCACATGAAAGTTGATGATGTAGTACATGCAGACCCCGAAAAGCTACCGTCTGACTGGAACGATGCTGTGGCCAGATCCGGGACCCCGAGATCTTAATAGGCGCCGCCGTTCTGTGCTTTGCATGTCGCACCACTAAAAGGCCGCTAGCTGATAGCCAGGGTTGGTAACTAAGTAAGGGAAGTCGGTGAGGGCTGGTGGCCGATCGTACATGAGGGTTGGCGGCATCGACTGCATATTCCGAGCACAATCAGCCGGCTAGCTGCATGTCTCTTGCTCTACGGGGGGTCTGCCCGCCAGAACTGCTTCCTCGATCTAGATGTATTGTATCCGGTTGCTCAAGGGGCTGGATGTTCAGGTATGGTGGTATGATAGGTGGTAGGATGGGTGGTTGGCAGTGAGAATGGCAGTCAAACCGATGTACTAGGCCAAGAGTTTAGAGGAACGTCCGTAGCAGAGCAAAGCAAGATTGACGCATCGATCGAGGCGTCTATCAGTATCCTTCTTGGCGAAAACGGAATCTTGACGTAGGTGCTTTTTCGAAGTTCTGCCCACTGTATGACGGCAAATCCCACTGGTCTTTGCCGCCTTAGAATCGCTACGGAGTACATGCCACAATGATGGCGCAACGCCCGGGTGCTCTTCGAGGGGCACAGGGACCAGAGCCATGGTAGAGCATAATGTGGAATCTGCAAGGCGGCTGTCTAATGCCCCTGTAGATCGTTCCCGTGATGCTAAGCTGCTCTGACTCGTAGCGCCATGCTAATCGGTGGATATCAGAGGGTATGTTGTCTCAGACGACTGGTGCGGTGGCTGTCCTTTACATCCATCTACCCGTCTATATTTGTCAAGGTGCAGGACGTGGAGAGGTGGCACTGGCCGCCCCTACCAGTCGGGCAGTATCACATATGACGGGCGAGAGCTGATGCCGGCGAACTTTTGCTAGGTATGGGCCACGAATGACCATGCGTTGCTAGTTGGGCTCGGAGAATTAAATCGGGAACCATCGCTAAGGTCAATAGTGCCACTAGGTACTCTGAAGGTAAGGTGCTAGGACCTAAAGGCAGCAAACTGGGCTCGCTTTGGAGTTTGGATTGCCAACATCGCGTCGTCGATAGCCGAACTCAAGGGCATTTGGTAGCACGCATGTAAGGCTCTCATACATCTAACCGTTTTCGATGAGTGGTCCGAAGAGTAACTGCGGCTATCCCCGGGTGAGGGTGGCATGACAGCCTGCTCAGTCTGGGAGAACTTGATGGATGACTGGAGTTGAGGGAGGCTAATGTATTTGGAATCGGGTCTCGTTGGGGCGCGCATGTACATTTTGGAGCTGGACTTTGACTGCGAGACGGAATAAGGACCGGTGGTAGGGGAGCATGGGTTGGCTCGGGGATTCGTTGGTTGGTTGGCCAAGGGGATGCTCCAAGCCCTTGTCGGTCGAACCAGATCTGCGCTGTCCAGAGAAGACGGATCGAATATTGGGACCGGGCAGATGGCCAGACGGGAGATCAACTTGGGGATGATCTTTCAGAGACAGACAAGTTGACAATGTCTCGGTCGACCGAGCCACTAGTTCGTCCAGCTTCCTGCCCAACCCAATGAGCTTTTGTGCTTCTGTTCCGAATGTCTATAGCAGCACGAGGACGCACCGAATCAGACAGATCAGAGAGCCCTTGGCTCAGCGTTACCTACTGTACGGATACAAGCAAGAGATATCTAGGTAGCGGCTTGAGGTCGAGAATCAGGTTGGTCCCGTTCATTCACTTCTCGGCCGGAGGAGGGGTTGAATCCCTGCGACCACGCACGTCTGTCGCTCACGGCTTCGTCCGCAGTCCAAACTGATGTTCTCGTCGACGTAAGATACCGATGTACGCGTTCCTGGTCCGAGATACAGCAAGAAGCCATGTTGTGCAACACGATCTTGTGGGCGAATTCTGCTAGATCGGCGGGGTCACGATGACTTGCGAATACAACCCGTCGATATAGCGGCCATTGCTTGAGTGAGCGACCTTTGTGTAGGACAAGACCCGAAGAACAATGGAAAACGCGACTCCATGTGGAATTGCAGACCTCGCATGTTGGTGCATTGGTGGTAGATGGGAGGAATATCTGTATGTGTACTCCGTACTGATACCATCGAAACGTCGGCGCGTGAGGGTCGAGAGTACGTATCTGGTTTGGTGTACCCAAGCCGTTACGCCTTATGTAATGGGTCTAGGCTTAGCTGCGTCCCCCACGCCTGCACTCGACCGGAAAATGCAACGAAATCTGCGGTTCGTTGGGCGCTTTGGAGAAGAGTCTTGCATGCCTCAGTGCGGGCTCGACCGGACGCGCCTGATCCGGGTTGTTGCATGATCCGCTAAAATACTTAAGCAGCTGAGAAATGGGGCCGGCTGACCGGAGCTTTGATGCCGCGCCCATGATTGTCCAGATCACCTGGAGTGAGAGTGCCTTCATGATTGTGAAATGACATTGGTCTGGCTTTGCTCCCCTGGGCTGCTTCGTTCGTCACTTTTTCAGTGGTGCAAGGGCAGCTGAAAGACATCGTCATTGAGTAGTCGCCTGCGGCGGTGATGTTCCCCAAAGTGCCCTGGCGTGAGACGCAGCCGGGACTGGTGGCTTCGTTGGCTTGCACCAGTGACATCGTCTTAGCCTGGCCGTTTGCTTGCTTATTCTTCGGCGCCCATCGATTAGTCTTGCTAGCCGACCACTGGCGTGTGGTGTTTCCCCCAGAGTCTAGTCGGCTTGTCGCACCCTTGACAATCAAGTCTCTCAAGAGAATACGGATAACTGAGGAAGCGAAATAGTTGACGACTATAAGACTGGATTGGCCGGAGGATGGCAAACACGATGAGCGTGGGATACGTAGAAGGCTCGAATCGGCGAAAGGGCCTTGCGCCGTGCGCCAGGAAAAATCTCTTTGGCTATCTCGCGGCTCGGATGCTTGGATGCGTGATTGCAGCCTTCTGACCGAGATGAAGACGGTTTTGATGAGAATAGAGAGGGCTAATAGAATCAAAGGCGGAAACGACCAAAGATCGTTTGGCGCTTCAAGCTCGCTAATGCGCATAGGCAGGCTCTCGGAGACAACAAGGGGATTGCCTACCCTGCTCGAGGTGGTAGCCAAGCCAGGCAAGATCCAGTGATGATATCGGAGTTGGATGGAAGAGGCGAGAGAGGGGTGGGGGAAATGCGTATGACCGACGACTGACTGGTGGACTCGTGTCTCGATTGTTCTTCAGATTTCTTCTTTTCTTTTTCTTTCCTTTTCTTTGCAGTCGTCCAGGTGGCAGGCAGGGGCTAGGGGTGAAGTGCAGAGAAGTTGAGAAGGCCACGGTTGGGAGTGAGGGGATTGAGCTGGCAGACGGCCGCGTTCTTCATCTCAATGCTCAGATTCCGGGCTGGATCATGGATGGAGGAGGTGGTGTGTGGTTCCCGTCTGTTCGTGATCTTGTTCCCCTGTCGGTGTAAGACACGGACGTCCAACACTGGGATGGCAGGAATTCCGCGGTACCTGAGATCTGAACTTGCATCTACGTCAAAGACTCAGGCAATCGGACAGCGGAGAAGGGAGAGCCAATCAATGTCTCTCTGAACAAACGAGCCCTCTACCTTGGCTTCGGGTACGGGACTCCCGTGTTCGTGCGAGAGGCAGAAATTGCCATGGCGGATGGGACAAATTGTGCAGTTGGAATGTGTTTGGTCAATTTCAAGGTTGGATGGAAAGCAGGTGGACATCTGGAACCTTGCGCAGCTGGTTCATGGGTACGTATACCTACCTAGGGCTATATGAGGTAAGGTAAGGTACGTACTGGGATTGTATGGGTGGCCCGGGCTTCGTTCGTCCGATCAGGGGATGGTGTTGCTGGAAGGTACGCACTTCACTACCTACCTACCTAGGTACGGTACGCAGCATCGGTAGGCAGACACATAAAGTGAGAAGGAGGACAAAGTCGGCACCTTCTCTCATTTCACGCCCCTTCCTGACGTCGATTACCTCAATCTAAGGTAAGGTACCTGACCTGAGGAAGAACTTGACCTGTCCAAGTTCCCTACCTTAGGTTAACCTAATTCAAGGGAAGGCTAGCAACAGATACCTATGCATCCAGTATTTTCTTCCTCATCTTTTTGACCAAGGCTTCAGCTAACAGATGCGCCTACTAGCAGCTGCCAGGGATCCCACCCTTCGTCTCATCCCGCCTCATGGAACGCTTCGTCCAATGATGTCTTTCCCGGCCTCAACTCCGGCTGAAGTGCTTAGCCTTGGCACCCCTGCTGCTGCGTCTGCTTCCTCACAACCCTCCTGATTCTTCGTATCGCCGACGACAAAGTTCAAGTGAGCGTTGTCTCCTTGTTCGAGGAAAGGTTACAATCACTGACTGCCTAGATGATCGCAGATGCGGCATGGGATTCATAACAGAATAATGGGAATTCCGGTACGGAGTATCCGCACAATCAGTACTATCCATGGCTGGGGTTACCATGATCCATCATTTCCGCCCGGGGTTGCTCGGGTTGAGAACTAACTGTACGGGTACGGATACAGTTACCCAATTTCGATACAAAGTTGCCCAATTTTGTGTCCGGTTCCTCGCAATGTGTACTTTACCGAGATGTCCCAACGACCATTCTCCAGCTTCTTATTCTACGGACCCAAGTGCGAACGAACACTTATTGTGTGAGACTATTGTGGAAGACATTTGTCGATGTTCTTGGTTTCCCGCCCCTCGATCGGAATTCCCTGCCATCTTGTCTATGATCTCGCGTTCAGTCATGTTTCGTAAGTCTTGTCTCTCATTCTTCCATTCTGCCCACTAATGGATTTTTAACAGAGTTAGGTTGGTGGCCGAGAATGAGATGGAAGGCCCCATTTCCTTCCGCCAGCCGCCTTTACCTATGTACGGATACCACCTAGCATCTCCACTCGCCATCATCCGTGCCACCCTTCTCTTCCGACGGCGGCGAGGACGACGGACCAGCCGGCGCAAACACTATTTCCACACTGTCACGGAGACGCAGAAGCAGAAGCAGACGCTCACGCAGGCGCAGAAGGGCAGAGCAGACCCTGAAAAGGGTCGACACGGACCAACCACCCCACAAATACCTTACCCAAACGCCTCCGGGCTCGTCCCGCCTCTCCGCCTCCTCCCTCATCCAGTCTTCTGGTCGGTGCTCCCACACCTCCCTGGCGAAACATTCCATCGCGCACACAATGAAGGAGGTTCCTGGAGGTGAGGTGTAGGCATGCAGATGCAACTACAACCACAACCACCAACACCACACGAAGCCATACCGGTGCTTGTGCTTGTGCCTGCGCCTGCGCCGCGCCAACCAACATCACACGCCTCTCACACACTACTCGGCTTCCTAGCCCCATTCCCACTTATCTAGCTACGCTATCAACGGGATGGCTACGCGCTACCCATCCCCAAACCTACCGGATTGCCTAACTACCGGGCTACCGTGCCTACCTTGCTGCCAATTCGCAGGTACTTTCTTCTTCTCCTGTTCTGAACTGTCATCCCGCCTACCTATTTTCATTCCGTCCTACCTGAGGCAGTTGACCTCACACGTCTCTATCTACACGCTCAAGTTCTCCCGGATAACGCACCCATCATACCCATAGGCCCGAGTGGGCGGTGGATGGGCAAGTAGACAAACAGGTAGAGGTACATGGCATGCCCGGACCGAACACACATAACGACCACAACGACCACCGCCGCCTTTTGCTTGTTTCCGCCCCGTCCCTCCTCCTTCCCCCCTTGTATGCACGCATGTATATATGTGTGTGTGTGCCTTCTGCTCCTCCTCCTCCTCCTCCTCCTCTCCTGCTTCACCGGATTGGTGTGCCGTGGGTGCAGACGCGATCTCGACCCAAGTTGCGGTAGGTAGCCATGTCACATTTTGATGTAGGTACCCTCTCCTCGGCTCTGCCCCTGCTGCACCTAGCATGTACCTTACCCTCCGACCACCTCATTCCCTTCGTCGCCATACTTTTTTTTTGTCCCTTTTCCCTTTCTTTCTCTCTGCTACCCTTCCTTTCCTATCATGTACCTTATTCTACGGGGTGGGCGCCCCGTCCATTTTCCTCAACGTCAAGCACCACCTTAAAAAGAGAAAGGCAAGGCAAGGGAAAGAAAAACAAGGGACCAATTTCACTCACTCGTACATAATTTTTTCCTCACCTCCCCTCCACCCCTCCCCTTCCCTCGTACGGATACAGGCAAACTTCTTGCACACTGTCCAGAGTATATTAAAGTCGGCTGGCGTCCCGTCCCATGTTCCATCGTCGACGTTTCTTTCGCTCGTCATATCCCGTGCTCTGACAAGCCCTGGACCGAGAACCCTTATTCCGTTGGGTGCTGTCATTGCTTCTCCGACTCCATCTCCATGCAGGTCTGGCTCCGCATGTGGTCCTGCTCCTCCCTCTCCTCCCCGTCCCGCATGTCTTCCTTGCCTGATCAGCGTCAGATCTGTGCCTCCAACCGACCTTCTTTCAAATTCTCTGCCAACCTCCGAGTCGACCCTGAGACAGAAGACACAGAAGACACAACATCGCAACCAAATCTTGCAACCTCGTCGGACGCCGTGTTATTAGACACAATCACGTACGAGGTTGCATCGTCCGGCTGCCCTGTTGTCCTTTCCATCTGAAGCTCTCTTACTCGCCCTCGACGCTCTCCTCCCGTCGCCCAACAGTGGTTGCCGTCCCTTTTCTCCGGCTACTGCCTTGCCGCTCTCCGCTTCTATCAGCGTCTGATACCGCAAGAACGCGGCCGCCAGCACCCAATTCGCCGTCATCGCCGACGACGAGGGCCAATTTTCCGGATAAGGCGCCTGCTCTCGCAGCAGCCTTTCTTCCTCCTGTCGAGGACTCATGGCATACCACCACTCGAGCGGCTCATCCGCAGCCTCGGGCTTTGAGTATGCACAGGTAGGCCATGCCTTCACCGGTCACCAAAGTGCTCCTCCGCTCAATGGGCCCCCTTTTCAGCCGTTCCAACAGTCCCAATTCGACATCTTTGAATGGTATCCAAAGTTCCAATCATGCCTCCGCTATTTCTTGGATCATGCCCAGTACACCGGGCCCATTCAGGCTGTGGCAGCCTTTGTCAACATTCAACTCCCGTTTCAAAAGGCCCACAACCCGGTATTGTCCTCCAAACACACCGGTCCCAACTCCCCCGCCGGGCCCGGGCCCTCGACCCCGTCCACGGCTCGAGCCGCCGGCAAGATGCCAATGAACGCCCAATTGCCGTCTTCTACGCATGCAACGCTGACGCCGTACATTCGGCGCTTGGTGGTGACCGGTTTCGATTATCCCGCCGTGTTATACGGCTTCTTCGGTGACGATTGGCTCGGCGGCATCGGCCCAATGCACGAAGCTGAGCGCCGCAACTACATGTTTGCCGCCAAGAGCGACACCTGGCTCAAGGTGAAGTCGCACTACGACATGGACGGCGAGCAGCAAGTTCCCTTCCTCCGACCTTTATCGAATGTCACCGAAAAGGAAATCCAGAGTGCCGAGACCCAATGGAGTGAGTGGCTCGCCATGCAAGATTGGATGTTGGGTCCACGGGCCCCGGACCAGGACCAGGACCAGGAAGTAAGGATCAAGCAGGAGGACGACTAGAATCCAGGCCGAAGTCATGCCACGCTTTTACGCTTAGAATGGCGGCGGCGGTGGCGGCAACAGAAGAGGAGGCATTTTGCATTTCGCAGGACAGCATTCGGCGTTATTTTCTTCCCCCCTTCGGTTCTACAAACGGCGGTACGAATACACATGCAGGCGCAGGAAGAGCTGTACGATGTCGAGAGGCGAGAGAGCAAACGGTTTCTGGGAGTAAGAAGAGGACGGCGTTCGCATCCTTCCGCCTCACTTGTCAAGATCTCATTCAAGCTGCTGTAGGATATGCAGCATGTGGTGCTCGGTACCAGACTTTTGTTTTGCTTTTTTCCGGCGGCGGCATATTCTCATGATTCCCTTCCTCCTTTGGATAGAGGCGCGCGTACAATGGCGGTCGGGCGGGGGTAACGTCATTTAGCCATGGTGATCTCAAATCTTTTTTTCCGTTTAACGACTTTTTTTTCTACTTAACGATACGATAATGCACAAAAAAGATATACGATGATGCACATTCATGCCAAGACGTTTTTACACACATACGCAGATCCGCCGTGAGCTTTTTCTTTTCCATTAACACGTTAATGCGCCTGATATTCCAGCCATGCTTTATTTTGACAAACAGAATTGGAACATCATCCCGGGATGATGAGGTCGGCAATCTACCGACGTCGACGTCTATTTCTTCTTCTTGGCTAGCCTCTTTTGCGCCCTCAGGTCCTTCTTCATTCTCGAATCCACAATCGTGTAACGACCCTTGACGCCCTTGGGACGACCCTGGATACCACGGTTGGCACCTATATACGAGTGGTTAGCAAATGGAAGAACATGTACGATACTTTTGATAGAGAAAGGGAAGAAAAAAAAAAGACTTACCCCTGGCGATAATAAGAGTAGGCTTGGGTCTCCTCTTGACCTTGCCGGCCTTGGCCATGAGCTTGGCGATGCTCTCGGCCTTTTCCTTCTCCGTCATGCCCTCCTCGTTGGCAAGCGAGTCCGACTTCTTCTTGAGCTTCTCGAGGCGCTGCGCCGTCTTGAACTTCTTGCGCGCCTTGGCCTCGCGCACCTTTTTGATGGGCCGCGCGTTGTAGGCGCGCAGCTTCTCGCGGATGGCGGCCGCCGCGGCCTTGGTGATGGGCTTCTGCTGCTTGTCGTGCTTCGACTCGTCGTCGATGAACCAGTCCGGGAGGCCGTCGCGGTCCTTGAGGGCCCACTTGTTGAAGCCGTCGTCCATGAGGTCCTGTTTGGTCTTCTCGCCCGTCGCGAGCTGGTGGGCGAGCGTCATGGCCTCTGCTGTGATGATATCGATGTCTGGTGGCTTGTCAGTACAAATTGTTCTTCTCTTCACGATAGTTCGGACACGAGGTCCAGCGGTAGGTAGTTGGACTTACCGAGTCTGCCGTCCGGCCGTCTCTTCTCCTGGTTCTCCCAGTCTTCCTCTTGGTTCTTGACGACCTCAAAGCCTGCATCGTCTTCGCTCTCGGAATCCGAGCCGAAGCCGTCGGCAGCCTTCTGCCTCGTCTCCTTGGCCTTCTTCTTCTTCTCGTCCTTTGCCTTCTGCTTTTCCTCAGCTGCCTTGGCCTTTTCTTCCTTTGCCTTCTTCTTGTCCTCCTTTTCTGTCTTGGCCTTCTTCGGTTTTGGCTCTTCTTCAGCAGGCTTGTCGTCGACGCCCCAGTCCTCGTCGTCAACATCTCCCATATCGATGTCCTTGAAGATATCTTGCCCGAAGAAAGCCGATGCGCGCTTCGACAAGTTGCCGCTCTCGGCTGTGCTGTCCAGGTCCGTTACCAGGGGCTTCCCGCTGGCATCGTCGTCTTCGTCCTCGTCATCGTCGGAGCTGTCAGAGTCCATTTCCATGTCCTCATCGCTGTCGCTCTGTTCGCCGCCCGAAACGCCCTCCCACTCGCCGTCCTCGTGCTCCTCGCGAGCTCGCTTGGCGCGCCACTTAGCATCGGCCGCCGCCTTGCGCTCCTTGAAGTTGTCGTACATGCCGTCCAGCTCGCGCTCGAGGCGGTCCTCCTCTGGGTCGCTCTCGGAGTCGGAGTACACGATACCGGCTTCGGCCTCCTTGGACTTCTTCTCACTCTCCTTGAGAAGCGCCATCTTGCCGCGGGCGATCTTGTTGATGCCGCCGGCCTTGTCGGCTGTCTTCAATGCAAACATGGCGTCCGGGCCGAGGGGACCGGCCTGCTCCATACCAATATCCATTGGCGCCGTCATGTTCATCTGCATGCGCACAATGTCCTTTTGCTTCTTCTCGTTCTCCTTCCTCCTCTCCTTCTTCTTCTTGGAGTCGTCCTTGTTCTTGAGCGCCTCCAGCTCCTGTTGGATCCGCAGCTCCTCGTCCATTGACTCGATCTCTGCGACCTCCTCGCCCACCTGATCTTGCAGTGACTTCTTCTCCTGCGTCGTCTTCTTGGTTGGGAAACCAAAGATTTCCCTTACCTTGAGACGCCATTTCAACAGTTGCTTAAACTCTTTCCTTCCGAGGACCTTCAAGTCTGCGCAACTCCTGCGGATCTCGTCTGTCGTTTCAGGGAGCTTGTCCAGCGCGGCGAGCGCCACGTCTCCGTTTGCCGGCTGGTCAAAAGACAACTGGTTGGTTTGACCGAGAATTGCAATGGGGTCAGCGGTTTGGATGAACTCGCTCGCGGAGACGACCTTGTGCTGTGTGTAATCACCCTCCTCGTAACCCTCACGCTTGCGCTTCTTTTGCTCCGGGTTGTACACCTTGGCCTCGTTGTTCGGGGTCGCGTCCTTGAGCTCGGCGAAGACGGCGCGGGGGTCGAGGAATCGGGGATCGATGCGCTTCGGGGCCTTGAAGCCCTTGCAGACGACGAAGATTTCGGCAGACACGTTTCTCGAAGAAGGGGGCTTGGTCGCCTCGACCTTTGTGAAGAGCTGGTTGAAGACCCACAGCAGGGGGTTATAGTCCTTGGATCGGAAGACCTTGGTAACAAAGGTACCGCCCTCTGCCAAAAATTCCGTCGCAAGCTTCATCGACTGCAGCACCAATTCGGCCTGGTTGAACGAATCCTGGTTCCACGCAGTACCGACGTTGGGCGCACCATCGTGGAGAACACAGTCTGCCTTCCATGTCTTGAGATGCGATCGGATCGTGGCTCGACATTTCTCGGTCGTGATATCGCTTTGGAAGGTGATGACCTTGGGAATGGGCTTGATGGGCGACAGATCGACACCGACAATCAGGGCGCCGACGGGGCACGTTTCCGCTGCAACTTGACACCATGACTGTGAATTGTTAGCAAGAAAATCTTTGCAATTGGGTTATCATTGACGTGAGGGAGCTTACACCGGGCGCAGCGCAAAGATCGACGACGACCTTGCTCTTCTCCAAGAAGCCATATTTCTTGTTCAGCTGGATCAGCTTGAACGCTGCTCTGGCGCGGTATCCCTTCTCCTTGGCAAGCTTGTACCACTTATCCAAACGTCCTTTTCCGTGCTTCTTCTGGATCGCCATCTTGTCTGGAGGGCGAGGCCAAGTCGAAATGCACGGGGTATTCTTTGCGAGAGTTGGGAAGCTCTTCTGCAACCAAAGGGCGTCCTTCTCTGCAGGATTATCGAATTTCGGACCCGCCCCGCCGCCTCGACTTTCGCAACGTCCCTTCTCTCAGAATTTTTTTAGCGGAGCTGCAGGGGAGCGATAAGAATCACGTGGAGATATCACTAGCGCATGGCAATGTGGGGTGTCCCGCGCTCGGTTCATCGGATGGAATGCCAATTCCATTAAACATCCTCAGGTGGGTCTCCGCGTTCACCACGCGCGCACCGCGACGTTGTCGCGTAGAGAGCTGCGCTAGGGTCAAGAGGGAGTCTCGATCGGGCAAGTAAGACGTCAAGAGCTTTACCTACCTACCACAATTAGATACCTTGCTTCAACCTTGACTGCTCAAACTCGGCCATCACCACCCCGCCTGCCGGACCACACGCTCTCTTTCTCTGTGTTCAAAGACGTTTCTGTCTGTCGTCTGTTTCTTTTATACTATTAGGTAGCCATTGAGTCTAAAGCCGAATCGTCATCGTCACCACCACCACCACCCCCAGCGTCATGGTCTATCACGGCGGCATGGCCAGTCCGCCACCGAGCGATGGCCTCGTTCCGGCATCGTCTCCCACCCTCCCTTCCTCCCCGCCGTCACGGATGTCTCGAAAGGAAAAGAAGAAGTCTATCCTGACTCCCCGGAAGTTTCGTCGTTTCTTCACCCCTCGCGGGATGCCCTCACAGATATCTCGGGAAAGACCAGCCCTTGGCGAGCTACGCAGTCCGGCACTCAACGTTCAACCGACACCTCCACGATCCAGCCCCCGCTTCAACGAACCGATATCACCTACTTCGAATCACAGCAGCAGTGCGCTTTCTCCTTTTGGTAGCGAAGATGGCCCGAGGAAGCGGAAGCGGAGCGTCGTCAACGCTATACCCATGAAGTTGCCACAGTCAAGCCGCAGCTCAGACACGAAGCGTTCAAGGACCCAGCCTGAGGATCTGGAGGAAGACTATCCTCTCGGCCGAAGTCCTATCGCGAGATCACCGCTGCACCAAAATGAGAATGCTCGTTCCGAGGACCATCCCATGGGTTCTCCTGAGATACTCTCCCCCTCGGCTAGTCGAACGGCAGCTTTGGGCAGAACGTACTCGACAGGACCTCAAGTAACGCCAGACGAGTTTGCACGGAGGCTTAGCTCCTTGACTGCTAGCAACTTTGCGACCTCGGGGTATGAGGGTCTTCGGCCTAGGTCTACGCTGATTGACTACTTCAAGTGCAACCGGGCAGGGATTCCCGCTTCTAGCAGAGGAAAGGCTGTTAGAAATCTCACCAAGCTTTCCCTGCCAACAAAGGATGAGCCTGTATGTTTGATCCCCGACGATTTGTTCTTAACTAGACTAATACATCCCAGATTGTTCCGGAGTACCGGCCACAACCCGTAATTAAGCTCCGCAACCGTGGCTTTGGTGCTCAACTGCTGCTCCGGGAGCAGGGTAGCACACCCCGCCCCGGGCGTGAGCATCTCGAGTATCCTGCGTTTGGTGAGTTGTTCACTTTTGCAAATGATGGCTCGTAACTAATATCGACAGATTCGAGGGCAAATACGGCATCCTTCTGGAGCCGAAGCACTGACGTCCACATGTGCAACGCGCATCTGACGCAAGCGAATACCATTCCCTTTAGTTTAGCAAGTTGTCACAGTGAGTGTTCCCAAGTTTTATGCCTTGAACTTGAACTTGAACTAAGCGTCGCAGATGCCCTAATGACGGCGATTGGTGACGAAGAGGGATTCATCCGCTTCTTCGACACTACCACAACCCCTTTGGGAGCGGCACCCCGTACAAAGGTTGATATTGTCATCCAGGCCCACGAGAATGCCATTATGGACCTCGCTTTTTCGAACGACGATCTTCGCTTGGCAAGTGCATGCGGTGACCGCTCCGGTAAAATCTTCGATGTCATGTCGCAGACGGTTGCTGTGGAATTGAATGGTGGTCACTTCCAATCGATGCGCCGTGTCGAATTTCAACCTGGCCAGGCCAATGGAAACGTCGTGGCCACGTCGGACCGCGACGGAAAGATTCAGATCTGGGATCTGCGATGTTCCATGGCCCCGGCTGCTGCCTTCTCCACTCGCGGCCCGGAAGGTATCGTGCACCGCGATAGAGACCGCAACCCCCTATGGGCCCGAACGACCAACACCCTTGACAATGCTCATGATCGTACAATCCATGGAGTTACATCACCGGCATCCGTCACGGCGCTGCAGTACATGCCGGAGGGTCGTGAGCACTTGCTTCTCTCCGCCTCGGAAGCAAATGCCTGTATCAAGCTGTGGGATACGCGATACATTACCCCGCGCAACAAAGAGGCCGTCCCCCTAGCGGTGACCGCCGAACCGGCAACCCATCGCTGGCGGCCCTATGGTCTTACGTCCCTCGCCTTGAGCAGTGACGCAGCCCGCCTGTACGCAGTGTGCAAGGACAGTACCGTCTACGCGTACTCGACCTCGCACCTCATGCTTGGCCATGCCCCTGAACTTTCCGTTCGGCCTCCGCGTCAAAGGGCTGGTTCTGCTGTCCAGGGTTTGGCCCCCTTGTACGGCTTCAAGCACGACCTTTTCCACGTTAAGAGCTTCTACGTGCGCGGAGCTCTCCGCCCTGTATCGGCTTCCGGCAACGAGCTTCTCGCCGTCGGTAGCACCGATAAGTGCGCGGTCGTCTTTCCCACCGACGAGCGCGCCATGCGGGAGTACTGGGACACGCAGAGTCATCTTCCGGGAACGGAAACCATGTCCACCTCGTCAAGCGCAACTACATCCTCGTCCCACGCAAAGTCTGTCAACGCTGGCGGAACCCAGGTGCCCATCGTTCGCAATGGCACGCCCCTCATCCGCGGTCACCGCCGCGAGGTGACGGGTCTCAGCTGGTCCAACGAGGGTAAGCTCGTGACCATCTCGGACGACTACATGGTGCGCCACTGGCAAGAGGGCAACGACGACGGCAGCCGTGGTGGTGGCCGCGACGCGTGGGAGCTGCGCACTGGAGGCGAGTTTGGCGGCAACCGCCACATGGCTGGCTGGGCTGACGTCGCAGACGACTGGGACGAGGACTGCGACTCGCACTCTGAGTGTTGATCCGAAGAACTCAACAAAAACAAATCCAAAAGAGAATAAAGGTGAGAAAAGAAGCATGCGTCTGGATTGGGCTATTCTAGACGACCAAGAGGTCATGAGTTGTTGATATTTTTCATGACGAGAGTTTGATAGGCCGACTTCATCGTCTGGCCGTTTTTGTGCGGTTTGTATATGCGCGGAGAGGAGTCATCTGGATCGCGGCGCGTTGGGAGTTTTCTTTCTTTTGTTTTCTTTTTCTGAAAGCATTGATTTGGACGGGTTACAACATGAGAGGACAAGAGCAAAAAGACGGAGGGGGATTAAGTTCGGACTGGCTTGGCATGAGGAATTAGCATAGTATGGCATCGCAACGCTTTGCATCGCTTTGCATTACACTGGACTGGACTGGACTGGATTGGGGGTTTCTAGATACCATAGCACTCACGGGATATGATATCCCTTATACATAATGAGACATGTCAGAAAGCAACACTCAGCTCACTGGGAAACACGTATGCCACTATGAGGAAGACTTGGTTCGGAATATGCTGTCTAGCAGGCTTCTATCTAACCTCTGAAAGTCTCAAAAGTCCGTCACAGGCCATCTACTGCTATGCCATGTCGTAGGAAAAACAAAAGGCCAAAACACCTTGAAAATGCAATAGGGGGGTATCGTGTATCTATCCCATGCAGTAGGTATCCTGAGTTGAAAACGCTCCGAAACGCCGAGGTCGTCATGCTATGCTGCCACAATGCCTTCTTTCCCGCCCCTTCTACTACAGTCCCTTTGCTCCCGTCCTCTTTGCTAGAAAGAAAATACTGACAATCGCAGCTAAGCCTGCCACGATGATGATGTTAGATATCAAGGACGTGGCAGAGCGTGATAGCTGCCCCTGCCTAGACATCGCGCCTCCTGCAAATGTCGCTGCGTTAGCTGCGCCGTCTGTCGAGAACGTCTGGTCCTTTTCCTTTCTGTTTGGCACCGCAAGCTTCGGCTCGAACCTCATAGACTTGGAGGCCGGACAGCATGCCGGGGGCTGTTTCTCCAAGTTACTCAATGCGTGAGACTCCAGAGTCTCACATGCCTTCTGCCTCGTGTGCCTGGAGAGCCACGAATCAGATTTCTCGCTGTCCTCGGAACTCTTCGAGGCCGTCTTTTCCCTCTTCCTGTCTCGGGCAATGGCTACACTGTCGCGTAGACGGCCGCCCGGTGCCAATGATGCCCATGATTCCAAGACGGAAGGACCATGTTCCAAATCTGTGTCGCATACACTGTCCAGCTGGCCAACGAGGAGTAGCATATTGTCAAAGATACAGACGGCCTCTTGGATGATGTCATGCCTCTCGCGGGGTGTCAGGAGATGCTCGGATTCTGTTAGCCGTTTCTTAAACTCTTTTTTGAGGTCCTCGCCGTCCAGTGGCGTCGCAAAGTGGAAGAAGCTCAGGGGTAGAGAATGACGCATGTGTCTTGCGCCTACTTGGATCTTCCCGCGGTCATCACCCCGTGCCATGTCGACTGGTGTTGTAGTATGAATAGCCGTGTCTGATGATGGTGTACGTTCTTGACAGGGTATCTCTGAGGGTGGAATGGGCGACGGCGTCTGCTCCCAGAATTCTGAACCCGCAGACTCGAGGGTGGCTCTGATGAAACGTCCGCCAGCAAAGAGGGCCATGAACAAGATGTACGAGTACGCCATTAGGACATGAGGCTTCTTCTCGATGGTGCGCCTGACGTGCCCTGTGAACTCGGCAAGGCGCCCTGACTGAGAGATCGCTGACAATTGCTCGTTTACAACATCGGGTGACCATCCGGTGATGGAACCAATGTCGGCTCGCAGACGATCAGAACGCATGAGTCCAGGTAGGTACAGCGACGTTAGTATCGAGCGAGTTCGCTCGCATAGAGCAGGTTGGTGTCGGGGGTTTGAGTCAACGTTCAACACCGGTGTAAGCTCAGCTTGGCTTGATTTACAGTCGTCACCGGCATCGCCAGGTGTAGAAAGTTGGGGTGATTCCGCGATGGTCTTCCATAGTGACTCAAAGGTGTCGTAAATGGGCGTGATGTGAAGAAGGCCGGAGGCGTAGAGTGATGGATCTGCCGCGCGGGGCGGGATCGCCAAGGGTAGGCGGGCAATGATAATCTTGTTAAGCTTTGCATGGACAGATCGGGTCGCGGCGGCGATAGACTCGGCCAAGGGACGTTGTGCATCTTCGGCCGAGGTTGCGGCTGGTGAGGTCATCGTCACGGGCGTCAGGGCGGCGCCGTTTGTTTGTCAAGCCTCCCGTGACGGAGAGGTGCGGCTGGTGGCTTCTGGGCAACGTGCGGGAATACGAAATAGGGGCGTGGCGTAGAGGGTGTACTTGTACAGGAACCAAGGACCCCTCGTCCAGATAGGTGAATAGTAGGAAAATGAATGCTTGGGGTGACACAGGTTCCGAGGTGATGCGGTTGATAGTCGAGAGTCAAAGTGTACCGATAGTATAGTAGACAGGAGCAGAGACAGAGGTGTAGGTAGCCAGTAGTCCTAGAAGACTTGCTTGTCTGCTGCTCCTCCTCGAGGCCTCCTCGGCGAATTCAAGGCGTAACGCAAGATAAAGTAGAAGGACCTTGGAAGGGGACAGAACGGACGAAAACCACAAACGGAAGCGGTAGCGTCGATCTTCAGTAGGTTGTCGAGGGCAGTGATCGAGTAGGGAGTGTGTGTCTCTCTCTTTTCTTTCCCTGGGAGAGGCTGAACCAGTGGCAGTTGCGCTTTGGGTAGGTAGCAACGGCTAAGAGAAGTAGCGGGTGGCAAAGACGGAAGGGTACCGAGCATATGGAGAAGAAGGCGGCAGCGTCAGAGCTTTCTTTTCTGCTGGAACTACGGATACCTTACCGGTATCCTTCTCTGATCCTCTGAGAAAAGTGGTCGGTTACCCGGGCCAGTATGCGATGCGCCTGCTCTTCACAAGGAGGAGTGAGACTTTCCCGGGAGCTTGGGTTTTCTGTTTCTTTTCGTGGTCGAGGGTTCGGGTAGGTCCCCAAGGGTTGGGAACTTGGGACTAGTGTTGTCCGGAGAGATTCCACTTTGATTGGCATGCAAGCTGGGAAAACAAGCAAGGTATTGAAGAGACAGAAAAGTTTAAGATCCAAAGGAGCCGGGGACAGGAGAGCAGGGCCCGGCAAACGGGGTTGGAAGAAGCTAGTCTCGGCGAGACGATGTGGACGAGAGAGGCTCGGAAAGCTATTAGTGCGCACCTCAAGCATGGAATCTTGAAAATCGAACTGGGCCACGTCCAAGATCGTATCGGGTGTTAGCTCGGGTCTGGTCTTGGGGTGATGGGTGCAGGTGCAGGTAAAAGAAAGAGAAGATGTCTGAGATGGAGATCGGGTTTATCTGTTGCCTGACGGGAACTATTCCCAAAATTGATGTGATCTCTTTATGCTTTGTCGCATCGCGTCGAGGTCTCATGGACATGTAGTTTGGGTAGTTGTGCCTGAGCAGCTTACACAGCCTTGAATCATATCAGCATACACACCAGAGGAACATCCGTCGAACCTCAGTATCACTCCCCCCGCCACGGCATGGCAAATTTCGCCTTTTCGTTGCATGGGAAACCCTCACGAGAAGGAAATGGAAATGCGGTTCGGGTACCCTACCGTGGAGCGAGCAAGCAAACAAACGAGGGCGAAGAGGGGGACCCGGCGGGGGGCGAGGGTTGTGGAGGACCTCAGGGGTCAGGGGTCTTTGGGTCCTATGGCTTTTGATCATTCGCGGTCTCGCCCCGTAAGGAACCACTTTTATCCATCGGGCTGGATTCCAATCGAACATTTTCCCATTGCTACAGTACGCTGCCTGCGACGCTGCATGCCCGACATTTTTGCGCAGCCAAGCCGTCCACTGTGGCTTGCCATTTTCCTTGTTTCTGGACACTTTACAGATACCAATGGTTTCTTCATATTCATGCCTGATGCGTTTCTCATCTTCATGAGTCCAAATGTCTTATGTCTCGGTCTCCGAAAACCTGGAAGGCGGGAATAGCAGGGCAAGGAGCAGGCAAGACTAACGAAACACGAGTTATGCAACCCTTGGACCCTTTAGCTCGTGTAGGCTTCTCCATTTCGGCCATGTACAATGAATTAGACCAGTGCATACTTAGTACCTACTTAATAGCGACTGGGCCATCTGCAGGAGGAAGCGCACCCCAGCGATCGGCTTTCCTGCGGGCCATCAACTCTGGCAGGACCCCACGATGTCAAGCGCCCTTCAGGCTTGCTGCCCGCGGCGCCAACAGGTGATCCCTCCTTTCTCTAGTGTACCTGTGCCTTTAATAAGGTACCTTCCAAGTTAGGTTCCTTATCACCTTGTCGAGAGCATAGAGTACACCTTACTTACCTCCTTCCAATTGTCGCCAACTACCTTAATCCGTACTTCTTTCCGCATCACGTTTGGTTGCAAACCAGTCAGATAGAGCCCCAATAGATTTTCTGATACTCTCTCCCTTACAGACTGCTTTCCGATATTTTCTGCCCACCTCTCAACCTCAATGCAACCCAAGAAAGAGTCCCAGGCCTTCCGTAATACCGCACATGCCAAAGATACGAAATCTAAAGTCACAGCAAACTTTCCCAATTTCCCGCAACTCTATCAACAAAAGAGCAGGGGGGAAGTGACCAAGGATCACTGCGTCACACAAGTTCAAAAACATTCTGGAGACTTCAAGTACCAAGCGGCGAATCCGATTGCGCGGCTGTCTCCATGCGTCTGCAGATCCCTCCCCCTCCCCTCTCAAAATCAAGGAAGACAGCAGGAAAAAAAAGCCCCGTGCATCGCATTTTACTCAAATCCGCCATCGGATTCTGCAAAATCCCGTCTTGTCATGCTCGACCGACCTTCCCAGTCTTTTCAAAGTCACACCACAGCTGCAGTGCCTTACCTCACCTTGACCTCGGCGCGCTCATCCTCTCACCGACCGGCCGACCAGTCAATAGAGAAAAACTCCGCGGGTTCACCGATTGCGATGCAATGTCTCCACCGTAGTAGCTGCATCATGTTTCCACCAGGGACCACCTCTTTGCACCTGACAGCTCTTCCGAATCATCCGCCTTGGTACACGGAGACGGGCTTCGTTAAGAGGTAATTCCATCCCGTGTGCCACGTGAAATTGACGCCGGGCCTTACTCATATATTACCGCCATGACCTTCAATAATTGACACAAGATCTCGAGGGATGGGTCTCACACGCGTTGAGTAGCACGATATGATGCAAGTTGATTGCATTAATGAAGAGACTGAGTAAACAGCTCAGTCTCAACAGCGCGCCAAATGGAATCCAACGAGGGAAGCGCCATACACCGTGTCTTAAACGCCGTGGCCCATGCAACACGTCTAGACCCCCCGCGCCTCTGTCTGCTCTCGAATACCAACTTTGTGTCTATAGGAACATCCTTTTTCATAATTGCGAGACGCCCCGGGATCCTGCCTCGGGGCTCTTGTCGCTCGACTCGTCTTCGTGGCTCTCGTTATTGATAAACAGAAACGAGATGAGCACCACAGCCGCGCCGACCCAGTACACCCAGCTGGAGTACTGCGAGTACTGAATCATCTCGCCAATGAGCGACAGCGGGATCGTGAGAGACAGACCGACCGTCACGACTAGCGGCGTCGTGAGCAGCATGGCGTACGCCCATGACATGTCGCTGATGAACGACGACAGCGAGTTGCCAATGACAATGGCCCAGATTTTGGCCGTAGGAGGGAACGAGAACTGTGGCAACCTTGGTTAGACACTCTCAAAGTCCGTGAGAAAAGGGGCGTGGCGTAACTTACCGGCTCCATCCCCGTGAAGTGCAAGATGAAGAAGACGGGCCAGAGGAACACCAAGTTAAAGAGTCCAACAAGTCCAAAGAAGAGCGGCATATTCACCCGATCTTCGTTGCCTACCCGCCTCTTCATCACAGTCACGTAGAGTCCGTAGATGATGGCGCTCACAAACGCCATCAGGTCCCCAATGGCAATCTGCCCCGTCGTCTTGTGCGGGAACGACCCGCGGTTCTCGTCGCTCGACCCGGACAGGTCCACCGTCGATATCAGCACGATACCCGTCAGCGATGCCAGCACGCCAATGAGCTTGCGCGCCGTGAACCCCTCGACCCCCATCACGGCACAGAAGACGAGCGTCCACACACTGCTCGTCGAGTTGAGGATCGTCACGCTCCCGACGCTCGTGTACTCGAGGCACGCCGACGCGAAGTAGTTTGCGAAGAACCACAGCATGCAGAACTCGAGGCTGATGACGGCCGTCTCCCGGAACGTGAGCCGCTCCACCCTCGTCGTTGTCTCGAACCCTTCCATCTCCAGGCTCGGCTCGTCGTCGACCAGCAGGCGCTCCCCCGCGACCGTGTCCTCCTCATCCTCGGCCGTCTTGAGGTCCTTGCCGTACCTCTGCTCGTTCCAGACCACCATGGCCTCGCGTCGTAGACCCTCGACACCGTGCTGCATCAGGAACCGCACCAACATGGGTATCAGAGATACCGCAAACACCGACGTATTCATATACACCACAAAAAATGGCTTGTCGTAAGAATGATCTGAAAAAATATACTGCATCCCCAAACCGTCAGCTTGCGCCAGTACACGCCAACGAAAGCAACACTGTCAAAAACTCACAGATGCCAAAAAGTTGGATATCGTCCACAACAGCACCGTCACAAGCAACAACGAAATGCCTAGCGTCCGCCTCGCAACGCCGGCCAGTCCCATCTTTGCCTGCCATCCGGACGACCGCACCGTCGATCTCGACCGATTTGTGGACGCAACCGAGGCGCTCAGCCTGTCGGTGCTCGAGAATGACCTCCTCGGAGGACGGTCATGATCTGGTGGTGCCAGCGCGGCGGGCAGCATAGGCTCGCTCGGTGCCATTTTCGTTTCGGGCGATTTCGCAATCTGTCGTCGCGCGCCGTATCGTCGGGGGAGAGAGGTAGGGAGGTAGGTATTCAGGAGGAGTTCGCGGATTCAGGGAGGGCCGTCCGCCTTGAGGTGATCTAGGGTCGCTGTCGAAGCTGTAGGCATTTGACCACGGGGACGGCGAAGAGCAGGGCGAACTCTCGGAAAGTCGTCACAGAGCAATTGCGTTCAGAGGGGGGGCGGACGGTGGCCGAATGTCCCGTCGCTCGACTCGGCGCATGTGTAGCACGGCACGGATCTGCCGTATGCCAACTGCTTCTCGGGCCGTCGGGCTGAAGGCGATGACGATTATGGAGCGATTCACTGGAGACCAGCAAAAAGACCCTAAACAAAGCGAACACTCGAGGAAGCCTGGCGAGCTTTCTCTGATGCGGACGCGTCGTCCGTTATTTTTTTTTTTTTTCGTCGCTGGAGCGTTTACTTTCAAGGGATTCGTGTCAATGTGTTAATTAAGCGTGTTTCTTCAAGGTTGAGTTTCAATGGCACGGGCGAAAACACCCCCTGTATTCGTCCCAAGTACCGGCAACCAATAGTGGTGGGTCGATCGCGTGCCACAGCTTCAAGTCTCAGCCTCCCTCAGTAACCAAGGCAGGTGGCTAAGGTAAGTGAGCAAGTGAGATGGCGGGAGTCTCTCTGCTGTAAGGCAAGGTACTTACTAAATCCCAAGGTACTAAAACATAAGATGCAACCTCCTCTTCCTCTAGGCTGCCGCCGCTGGACAAAGCCAAGCATGACGCCGCACATGAAGCTTACAGAGAGCACTGGTCGCCAGGCCGGACTTAGTGCCGATTTCCAGCCTTGGGGCTTTAGTGTAGCCTCGGATCCATTCTTCTAAGCGGAGTCTGATGACGGACGGCAAGAATGATCCGTCAGCTCGGACTGGTGATGAATACATGATGGGATAGAGGGTTGTCCTCCCGTGCCCTGCACTTGTTAGTTTAGATGGAATGTTGCGAAAAGGCATCCTTTTGCCGGTTGCGGATCCTCTTGCCCCGAGACCATTACTCAAGCATAGTTGCAAGCGTGATGAGTTATTCACGACACGCAAGGCGAATAGTTGTTGGAACCAGACGAATAAACCCTTGATCAAATTCCAATGATAACCTCTAAACACCTTTCGCACCAGTGCAGGATATGCAACATCAAGCCAAGGCCAAAAATGGATATGTGGAAAGGCCCTTGGACTAAACATAATGCGAGTCGGACAGGGTCCTAATACTGTGTGCCGCCCTAGTCCTCGACTCGCTCAACATCAACCAACTGCTTACCCAATAGCAACTTAGCAAGAACATCCGTCTCGGGGGTTTTCGATGGGGATGTTGATGACGTCCTGGTAATCACCACTGAACTCCTCGGACTCTTCCTGGGCCAGAGCGTTCCGCGCGATAACTAGTTGATGTTGTCAGTGCCTACTCGCTGTTACGGAGGCTCAAAAATAACACTGCACCAACCTTCGAATGCCTGTTCAACGTTGATGGCCTCCTTTGCGCTGGTCTCGAAGTAGGGGATACCGCCCTTGGACTGGCAAAAGGTCATGGCGCGCTTGGTTGAAATCTGCAATACCGTTAGCCAACTGTACCGAGAACAACCACTATGGCGCACTTACAACTCTCTTGCTCTCCTCAACATCAATCTTGTTTCCAAGAACGACCTGGTCGCACGTCAGCCTCGATTCGCACAGTCCAGCGTCAATTAGCTACTAACGAAGGGGAAGTTGTCCGGGTCCCGTGGCGAAGCCTGGATCAAGAACTCGTCCCTCCAGCTGTCCAGAGCATCGAAACTCTTGGAGTTGTTGACATCGTATACGAGCACGCAGCAGTCGGCACCACGGTAGAAAGCGACGCCCAGAGACTGGAAGCGCTCCTGTCCTGCCGTATCCCAAAGCTGTCGTCCATTCGTCAGCACATGTCCGGATCGTGGATCAGTCGTTGTATCGGTCTAATCCCACCTGCATCGTCACCTGTCGGTCGTCGACGAGAACCTCGCGCGTCAGGAAGTCGGCGCCGATAGTGGCCTTGTAGCTTGCACTGAACTTCTTGTTGACCTGGGTGAAACATTCACGTCAGCGCCAACAGTCTCCTCCCCGGTGTTGCTTGATTCACGGAAACTCACATATTGGTTCATCAGACTCGTCTTTCCGACACCGCTATCGCCAAGGATAATGACCTGCACGAAAACAACCTCGTTAATTATGCCGCGCCATGATATGCTGCAGCGCTAGGAGGGGAGAGCCCACCTTGAGAAGGACCTTCTTTCTCGATGACATTTTGAATCGATTGCCTCGTGGGAGGAGTGTGTAGAGTTTGGGATGGTCAAAAAGTGTCGACGTCAACAGTCGGTCGTTCTACGTAGAGGTACGAAAGTTTCGGTCGCGGGTTGGGTTTCTTATCGGATCGGACGTCAAGGTGATCGAAAACGGACCGGTGTCTTGCGGTCAGGGGTGGTTGGTTGGTGTCAAGTGCAGGTCGGTACGCAGTAGATCGATGGACGGAAAGTCATGGTGGAGGTTGACAGGGAACCAGGCGGTACTGAGAGCTCCCGTCACATTTCCAGGTTTCAGCCTATCAAAGAGCTGCCTCCAGTGCTGGGACTAACCAGGAAAGGCTCCGAGTGTCTACCTGCGCAGTATCGTCAGGTGCGTTACTTCTGTTGTCATTGTGGCTGACGTAACGACTCAGGCGCAGAGGGCGCTGAGGGCGCTGTGGGAATGAACTGCTCAATACACTGTACCATGCCCGCTGCATGCAAAGCGTCTCTCCAGCCACACACAATGCTACTTCTCAACTCAACGACGGTCCAGGCGAACTGAGCTCAGCAAGAGCACGCCCTCACTGCCTACCTTTTTGCCTTATGCTCAAAACTCATGCGAGGACCAAGACCTCTCCCGCCTCTGTCTCTACCTCACCTAATCGCACACCACATGTCTGCTGTGGACGAACAACACACGAGACTACGTCTGTAGCCCAACATGCGCTGATGAGACCTTGGAGACACATCTCACCCGATCCTCATGGCGGATGAAGAAGATCTCCTGACCAAGGTCCACGGCCTGAGCGACCTTGAGCTCGCCGCCTTCTTGTGCCTGGTCAACCGAGAACACTGTATCGTCAGCACTCCGCCTGTCGCCCTCAATGAGCTGATCGAGGAGCTTCAGCTTGTAAGCCCACTGGTTGCGGCCAGCCCGCTGCTCACATCTCTAACCTGCCTGCAGATCGCGACAAAGACCTTTGGACTGACGTGCGCCATCGTGGACTGCTCTCCGCAAACCACCCTGGAGGACTTTGCATCTTCCATCCTCATAGCGCAGTCGCCCACAGCCACCAGATCAGGCTCACCCCTTCGCACGCGCAACGACTCCTACTTCTACTCCCGCGCCGGAATTTCGCCCCTGACCGCCGTTAACGCCTACAGCCCAACCGGCCCTGGCGGCGCAGCCGGTTCCTCCATCGCCAATGTCATCCTCGCCCGGAACCTGGACAGCGCCCCCAAGGCCGTGCAGATTCAGGTCCTCGAGCTCCTGCGCACCCGCCGCATCTTCACCCGCACCTCCGTCCAGACCGCTCCCAAGCAGTTCCTTTTCGTGGCTGCGTTGGCCGCCGAGAGCGGAGGCCAGGCTCACGTTACGCTGCACCTGAATGATTATTTCTTCATCGCCCACTGGCACGACCCAGACGACGGCTTTGCCAACCTGGATGAAGCGTACGACAAAGCTGACGATGCCGAGACTGCCAGCACCGAAAGCGTGGTGAAGAAGAGCATCCACGAGGAGAATGTGGCCGTCAGCGAGGATCCCCTTTTAAGTGAAGGTGTAAGTGAACTTTTGCGTGGTATTTGGTCTTTCTTGCTGCTAACTTTTTGGCAGGATATCGCATCTTTGGCCAAGCTGAGCCGAGAAGTCCAGGTCAACGTGGATGTGCTACGCTATCAAATGAACATTGTCACATATCTGAGGATGCACCGCGCAGTTGCCGGCGGCATCGAGCCCATTGCAACGAAGCATCTCGACCAGCTGCTGAGATGCCTCGCCCCCTTGCACAGCCTGGACTTTGTGACGCCGGCTCTCGTTCACTTGGCTATTAGGAAAATCTACCTGCATCGGATCCGGATCGTGCACGCCAAACAGGAAAGGAGCATGCAGTGGGGCAGCCAGCAGGAAGCCATCGAATCCATTCTTGAAGGCGTGGGCGCCGAGGACGTAATCGAAGACGTGATAAACATGGTGGCGGCACCGCTTTGAAGTCAACTCTGACTATTTGTCCAGCGAGTGTGGTTGATTCTAATCAACAGCTACGTCTTGACGAGTCTTTATCCTTGATACCCGTGGGAAACCATTCGAGACATGGAACGCCTGCCGTCGATCCGTGTACTGATGCGTTTCCTGCATCTACCTTGTAACGTTCGTTGTTCTCAAATACACTTATTCGTAATCGAACATTCCCATTTCTGTCGTGGAATTAAAAATCTATAATACTACAAGCCAGCCAACGCCAGGGGAGGCTTGCGCAATCTTGTCGCCAGTTAGGTCATCCGTCTAGTTGACCTGGTTGACTCTGCACTTCCAACCAGATCCGGGGGAGAGAAGAGGCAAGCTGTGACATGTTAGCTTCTGTAAACTTTCCACTCGATGAATCAAATCTTACCTAGCACCAAGGCACCAACCCAGTTCGTTACCCTTGATCTTCTTGGCAATCTTGACCTCACGGTCAATAGGCATCTCGTAGCCCGTGTGGAGAAGAGCCATCATGAAGTTGAGGTCAAGGCAGTGCTCAGGGCGGTCCTGGAGCTCCTTCATGGCACCGGGAATGCTGGCAAAGAGATCCCAGGACTTCTCGCCGCCGCAGACAGAGTTGGCAAGGTCGTGCATCTCACGCAGGGTGAAGGAGTCGGGCATGCCGAGCGGCTTAGTGCGGTCGTAGAAGTAGGAGAAGATGTAGACGTCCTCGCGGCCAAAGGTCTTAGCCAATGATGGCTGGTGGACACCGTTGAAAGAGCAGGGCGCAAGCTTGCAGCTCTCTTCCTTCTTCAGGATCTTCTCGGCGAGGTTGCGGCACTGAGCGGGAGCGGCCTGGGAGGGGCCGGTCATGTTGAAGGTGACAGTCTTGCCGAGGGGGTGCTTCTCGTCGAGCTCGACCTCGACCTCTCTAACCATGCCGGGGGCAATGCAGGGGTGGATGATGGGCTGCTTGACCCAGCTGTCATCGGACTTCTTGCTCTCAAAGATCTCCTCAATCAGCTGCTTGTGCACGGCCTTGCGGGCGCTCATCAAGCCATATCCCAGATGGGAGTGCTGATAGAGCTCGAACTTTTGTCCACCAAAGGCAAGGTCGTACTTGTGGTCGCCCTCGGCGAGCTTCTCCGGCATGCCTCCGTCCGCAGCTCCCTTGAAGGTGGGCTCAAAGACAATCTGGGTCGAGCCACCGCCGAGATCGAAGACGGCAGCGGTGGGGCTCTTGTCAGGGCCGCCAATCTTGCCGAGGAGGTAGTTGGTGGTGATCCAAGCGTAGACACCTTCGTCGGCGCCGTCCATGATGGCAACTCCGTTATCCTCCTTGGCAACGACGGGGAAGGGGTACTTGGTCTCGAGGCGGTTGCGCACAGCAGCGAGGATCTTCTCGGCGTTCTCAGCTCCGACCATGCGGAGTCCAGCGGTCGCTTTCACCGCGACAGGACTGCAGGACTTGAGCTTGTCGGGAACGTTGGTCATGGCAACCTCCATCAGAGCGTCGAGAGAAGCGGCAGCGGCCTCGGGGTCGTCCTTATACTTGCTGAGGCCACCAACTGACTTCTCCGTCATCTTGAACTCCTCGTGCTCCAGCTCGGGGGTGGCGCCGCAGTTGTTGAACTTGTAGACGTGGATTCTGGATCCAGTGCTGCCGGCGTCGATCATCAGGACGTACTGGACGATGGGCTTAGACTTGGAGCTGGATTGAGTGCATTTGTCAGTGCCGTACGAGGCATCGGCAGGGACCTGGCCACCAGCGCCACCTTTCGATACTGCTGTAGATGTATTAGTTTCAAGTTGATCCAATGGGCTTCACTGAGCCATCGCTTACCTCCGCCATTGTAGACGTTGACGCCTCGAGGAGACAGATACCAGAAGAGGAAGACGACGAAGAAGGCGATGGCGCCCGTCCTCATCCACCTCGTCTTCTGTGCTTGAGACATATCTCTGAACGCCGCGAACAGGCCAGTATTCCGTTGAGCGGGTGCAAATCGACCAGGCTTTTCGTGTGGATCTCGCGCGGGTTGCTTCGTCGGCAGCGACACAGATGTTCTTCGCATTGGTCGCTTGTCGTTGGTGCTTAAGGGAGCACAGAGTAACGCATTCGAGGTACAGCGGCGTCGAGATGGGACAAAGGAGTGGACTGGGCTGAACCGAGGGCCGATTACCAAAGGGAGCAGCACGGGGCGACTCGAGGAAACAGGAAAAAGGTGCGGGTGGCCGAAGAAAAGGAGCGGACGAGATGGGATGGAGGCAACTGGACCCAGAGAAAGTGCAGAAGTCGTATATGTAGGGAGACGTCGTCCAAGGGGGGTGAGGAGATGCAAGGTACGGTTGGGTTAGGTTGGTCTCGAAGGGGGCTCGATGGCAATTGCAGATTTTCTCTTTTCTGAGAGGTCATCAAAATCCGGACATCCCTGTCTCGAGCTGGCAGTTTGCTAATCTTGGGTGCATAGGTGCGCCAGCGGGGACAACGCGAGCCCACTGAAATGTTGAACCTGGAAGCCATCCTCCTGTCGCGTTCACCTTAATGGCCGGCTCTATGATTAGGGGGCGGGGCCACTGACTCCCTGCTACGCCCCCTAAATTGCGCAGTCGCTCCTTCACACGGCACCTCACTCACGCATTAAGGTAGGGCCCATTTGCCGGGCATGTTCTCATCATTCCTGAGGTGATCAGCTTGTGGTCAAGGCACAGCTGGCATTTGAGCTTACCTAAGGTTACGTACTGCAGGTGGATATATGCTTCTATCGATTAGTCGGCACCAGGTAGGTACCTTACCTTAGATTCCAAGCCACGTGTGGCGCTCCCTCCATCGGATCTGACACTGTGACCGGACCCTGGAAGCTTCTCGTGCAGTGGCTATTACGACTACGTCTTGTTGCCTCCGGCGTAATGATGGATATGAGCACCCTCCAGAGAGAAAACTAAGAAATCCAATATCAAACTCTCTTTCGTACACAGCTTCAATCTCACTTTCCATCAGTCAACAAAGATACAACCTTCCCACTTCTCGACTAAACTGCATTACTTCCCAGCAAGGAAGCCAGATCCCGGACTAGACCGAACGAAGCCTCTCAAGATGGACGTGCATCTCTTAACGTACGACCTATCCCGGGGCCTTGCGCGGCAAATGTCCCAGGGCATGCTTGGATTTCACCTTGATGCGATCTATCACACATCCATTCAACTCAATGGACGCGAGTACGTCTACGATGGTGGCATTGTTGACATCACTCCGGGAACATCTCACCTGGGCCAGCCTATGGAGCGTATTTTCCTTGGAAAGACAGAACTACCCATGGAGGTCATCAAAGAGTTCCTAGACTCATTAAGGCCAATCTTTACAGCCGAGGTGGGCTCAACATATGTTTGAATAAACAAAGACTAACATTTCACCAGGCCTACGATCTCTGGAGACATAACTGCAACAACTTCTCAGACTCATTTTCTCAGTTCCTACTTGGGAAAGGCATCCCAGAGCATATCATCAAGATGCCAGATGCCGTACTCAGCTCTCCAATGGGCAGGATGCTCATGCCTCAACTCAACCAAGTCATAAACTCCAACAGACAAAACGGTTCGATCCTTGGTATCCAGAACGACGCAACTCCTCCAGGATACGGATCCGCGCCACAGCCCACAAAATCCCGATCCAACATCAGGATTGTGAGAAGCTCACAGGAGCTAGACGCAGCCCTTGAATCTGCGAGAAAGTCTTGCGCTGTGGTTCTCTTCACCTCCGCCACATGCCCACCTTGCAGGGCCATCTCGCCCATATTTGATGAGGTGTCCGCAGAGGCAGGTAGCAAAGCGACGTTCATCAAAGTAGACGTGGCCCAATTGACGCCGCTTCCCGGAAAGAACTATCCTCGAGCAACTCCGACATTCATCACCTATTTGCATGGAGAAAAGGAGAATGAGTGGGCAGGCGCTGATCCTGCTGCTCTTCGGGGGAACGTCCAGCTCCTGCTACAAATGGCTTGGCCTCGGCACCCTCATGAGTCCCTCAAACTACCCAGCTTTTCCAACCCGAACGCAAAGCCGGTATTGTTCTCAAAGGTACCGCCACTGGCCAAACTTCTGGGCAAGATGGGTTCGGCAGCAGACGAGCCAGCCGTGCAGGCAACCAAGCAGTTCATTGAGGCCCGCGATAAGCAGGGCGCCGCGGTCGCAGTCCTCCCGAATCTAGGCGAATTCTCGGGATTCTTACAAAGATCAGTGCAGACGTTGCCTGTTGAGGTTCTCTTCACCATCGTCGACTTATTTAGATGTGCGCTTGTCGACGCAAGGTTCAGCGGCTACTTTGCTGAAGAAAAGGGGCACACGACCGTTTTAGCAGTCCTTAGATTCGTCAACTCACACAGCGACTGCCCGTACGCTTTGCGTTTGGTTACACTGCAAATGGCGTGCAACTTCTTCTCCACGCCTCTCTTCCCGGAGGAAATACTACGAAACGAGACGTTGAGAGCACCCGTTATCCAATTGATTTCTTCGAGTTTCCTAGACGACAGCCACAACAATGTTCGTGTTTCTGCTTCGTCCCTCATGTTCAATTTGGCGCTTTTCAGCAACAAAGCCAGGCGTGAGAAGTCTGGAGACGTATTGCCAGACGGCGACGCGGTAGAGCTGGCTGCATCGGTGTTAGAAGCCATAGGACAAGAGGAGTCTTCGCCAGAGGCACTGCAGGGTATGCTTCTTGCACTGGGTAACTTGGTCTACTGCACACCGAGTGACAGTGAGGTCTCGGATTTGCTGAGGGCGATGGATGCGGAGGACACGATTCTGGCCAAGAAGAAGCAATTCCCAAATGAGAAGATCATCGTAGAGGTGGGCTCAGAGCTTCTGGGCAAAGGGCTTAGACGGCCGTAGCTTGGTTTGTGTTGGTAGTGGTAGAATACACTAGACTGCGTGGCGTTTGGTATAGGTTGGGCGTTGACACCGTCAAAGAGGTGCCGAATATACACTAGACTTTTGTTTGCAGGGCGATTTGTTTACACGAACGGAGCACGAGTGTCTGTCATCTGATTCTTCCACAACACACCGGCACCGACGCCTTTTCGCGCATCTCTGTGAATAGGCGGCCCTTCCTCCGTCTAGCAAAGACCAAAAAGAAAAACATCACTTGCCCAATTGAATCTGATTCCCTTTTCCCTCTTTTTGTTGGCAAACAAAAAGCAAATCGACGACACTTTCCAAGATACGCACTTGCAACACCCCCTGCGTTCCTACCCCAGGCGAACAACACACCGCATAGCTAGTGTGGCGTCACTGCCCCGGCAACTCGGCCCCACCAGCTTTCCTCCTAATTGGGCAACCGAGTAAACAAGCCCGACCGCCTCGAGTTGGGATGTGGGCTTCGCAACGGCAACGATACCACGCAATTTTTGAAGAATTGAAGCAGACCCTTTGTGGATTGTCTCTCGATCATCGACTGCTACCGTCAGCGGTTTACGAGATGCCGGCTCTCTACTCGTCTGCTTCAACCCCGTCTCTGCGGTCGCACGATGGACCGGTCAGAATGGACGGGGGAGGCAATGTTCGTGTCGTCGTCCGAGTGCGAGCGTTTCTGCCCAGAGGTATGTTGAAGGCTTTCTAGGACGGCATAGAGGAAGAAGAAGGAGACTAATAAAAGGAAACCAGAAATCGAGCGTGGTGCCGAGTGCCTAGTTGAGATGGACCCCATCACCCAGCAAACAACGCTTCTCGTGCCCAACGACAGCGACCCTGCGAACGCGAAAGCAAAGACGAGAAAGGTTATCGAAGAAAAGAATTTTACATTCGACAATTCTTTCTGGAGTCATGATCTCAGCGACAAGTATTATGCCCACCAGGAAGACGTCTACAACAGTCTGGGCGAGGAGTTCCTTGACCATAACTTTGAGGGCTATCACACATGCATCTTCGCCTACGGTCAAACGGGTTCCGGAAAGAGTTATACAATGATGGGAACACCAGACCAGCCGGGCTTGATTCCTCGAACGTGCGAAGATCTCTTCGAGCGAATCGAATCTGCGCAGAACGAGACGCCCAATATTTCCTACAACGTCAGGGTGTCATACTTTGAGGTCTACAATGAGCACGTCCGGGACCTGCTTGTCCCGGTTGTGGCCAACCAGCCGCCGTACTATCTCAAGATCAGGGAGTCACCAACCGAAGGACCGTACGTCAAGGATCTGACCGAGGTTCCTGTCCGCAATCTCAATGAGATTTTGCGATACATGACGATGGGAGATAGGTCGAGAACCGTGGCCAGCACCAGAATGAACGACACAAGTAGTCGCAGTCACGCGGTATTCACAATCATGCTCAAGCAGATCCACCATGACATGGAAACGGACGAGACGACGGAGAGAAGTTCGCGTATCCGTCTGGTCGATCTGGCTGGCAGCGAACGTGCCAAAGCGACCGAGGCAACAGGCCAGCGGCTCCGCGAAGGCAGCAACATCAACAAGTCGCTAACGACCCTCGGCCGAGTGATAGGAGCGCTCGCCGATGCCAAGGCGGGTTCGAGAAAGCGCAGCAAAGACGTCGTTCCGTACCGAGACTCAATTCTCACGTGGCTGTTGAAGGATTCGCTGGGAGGCAACAGTAAAACGGCAATGATTGCTTGCATCGCGCCGTCGGATTACGAGGAGACTCTGTCGACGCTTCGCTATGCAGATCAAGCCAAGCGCATCCGCACGCGCGCGGTTGTCAACCAAGACCAGATCTCGTCAGCGGAGCGCGATGCCCAAATCGCAGCTATGGCGGACGAGATCCGAGCCCTTCAGCTGTCAGTGTCGGAATCGCGCCGGCGGGAGAAGGATACCAAGGACCAGGAGGAGAAGCTTGAAGAGTACCAGAACCACGTGGCTACGATGCAGCGCATGATGGAGGAGCGCAGTCTCGTCGCCGAGGGCAAAATTCGTAGCCTGCAGACAGAGAACGAGGCCTTGCGGCTGCACCTCAAGCTCGCGCTCGAGAGTCTCAAAAACCCGATCCCGGCCGTCACGATCAAGCCGCCGGAGGCCGAGGAAGCGGAAGACGAGGCTCAGAGGGCCAAGTCAGCGGGTCTCGAGGGCAAGGACGAAAATGGCGAGGACGCCGAGTCATTGTACGACGACTCGGACGACACGGCGTACGACTCGGATGTTATGGAGGATAATGCCAGCGACATGCAGGAGTACATGCGCAGTCTGCTGAGCGATCTGGGCATGTTCCGAAGGAAGATTGGAGACGACAAAGAACGCTGGGTCGGCGAGGCGCCGCCTGCAGGAAGCAAGATGAACTTCTAAAGTTGTATGTGTAGGGGGAGTTTGATGAATGAGTTGCGGATGACAGAGCTCGGCTATTGATTGTTACGAAGCGCCAAGACGACAATGGTAAGCATGGTGTTTTGGGAGTCCTTCTTGTCCTTCGGGGTTTACTTTGTTTAGGAAAGAGAGACAGAATCCATAGTTTGCAACCAACACATAGTACATTGCACATCAAGACTCTCGTACTGGGTTGAGACCAGTGATGATAACGCAGTGTGGGTAAATGGCTGTTTCCTCTGTCGGGACACGTCACGATTGAAACCCGCAGGAACACGATCCGGCCTGTCAGATCTCATGGGAAGTGGGCGGGTGCTCTCTGCTTGTTCCCATTGATCTCGAACAGGGGATCCGTTCTGGCGGTGCTTCACAAGTCAAGGTGCGTGGAGCAAGGCGCGGGAGGGCCGTCGGGGGCCGCTACGTGCCGCTTGCGCCATCTCTAGAGATACACAGTCAACTGTCCCGTTAACAGCACTGCGAATTGGGAATACGCCGAACGTCGAGAGCCGAAGAGGGATGTCGTTGTTAGGGTTAGGCAGGGTTTGTGGCTGGCATGGATGAAGCATCCGGAAGAGACGACGGCGAAGCAAGCCGGCGAACTACTTTGTCAGGGGGGAGGAGTTTCGAGACAGCGGTTTGGTTCTTTCGACGGCGGGCAACGTGCTCCGGAAGCCGTTGGCCGTCGAAACTTTGACGTGTGTCTTCCTGTCCGTGTTGAGTGTCAAAACTTGCCAGCCCTAGGAATCCAATGTCCGACGGGGGTTTTGAGAGTTGGATGGACATCGAGGTAAATGGCTTTTCGTTTGGGTGTGCCAATTCAAGAGGCTCTCGCAATCGCAAACTTGATAATGCGTTCTATTCGTTATAGAGATTGGCTTTACGCCTCCATTTTTATTTTTTTTTCGATCTACATATCTGGGCTGTTGGAATGGGCATTGGATGAAGCTTGATGTTTATTCCCAAGTACAGTTCGGGTGCAAACGCCTTTTGGGTTTTTAGTTTTCTTCTTCTCCGGGGAGGCTGCCCGAAGAAGCTTGCGATCAGTTGGCTTGCCGTAACATGTTTTGATCGTCACGAAAGATCGTGAAGAGTTATTTTGCTAGTCAACTCGTGGTCTGTCTATGGCGGCGGCTCATCGTTGTGTGGCCCTGTTTGCCGTGCTTTCCGCGCGGATGCATTCGTAGGAGCCAACACGTCTCGAATATTTCATGTCGGAGCTTTCTGCGATATACCGTTCTCGAGATCCATCTCAAGTTTTCTTCCTTTTTTTGGCTTTAAGGGGTTCGTTCCTGTTCGATATGCGAGTGATTTCTAGAGGATTGCCAAAAGGGCGAAGAGCGCGAGAAAAAGGTTGAGTGAACGGGCTGTTGGTTGAGCTAGGCGTCGAACCCGACTCTCGAGCTCGGAAGTGTGCGAGTGGTTAGAGAGCGTGCATTAGTGTGACTATGACGAAGTTTTCCGAGAGTCAATTGATCTTGTGGGTGCATCTCATTCTCCGCTCCGTTTGATGATGCTGAGCAGCTCAGACGTTGGATGGGATGTTCAGGGTCATAGCTGCACACATGGTGACTGAGGTATCCAGAAGAATGTGCCTTCTTCCATGGTAGAATAGATACATTCAGGCTTACAGCCAGTTTACAATATGCTCTTGACCATTATTGGCAGGCAAGGCATCTGGCCTCGCTCGGATCAGCTCCTCTTCGACAACTTGGAAACTCGCGGGGAGGTTGCGTAAGTTGCGGTTTCCTACGACATCTGCGCGTAAGGTACCTTGCATTCCCATGGTGGCACATGCCTCGTTCCTGGTCCCTGTTCCTGGAAGCTGGAAAACCCCCTGCCAGGCGGCGACCCTGCTCATTTACAACACCCCCAGGAACCGCCGAACCGAAAAGAACAGCTGTATCCGTATGGTATTACGGAGTTACGTGGGTAATAACCTTCCTTCTCGAACGTGAACCTGAACATCCGGTCTTTGCTCCCCTTGCCCACCCTCGTCGCCGCGACTTATCACTGGCCACGCCGGCGGCTGGATGTTTCAGGGCGGTAAGATGTTCCCACCAAAGTTCTAAGTACCATCTCCAGGATTTCTTCTCTTCCTCTGGATCGACTAATGTGATACCGTCCCAGCCGTTGAGTTAACTCGTCGGCTCTAGGTTTGCCAAGTTGCCAATGCCAGTCGGCTCCAGCGTCTCCAGACATCGCAGTCAGATCGGGACGGACGGCCGTGACGGCTGCCGCGGAATGTCACCTTGGGTCCGTACCTACCTAGAGGTAGGTACACGGCAGGCTACGGCAGGACCGCAGGAGGACGCCGTTGCCGTTTCGCTTGCGTGCCTCATGTGTGCAGCGGCAGGTTCCTTCCACCACCACCACGACATGGGCAGCAGGAGCAGAAGCAGGAGCAGGAATCGCGTCCGAGACGTCCTCATTCGCCTGTACCTTGCAGAGTAGGTACATATGTATCTGTACGTACCCGTGCAGTCAGGGAAGACTGGATATTGTGCACTCGGACGGTTCGTGTATCGTCCCGTCTCCTTTTCCCCTTTCCCCCGTTGAGACTCTGACAACTCTTTTGAGAAGTTGAGTCTGGAGCCTGCTCACTTCTCACTTGTTCTCTCGGCGCTCATATGCCAGGTGCCCTGTCCTGCTGCGCTTCAAACCTCAGATCTGAGCCCTGGAGTGACCTTTGACCGGATTTTGGAGCTCCCTGCCCACTCTACCTTATTCAAACAGATCTCCCAGACTCCCACCCTCTAATAGTCCCGCCTTTAGCACAGACACCCTGCTCTTTGGGACCGCCTGGAGTGTCGTCTTGTGTTGCCGCCCTAGGTTTCTGATGCCTCCTGTGGTGTCGGTACCTCGCAGAATGTATCCGCCCTCCATGCTCTGAAGCACAAGAAAGAGGAGCACCATCGAGGTATCTTGAGTGTCGCCGTGACGAGAGATGGGATGAAATGAGATGGACAGCTTCTTGTTTATTACCCCTACCTCGCCGTGGACTCGTCCCTGGGCCTCTTTCTTCCCTTTCTCTCTACCGCCTCTCCCTCGGTCGTCGTCCTGTTGTATCTTTACGATTCTTTGTCACCAACTCCCTGAATACAACCGTCGAGTCATTCAGAGTTGCAAGGAACCCAAGTCCCAGCTGCTGTCGTCGGTCGTCACGCCTTGTTCTGTCTAACAGGTATCTTCTGGTCCACTTGTGTCCCTCTGTCGGGTCCCTAGCACTAGGTAATTGACACTTGGGAGGAACACCACCAGGCGCCAAAGCAAGCTACAAGACAAGGGCATCTGTTCCTGACAATCAAATCTCCCCTCTCCGCGCCATCTCGCTGTCTGATCTGCCAATACGGATACTCCTTACAGACTACGGAAACGTACGAACAGGCTGTATCTGTATCTGTACTCCCCCAGACAAGTCCAAGAAACCCACCAAACCGGTCCTTCCATTGGTGATTTCCAAACAAGCCCAAGCCTCCCGTCTTTCTCCACGTCTTCTCCTACCGGGCCAACAACCACGTTACCCCACACACACACAAGCCAAGTCACCAACAGGTAGCACACAGCAACTATACAGTAAACGACGCCGGCCCTCAGGCACTTAAGCGTGCCCCGTCCCCCGACCCGTCAACGGCCTGCCCACTTCTGCCCCTCGTTGCTACATTAGGCACCGCCGCACTCCACTCAGCCAACCAACGACCAGCGACCCAAAAAAGCAAGGGCATCTTAGTCTGGCAGCGTGTAACTTGTCACTGTGTCCCGTCCGCCGTCCCTCTCAAGGTACCTCTCTCGGCCACGCCTACCCGACCCCCGATCCCCGACCAGGTCCAGCGGGCAAGCGACGCAACATACGACCTCAACTTCACCTTCGACCGGACACTTGCCTCGCGACTCGACATTCGACACCTCTTTCCGTCTTCTTGTTGCTGCGACTTCACTTGCCGTTGCCCTTCCTTTGCATTTCTTTCTCGATACCCCCTTTCCACCGCCCTCCCAACCACTTCACACGCCATGGCCGCCAGACCTGCCCTCTTCACCCGTGGCCTGTCGGGGCTTTCCCAGAGCACAACCGACCCCAACTCGCCCAGTGTCAGCTCCCCGGCCGACCAGCGTGACGATGCGAAGCGCAACTTCCTCAAGGCCATGCGCCCTCTGCCGACACAACATTACTGGAATGTCTACTTTGACAAGTGAGTGCTCCTCTCGAAATTACCACAGTGTCTGTCCTCAGGCGCATGTCCCAGATCTTGCGCACCCCCACCCCCACCACCCCTGAAGCTTTCAAGACTAACTCCCAATACTCGCTACTCCAGACAAGCAAAGGACCAGCAAAAGTCGGGCAACGATGACGAGTACAAGGTGCAGCTGGAACAGCTTGGTTCGCAGATAGAATCCGTCCAGGACTTTTGGAAGTACAACAACAACACACCCGTCGATCAGATCAAGATGCGCGAGTCCATATACCTCTTCAAGCAGGGCTTCAAGCCCATTTGGGAGGACCGCCGCAACATCAACGGCGGCGCCTGGACCTTCCGCGTGCCCAAGAACATTGGCCCCGATGTGTGGACTCGCGTTCAGCTTCTTGCCATTGGCGAGAAGCTGCAGAGCGTACTAGACGACAGTATGTCGCCCTCGCTTCCGTCTCTTCTTGCATCTCCTTCACCACAAGTGCAACTAAGCTAACCCTTGACTACCTCCAGACGACCAGATTTGCGGCGTTGGTCTGTCCGTCCGCTTCAACTCCCACCTCATCTCCATCTGGCACCGCGACGGCTCCAAGCAAAAATCCGTCGATGCTATCCTGGAATGCGTACTCGAAGAGCTCCCCGCCGAGCTGCGCCCCAAGGCCGATAACTACTTCTACAAGCGTCACCAGGACCATGCCGGCTTCAAGGCGCCCCCCGAGCTTCAAGTCGTTATCGACTCACAAAAGGCGGCCGCTGACAAGGCCAAGGCTGCGGCCGGAGGTGCGCCGGCTTAGAAGGCCGGCCGCGTCCACCCGCAGTCTGCCCCCTTTTAGGGCCTTGCTGGGGTTTGAGAAAGTCTTTGCTGCGGTTCCGAAGCCAAACAGCGTGGCCTCTGCATGAATCCCTCTTCCGAGCCCTTTCTCTTCTCTGCACAAAAGGCAACCCCCATTCAGTGACGGACGCAGCTGTGAGGAGGAACCTCACTTTGTCTTAATCTCACCAAACATACGGGAATGGGAATTTATATGTGTTTTGTTTTGTTGGGCAAGTCAGGTTAAGTCCGTACTCAATCTCAAGCCACGGGAACTGGCAATGCACCAACATACAAGGAACAAGGCCGGAATAAGCATATGTCATGGGCGTTTTCTTGTTGTCCTCTTCTTTTATTAGCATGGAAATACAAACTCTCGGGGGCGATGAAGATATCACACCCCACGGGTGCCATATGGGCTGCACCGAGATCAGATAGAATCATCATTACTACCAGTATTTACCAAAGTGTTCCAGAGACTGCAGCATGTTGCAGTCACTCATGTGGATTGTGAACCTTGAAGCCGTGGGGTAGAAGTTCGAATCACGAGAGTAGAAGTAGCCCGTAGATGCTATAAGCGCGCCCCAAAACAATAAAGGAAAGGAAAATACAATCGCCGTGCCTCCCAAACGCCAGCACAATGGGGTATAATGCAGGACCAAACCCACCACATAGGCCACGAAGCCTCTCAACGTCCAACCCAGCCAGTGATGTAGATCGCACGCGCGCGCGCAATCATCGCCAAACCCCAGCCCGCCGCATGACCTCCTCGAACTCGTCCCTCCTCACTCCCTTGCCCACGCCCGCGCCCCCGTTGGCCTCGAGGATCATATCCCGCAGCACCTCGTCCTTGACGTCCTCCCTAAGCACGGCAACAACCCTCTTGAGATCCGCAATCGTGATGACATCCCGTGGGCCAGCAGAACCCGACGCCGAAGAGCCTCCACCGCCAGCCCCGGCCCCCGTGAAAAGCCCAAACGCCTCCTCCACCTCCCTCCTCCTCGCCTCGCCTCCGCCCCGCTCCTCCCTCTGATGATATTTCAACGCACACACGGCGAAGAACGGCTCGTACGCGACGAAACCTTCGCCCTCCGGGTCCAAGATCTCGACGAACTCGGCCTGCTCTTCGCGGGAGGAGGGCGGGATGCCGAGGGCGACGAGGCAGGAGCGGACGTCCGAGGTTGGGATGACGCCTTCTTTGGAGTAGCCTTTGAGGGGTTCGGCGAACAGGGAAAAGGCTTCGCGGATCTCGCGCTCTTCGTGGGCGGAGATGTTGTGTTCTTTGGCGAGTTTGGAGGCGCGGGGGCGGGGGACGTCTGTTGTTGAGGACGAGGGTTTTTGGGTTGGTGGCTTGCGTTTTGCGGGCTTTGGGATGGAGGTGTTAGTTTTGGGCGGGTGAGGATTGCGAAGAGGGAGGTGGTGGCTTACCATTTTGGAAATGTTGGAGGGAGTTGATATGCTGAGGATGTGTTGGAGGGAGTTCGATCGTCCGTAGGAGGGGTGGTGGTTTGGAAATGTGGTCGTCGCAAGCACGAGTGAGGCAGGTGCTTGAGAGCTGGAGGTCAATGACGCTGGTTGCGCCGGGAAGAAAGAGCGCCGGGGACGCGTTAATGGGCTGTGGAGTCGCGCGTGTTCGGATACAGTGCACCAACCATGTGCGCAAAGTTTCGCTCGCACGATAGCCCGCCCCGCCGTTGCAAAAAAATTCAACATAAAAACTTCCGCAAGCTACGGTTCCTTTCCTTCCTCAACCATCACAACCTCGCGACACTCACTCACTGTGAGAAGCGTCGACTACCTCAACCATGAGACCTCTCAAACCAGCTCTGGCGCCTTGCGATTGAACAGAGAGACCGACGATAAGCAGGTCCTTCACTGGATCCTGCGCGCAGGCTTCGCTCTCTGCTTCACTTCCATCGCCGATCACCTGGACTATTTTCACCAAAATCCTTCAGACCTGCGCAATATGGTCGAACAGAACACAAGGTTACGGATCTTTCTTTCAAAACCGCCTCCACACTCTATTACAGGTCAAAGCTGCCTGGAGGAAGTGTGCCTCATACTCAAAGCTCCACGGCCTCCGCGCCGGACCTGCGCCCAGCAATCTGGGATCCTCCATTCATAACAAACTCCAAAATGGATCACACCATACGGCTGTACATGCCCTCTTCCTACGCGGCGCTTCCTACTCGGGGACTTTCCAGCTGCAACATGCCATCGCCACACCCACAAGGCATCGCAACCCGCCAAACATGGCACCCTCTTCGTGGTTGTCAGATCTTGGTTCCCAGCGGGACTAGACAAAAAACCACCGTCTTCAAAACATTGAGACGAAACTCTGAAAGAACAAAATCATGACATGACACAGCTTCTAAAAAATGCTAGAGCTTGCCGCTTTCTTACCCAGAGCGAGCACGTGTGGACAGTGAAGCAAGATTAAACAAACGGGGGCGCGTCGCAGGACGTACCGCCCCTTCCCCGGCTTACACTCTCGCCTCAATCACTGTGGTTGTCGCGTTTAGGACCTGTGGGAGACATGCTCGTGACGTGATGATTTAGTTTTGATGACTTTGATTTTCACTGTCTGAGAAGAGGTGGTGGACGTGCTTGCTGTGCTTTTGATTCCGCGGTCAAGAGACTGCTCTCGCATACTGCCTACTTCAAACTCTTGTAATATGTCCTATGGCCTAAACTCTCGACCTCCATTCTAGGGATCCTACCATGTCATATCTTGGAATCAGGAGGTGGACTGTTCATCCGTCAGATTTGCTCATGGCATTACTACCGGCCCAAGTGCTTCGTCCCAAAGCAGGCCGACGCCGTAGGAGAAGAATACCACACGATGAAAGGGGAGGGGGATGGAAACCTGCCACTTACTCACTTGAAGTTATTCTTCATCTCACGCAACTTGTTCATGACGGAAACGGGCTCGCTCTCCCCCGTCACCCTCTGAATCTCGGGGTCCTATTTCGTGACAAATACCACCATCAGCCTCTGTGTCTCTCCAAGGCGAGGATGCCCGCGAGGCTCCATGGGGCAAAGGGCCTGTAAAAACTCACCTCGACGCGCATAAAGACGTTGTGTTTCTGTGTTTTCAAGCAGTCGTCAGCTCAGGGCCACAATCTTACACTTCCACTCTTATCCCACCACCACGCCGTTGCAAACAGGGGGCGGGGATCAGGAGTAACATACCTTCTCATCCCCAATCGTAAACTTGCCCTGCGTCTCCTTGTTATTCTCCGCGAACGCCTGCAGCTTCTGGATCGCCTCGTTCTGCAGCACCGACGCGGCGAACTTGACGTTGGATTTGGTGTACTCGTGGCCGGGCTTTATTTCTCTGTCAGCACCGATTCCCCCTATCCTGAGTTTCCTCATATTCCTAGGTCTAGTTGATGGGAGGTCCAAGAAAAACTCACAAACACGACCGTGTCGTCGGGAAGCGCGGCCAGCGTCTTGTTTAGTGCGCTGTGCATCTCCTCCGCGTTACCCTCGAAGAACTTGCCGCAGCCTGTTGGAAAGGAAGGAAGGATAGTCAGCAAAAGAATCCCTCATAGCTACGCCCCCTATCTTCTCAACTGGGATACCTTCTCCGTTCCAAAAACCGTATTCTCTCGTGATGAACGCGAGTCCCCGCCATTGTCAAGAGAGTAGAAAAAAAAGGGGGGCCCAAGAGCAAAAGCTGAAAGACAGGGAGGAGAGGAAACCCACCGCTGATGAAGAGCGTATCGCCCGTAAACACGACCTTCTGGTCCCCGTCCTGCATGAACCAGCAGATGCTGTCCTGCGTGTGGCACGGCGTGTGCAGCGCCTTGACGGCGATGCCCTCGCCAATCTTGAACGACTCGCCGTGGCCCGGCGTCCGCGTCACGCCCTCGCAGTCCTTGCCGCCGATGATGGGGAGCTTATCCAGGCCCAGCTCGCCTTGCTGTTTTTTTCCCTTTGTGTAAGTCCTGATGAGACATAGAAAAGGGGGAGGGGAGAGGAATCCAAGACGTACCAGCTTCTTGTTTCCGCCCGCGTGGTCCCAGTGGCTGTCAGAGATGTCAGATACGCGCACAATGTCTCGAGGGGATTTCCCGCGTCGTTTGCGAATTTTCCAAGGACGAGAGACTCACTGGTGCGTGTTGACGATGGCCGTGAGGTTGATCTCGCCGCTCTTGATAGCCTTTTGCAACACGGGTGTCACTCTAGAGAGGGTTGTCAGCTTGAGCTCGATACACGACGCAACCCCAGCCCGAGATGCCCTTCCTCTTTCCCTCGGGGCCATGAACAACGGAGGGGAACACTCACTCGGACGGGTTGGCCGGGTCAATGATGACGGCATCGTTGGTCTTGTCGTCCTTGACCAGGTAGGCGTAGTTGTTACTACTGCCCACCCCTGAAAACAAGTCAAAATCTCATGCCGGTGTGATGGAAACATATGCTCCATCTGCTGCCTCTCATTCCCATTCTCTCGTTATCAAAAACGAAGAGGGCATCAGGAAGCTTGCGGGAGGTGACGTACACATGGGGATCGACTGGATATGCATGGCGTTGGCGAACGTGAGCTATAATCCCCTTGTATAAGCTTCCCAGTCTCTCACAAAATAGCTAATCAACCCAGAACTGAATGGGCAAACACCAAAGAAAAAAAAACTCACTGCAGCTGTAACGGTGGCGAGTTTTTGTCTCAGTAGTGGTCTCCTTGCGATGAGGGTATTCATGAAAGGCAATTGTGCAGTGTAGTGAGAGCTGTCTCCTCTGCAGCCAGTTGGGGGATTAGAGCTGTGAGCTGTTGCGTTCGGGAGCTCCTCGGCAAGTTACGGTGACGTTATTACAAATCCGCGAGGGGGACGGCAGACGACCCGCATCCAATTGGCATCGTCATACCCCACGTGATGTCGCATGTGCACTGCAACAACTCCATAAGAGATATCTTCACATTGGATGATAGGCGAGAGCATTTTCTTTCATGGATGACATGTAGCGATGATGGTATAGAATTTTGGTATCCAAAAACGACATTCGCGGCTAGACCCGAGGATTCACGCGACGCCGATAGGCCGCGGCTTCCAAGTCCCCTCAAACTTGGCCCATCCGGTGCCAGCGCTCTCCGAGGCATCGTCCTCCTCCATCTCGCCCTGCCCATCCGCTTGCCCCTTGCGCGCAATGTCATCCGATAACCTCTGAGCGGCAAGCATGACGGCCTCACTCGGCGGCGCCTCAATAATCTTCTCCAGCGTCGCCAGCAACCGACTCTCGTCCAGCCCGTCGATCCATTTCCTCATCTCAGCCCTCCTCCCGGCATCCTGCTCCTCCAGAAACGCGACCACGACTTCGCGGCGCACAGGGGCGGCAGAGACTGCGGCGGCGACGACCACGGGACCCGTCCTTTCGGGGGCCTGGCTTACGACCTCATCAGGCCCCAGGTGTTGCCAGTAATACTCCCAGATCCAAACCAGCGCTTTGCGCGCGGCGGACCGCAGCTTCGCGAGAGACGGCAGCGTCTCGTGCGTCGCCTGGTGCCGCAGCTCGACAAAGGTCGCCGGCAGGCCAATGGTCTTGGCCACCGAGTACATGCTCAGCTTGCGTTGCTTATCCTGATGGCCGTCCAAGAGCCCGGTCACGAACCTAGACGAAAAAAGAGAGGTGTAAGCAACACAGAACGATCGGCAGGCGATGACGGTGGCAGATTGATCAATCAAGGGGTGTACTGTGTACCCGAGGCGGAAAGAGCAGGGCTCCCGGAGCCCGGAGGCTCAAGCAATGAATGATCCGAGCAAGACACTTGCAAGCCTTCACACCCATACTAGGTCCTTGAACCACCGCCCACTGACTACAGGGTGAGAAACGAGCTCTGGCATTCCGGAATTGCATCGACGGGCCATAGGAGGCCATAGGAGCTTTAGCATGCCTCAAGCAAATCAGGCCAAGCTTCCCCCGATGCCAGGAACGTCCGTCAGACCGTAGCTCTCAAGTGTACTGCACCGCTGAAGCTTCCCGAACAAGGTGAGACGCCCAGATGTAAAACCACGCCGGCTTGCTGGGAATCTTGAAGGGGGGAGGAAGGGGGCGTGGGCGTGCTGGTCGACGCGGTGTGCGTGTAAGTGAAAGCCTGTCTTGGTGTGTGTGGCTTCCAGCAGTCGCGCAGATCAGGCGATTGTTGGTGGCCCTTCAGACGGGACCCGACTCGGGTAGGGGGGAGTGAGAGTGAGTGGTCTACGGCACATAGGGTGCTTTGGTGGTGAGAGGGGGGGCGTGTGTATGTTTATGTCGAAGGATGGGTGGAAGTGACAGAAAAGTCAAATAAAGATGTGAGATGTGAAATGCGCCGAAATCCAAATGTAGAGGTGACAAAAGAGAAGAGGCGGCCCAGATCCCTGGAGGGTTGAGATTGTTTCAAGCCACTTCCAAGAGACAAGACTCCAAGGGCAGAAAGAAGGAGGAAGAGGAGGAGGCGGGCGGAAGACGGAACGTAAAACGCCCCAATTAGACTTTCCTTTCTCTCACTGGCACGCCGCACCTTGAATTTGGAACTAACAGAACAGCCTTTCTTGGCCCTTGAGATGATGGAGGACAACAGAAAAGAGACAAGTGACAATATGAGAGACAGAGGCGAGGGGAGGGAGAAGAGACGGAACTCTGGAGAAAGGTGTAAAACGTACCGACTGAAGGCAGCAGCGTAGGCAGCGCGAACTGCATAGGTGCCAGCGCCGCCCTTGCTCTCGGCGTCGCTGAGGATGGCGGCCGTCAGCAGGGCCGTGGACTCGACCATGTGCGGGCAGTTGCCGCGCTGCATCCACATGGACACCCTCGCGACGGCATGGTGCTTGTCGGTGCTTGGGGTCGTCTTGTTGGTGCTGGTGCCTGTTGGTGCTGGTTGTGCTGGTGCTGATGAACTTGACGATGGCGTCGGCGCTGGTGCTGGCGCTGGCGTGTGTGCTTGTGCTGCTGCTTGTGCTTGTGCAGCGGTTCCTCGTATCCAAGACCTTGTCGGGGCCTGGGATGCGGCGGCCGCGGACGCTGCTGTCGCTGCCGTACCGCTAGCTCGGGCGGCGGGTGTGGATGTTGTTGGTGCCGCTGATGCAGACGCTGGGGCAGCGGGATAGAACTGCTGGCGAACCTTGAGCAGCTCGCGGCGATCGCGCCACGGCGTCAGGATGTACTGCACCATTTGCTGGGTGTGTGTAATGTGCCGGGTGTGTGGTGTTCAACTGCGAGAGTGTGTGAGTGTGTGAGTGTGAGTGGGTGTGCGTCTCTCTGCGCTTGTGTCTGGTTGTATGTGTGAGAGTCTGGACGGTTGCCCACGGGGAGAGACTTGCTGTGCCCAATGTGTCCTGGCCTGGTGGTGTGTGATCGAACGTACGAATACTGACGGTGTGTTCAGATCCGCCCTCGTCTAGCTTTCCTTGACCGGGCTGCTGCCGCTGCTGCCGTACAGACGTGCTATGCTTGCCAGTCTGTATTTTCCAAGGAGCCCAAAGCCAAGTTCGACTCGCGTGTTCCGTTCCGTTTGTCTTTTTTTTTTTTTTTTGCCCAGGTTTCGCTGTCTGCAGCCTTTGCTCCCGACCCCCGTCTGTCTAGAACTCTAGTTGTCCTCAGAAAAGCTGACGACTTGCAATGTTTCAGGCCATGTATGTGTGTGTCCCCTTCTGAGAAAGAATGTCGTTCGCTTTGGTTTCGTTTCCTGGTGTGTCGCGAAGGGGAACGCTCGCAGCTTTTGGGCGTTACGCTTGAAGCTTCCTTACGGGTTTGCGGCTCAGAACGACTGAACTCGCTCGTTTTTCCCCAGACGGATAACCCGGGAGAGCCGAATGGAACCCCGTCTGATTTCGTCCCTTGTTCGAACGGCGTTCTAGCCGGGTCCAGTCTGATAGCGGATTTGGGTTTCCGAGGTTCTGTTGAGGGAAGAGGATAGGATGGGAGGGAAAAAAGAGACATAAGGTTGAAAAAAGTTCGGTTTTGGGACCGGGGGAAACTGCAAAATGTGTTAAAATTCCCCGATTAGTATCGAATAGCGGCCGCCCGATCTTCAGATTGCACATTACACCTCACCGCCAACCACATTTCACACACTCGTCTACTGACCCTCACAACTCACACGGCACTCACATTTACTTACACTCACACGCCCCAAGCTACTTACCTTTGTAGAATAATCCTTCCGTCCGGGACACGCAACGCCACCACATGCATCACGTTGATGCACCTCACTTCACTCGCACCAGCCAGAAACGCAAACCAGGGGCAAAAAGCATCATTCCATTCCACGCGGTTATTCGGACTTATCGTTGTCCTTGTTATTGATCATCAGACGAAGTGAACCCTCGAATCTCGATATGTCACTCTCCTATGTTGTCTGGCCATGGCGTTTCGTGTGGACGTCCGCTTTCTCTCATAACGAAACGTTGAGATGAGTAGCCGCCACGTCCCGTCCTTTGGCCCATCATCACAAGGCGAACCGATCAACCTGAGCATTCCCACGGACTCAGTCGGTCCACCGAATGCTGCATGGTCCAATACACGTGATTACTCCCTTCAAGCTTCACTCCAGATCTGAGTCGGCAACAATGTAGGAAAACATCATGGACACGTCAAAGCGTTTTCTATTCTTCCCGATGAACAATGTCTAAACTTTTTACTCTGTTCTCATCAAAGTCCAACTGCGCATGCCTTTTTTTTGCCCATTCCCACGCATGACAGCTGAACCCGGTAGGTGGACATACAAACACTATCCCAACTCACAAGACCACTCTAAGACAGGGTCTTCTCAATGAGGTAGATGCCGTACTTGTCCTTGAGCTCCTTCATGATGGGGTCGTTGATCTTGGAGTTCATGGGTGCCAGGACGCCGCGCTCGGCAATGGTGCCGTTGAGCACCTGCTGGACGGCGACACCGCAGGGCACGCCGACGAGCTTGGCCATGGCCGAGTAGCCCTTGGGCTCGCCGTACTCGGCGAGCGTCGACGTCCGCGTCTCGCGCGAGCCGTCCTTGTGCTCAATCTCAAACTTGTGCTGCAGCATCACCATGTCGCGCTCGCCCTCCTCGAACTGCATCTTCTTCTCCAGCGTCGCGCAGAGCGTGTCGAGCGGGTTGCCGCGGGGCGTAATCTTCTCGTCCGAGAAGACGCCGATCCACCGCAGGCCGCTGAGGATGCGCTGCTTGTCCTCGGGGGACTCGAAGTGGGCCTTTGCGACGATGGCGGCCTCGAGGTCGCTCTCGCTGCTCGAGGCGGCGCCGACGACGGCCTTGGTGGCGTCCTTCCACGCAATGGGGCTGGCGAGCGTCTCCTGGGCGGCGTCCTCGAGGAAGCCAATGTCGACGAGGACCTTGATGAACTGGGGGAAGCCCTGGTAGCGGAGGGTACCGCGAACAATGGTCTGGGCCTCGGGGATGTTGTAGCGCTCCTTGTAGGGGGTAGAGTCGCGGTTGGGGTAGGCGACGAAGGCGTAGCCCGGGTAGATGAAGTAGGGCTTGGCGGTGGCCATGAGGTCCTTGGAGGAGACGTCGACGACCTGGCCGTCCTTGTAGTACTTGGCCGCGTTGCGGAGGGCGAGCAGCACGCCGCGGGAGGACCACGAGAACTTGTAGCCGAGCGGGTTGTCCGAGGCCTCGGGAGCGGGGAGGCCACCGCAGTAGGAGAGGAAGGAGAGGATCTTGCCGCCCTCACGGTGGACCTCCTCAATGGTCTTGACGGCGTACAGGTGGTCGATACCGGGGTCC